CGTAGGTTTTTTTTATTTTCATTCTGATTAATATTAGTAATAATCATTTTCTCATAAAATAATAAAAACCTTGTATATTTTCAAATTTATTTTAAAAAAACCAAAATTAAACAATTTATTTTATTTTGTTTTTCATTTATTGTTTTTTAATAAGATATTGCCAGTAACTGAATATTTTAAACATTTTATCATATATAAAAGACAATCATTAAAACCATAGGAGCTATTTAAAGAATCCTCATATTGTTTGAATTCACCAACTAATGTTTCTATTTTTGTTTTGTTTGAATAACTACCTCCAATATTGGAAAAAGTTTCATTTTCGAATGAAAATAATAAATTTGAAATATTTTTTAATCTAATATATCTAGGATCAGATAAAAATAATAGTTCAGAATTTAAAACACATTCACCTCTTTTTTTTTTAATTTCTATCCATTGCAATAGGTTACAAGAGTCAATTATATGCAAATAAGAGTTTTTATTACCATCAGTAGATTCTATACTTGATATGTAGTTAAATACTGATGTTATAAAATAATTGTTTATAAATATGTTACCCCCAGTGATTTCTTTTAATAATTTTTTTAAAACAATTGTAACTTTTTCTTGTTGGTCATGTGGTACTTTTTCAGTTGGATCAATTAAAATATTTAATAGTTTTTGTTGATTTTTTAATAAATTATTATTTTCTTTTAATTTTTTAAAATCTTTAAAATTAAAAAATATATATTAATGGGTTAGATATAATTATTATTATGTTGTAAATTATATTTAAATAAATACCTTGATCAATTATAAATAACCAAATCATGATAGTCGAAGATAAAATTTTAATTTTTTTTTCATTTCTAGTCTCTTTCAAAAATGTTGGAAAATAAAAAACATGATTTTTTTTAATGCCTTCTAAATTTTTATATCTATCTTTTGGAAATTGGCCAATTTCTTTTTCAAATATTTTTATAGATTCTATAAAATCAGAGTCGTCTAGAAGTTCTGGTTGCTTAAACCATTCTTTTGGTATTAAATTATTATTATTTAATAAAATAGTTTCGTTCATTTTAAAAAAATGTTTTTAATAAAATATTATTAATAATTTTTTTATAAATATAAATATTAGTTTGATATTTATTAAATGAATATAACTTAATTAATATTTATAAATTGTTATTATTTATTTATACTTTTTTTCTTTCATTTATATTTTTAAAAAATTTATTTTTTTACCCCTTCTAGTAATAAAGAAATTAATTTATTTTTATCTAATAGTTTTATTTAATATTTATAATAATTAAAGTAATAAATCACTATTTGTATAGTAGAATGATAATTATTAATTGTTTTAAACTTTAAGATTATTATTAATAATATTAATTTATAAAAAAAAAAAAAAAAAAGGTAATTCATAATGCAAATTGAAAATGAGGTAAATGTACATTTATTTCGACCAATACATTGGTTTTTTATACACCATTGTTATTTTTCATGACCCATAAATATTGAAAAAAAATAATATTTTGAAAACTAAAAAAAGAAAATTAATAAAATGCCAGAATGCGGTATTACTTTAAAAATTGACATTAACATACATATTTTATTTTGATACTTTTATGTTATTAATTTTTTTTTTTTATATTTTACAAATTTTACATAATTCACACTTTTTACCTATGGTAATTTAAAAATAAAATAAAAATAAAAATAAAAATAAAAAATAAATAAAATAAATAAATAAAATAAAATAAATAAATAAAAAAAGATATGAAAAAAATTTATTGTTTGTGTCTGATGGGAAATTTGAAACTCCTTTATATTTATTGATTTTTTAAGGTTTGTAAAAATGAAAAAAAAAAAGATATTTTAAAATTAGGTTTTTTTTTTCTTTTTTTTTCAGATATTTATTTTTTTTCAAACTATAAAAAATTAATTTTTTTTTTATTGTTAAATAAAATTTTAAAAATAAAATACGGATAACATTTCGGTTGTAAGAAAACTTTGTTTAGGTTTTTGTTGATTGTGCTCACACCCACCACGATGCTCCACCTTAGCCGTGAAAAAACTTTAAAATAAAAAAATTTTACAAACTTAAATTTTTATAAAAAAAAAAAAAAAAGCCACACCAAAACTATTTTTTTAAATCATATTATTTTTATTATTTTAAGATTTTCACATTATTTTTTAATCATTATTTTTTTTTTTTTCGAAACCACATTCATTATCTTATCAATAAAATATAATAAGTGATAAATAATTGTGTATAGTTTTTCAAAATTAATAAATGATAAATAAAATAATAGTTTTGGTTTTTTTATCACTCTATTTAAATAGTTTTATAAATGGACAAGATATAATACCTGTTAACACAACTGCAAAATGTGAAAAATATATAGGCGACCAAGGAACCCCTATTTGTACTGGCTATATCCCTAATCCAGACTCAGTTTATGTTACACTACCACAAATCGAGGTTTTAAAACAAGTGAATTCCACCATAGATTTTCTTCAATTATTTGGGTGTAAAAATAAAAATAATTTAAAAGTTATATGTGCAATAGTAAATATACATATCCATAATATTTTTTTATATTATTATATTTATTAATATCATTTTTAATATTACAATAGAGCTTCCCAGAATGTATAGAATATAATGTAGAAAACTCAACAGTGGTATTAGCTTTTCCAAAATTAACATGTGATAAATATTGTAATGCTGCATTGGATAGCTGCCCATCAATCAAAATGGGGGCAGAGTGTCTAGGTTCAATTAATGATCCAGTAACCCCAGGGAAAAGTGGATTTTATACACCAATTTCAAATGTAATTTATGATTTATCAAGCTATAATGGACCAAATAATTATACAGTAGATTGCATTAACCCAGCACTAATTTCAGATAGTGGTTCAAATAGTGAAATTGATAATACATGTCCATTCCCATTATTAAGAATCCCTAGAAACTCAACAGATAATGAAGAAGAGCTTAAAAAAGGGTTATTCTACATAGAAACAGGTGAATGCGTTTTGAATTGCCCTGTTAATATTTATTCAAATAGTGTTTGGAAAAGACTTTACAAACTTACCGATGTATTATCAGTCATTTCAATGGTTTCCACAATAATTTTAATGTTTACCTATGGTGTTTTAAATCCAAAATTAACACGTTATGATAAAAAGAATCTTTTCTTTTTAGCAGGTATTTTTGGTATTTCATTAGCTGGTACAATGATAGCAGCAAATGATACTGAAACAACCCTTTGTCCAGACCCACATAGATTCGCTGTTAATACAGACAAAGTTTGTGTAGCATCAGGTTTTATTACCCATTTCTCTGCTTTATTTGCTATGCAATGGTGGGCAATTATTGCTTTCGATCTTTGGTATAGTGTTAAACATGTAAGAAAGCAATTAAAGGTTAAAATTCGTTATTATTTAACAGGAACATTTACAGTTGCAATCATTTTCAGTGGGGTTTCATTAGGCAAAGGCCAATATCAAGCTGGTTTTGCTAATGTTTTTTGCTGGCTTTATGACGAAGTGTATCAGGATGTTTGTTTCTTTGTCCCACTAGGTATTTGTTTAACATTTGGTTCAATTATGATTGGAATGGTAATGAGAGAGATCTACGTTATTGTAAAATCATCCACCTCTTCAGGTGCAAACAATGATTCAAAGAAACATTTAAAACTTCAAATCAAACCATTTTTAAATGTATTTTTATTCTACTCATGCTTTTTATATCTTTTCCTCTTTGCAAGAATTATAAATAGTCGTTATGATAAATATATGGAAAGTGCATTACCATACATGACATGTTTAATCGCTGGAGGTGGTGAAGATTGTAGATTAGATGGCCCATCATCTGGATCATTGGGTTATTTCACTTATTGTCTTAGAATCTATGGTATTTACGCTTTCTTTGTATATGGTTGTTCAAGTCGTTTCTTTAAAATTTGGAGAGAGTCATTTTTATTACAAAACAAAATTATGTTACCAATTCTTACCAAACTCGACTCCGCATTCTCACGTACTTCCAATGGAAAAGGAACATCATCCACAAATATGGGTACATCAAGCAGTAATAGTAGTAATAATAGCAGTAAAAATACAAGTAGAAATAATAACGATAGCAATAAATTTGCTTCATCAGCATTATCAGTTGAAGTAGATTCAGGTTATAACGATGATGATTTATAAATCGAAAAAAATTCAAAAAATTCAAAAAAACTATAAATTATAAATTATAATTATAAAATAAATAAAATTGTAAATTCTATTAAAATTTAATATTATCTAATTTTAGAAACAGTTATAGTTTTCTTTTTTTTTTTTTTTTTTTTTTTTTTATATTTTTTTTTATTTTTATTTTTTTAAATTTTTTTTCATTAATTTAAAAATTTTTTTATTTTTTTTGTTTCATTAATTTAAATTTACTCATAGTAATAATAATAATAATAATAATAAAGATCATAGGAATGGATAAATACAACTACGAAGGATTAATTGGTGAAGGTACATATGGTGTTGTTAGTAAAGCAACTGCTAAAGAAAATGGCCAAATTGTAGCCATTAAAAAAATTAAAAAAATTTTAGTTCAAGGCCAAAGCGATGATGGTATCAATTTCTCTGCAATTAGAGAAATCAAAATATTACAAGAGTTAAAACATCACAACATCGTTGAGGTATGTATTCAATATCTAAAATTTAAAACAAAACAAAAATATTAACAATCTGAAATAATAAATAATATTTAGTTGTTGGATATTTTTGCACATAAAAGTAATGTAAATTTAGTGTTCGAAATGATGCAATGGGATCTTCAAGAGGTTATAGAAGATAGATCAATAGTTTTAAAGCCAGCAGATATTAAAAGTTATATGAAAATGTTATTACAGGGTATCGAAGCATGTCATAGTAATTGGGTATTACATCGTGATCTTAAACCAAACAATCTTTTAATGTCATTGGAAGGCGAGTTAAAATTGGCAGATTTTGGTTTAGCAAGACAATATGGTAGTCCAAATAAAATGTTTTCCCCACAAGCCGTTACTATGTAAGTTTAAATATATATTATAATAAAAAACCATTGTATTAATAAGGAATCAAATCAATATAGTTTCTACAGGGCACCAGAACTATTATTTGGAGCAAAATCATATGGACCATCTGTTGATATATGGTCAGTAGGTTGTATTTTCGCAGAATTAATGTTAAGAACTCCTTACTTACCAGGTACAAGCGAAATTGATCAATTAAGAAAGATTTGTTCTGCATTGGGCACACCAAATGAAACAAATTGGCCTGTAAATATAAATATATACTAAATATCTCTATAAAAGGGTTTTATAAATATTAACAAATTATTTTTTATTTTTTTTTAGGGTGTAACTTGTTTACCAAATTATCTTAGATTTACAGAACATCCACCAACACCATTCAAACAATTATTTACAGCAGCAACCGATGAAGCAATTGATTTAATTAGCAAAATGTTATTATTTAACCCAGCAGCTAGAATTTCAGCAGCCGAGGCATTAAATCACCCATATTTTACAACTGGTGTAAAGCCAACAAATCCTATCGATTTACCAATACCACTTGCAAAAAGATCAAATATTTTACAACAAAGACAACAAGTTCAGTTACAACAACAACAACAAGATATTCAAAATATAACCACTACATCCAACAATACTACAGGTGTTGATTCAACAAATAATATTCAAGTAGAGCCTCAACAAGTTTAGATTCTTCATCAAAATTTAAATATCTCCATTTTTTAAAAAAAAAAAAAAAACACAAAATAAGAAATAATTAATTTTATTTCTTTTTTTTTTTTTTCTTTTAGGAAAAATTTTATAATCATTTTTTTGTAAAACTACTAAAATAAATCTAATCATTTTTTAAAATAATATTATCACATCTTTATTTTTTTTTATTTTTTTTTATTTTTTATTTTTTAAAATTAATTTTTTCATTTTTTTTTATTTTTAAAAAAAAGAAATTTTTTATTTTTGTTTTTCATTTTCATTTTTTAATGAAATTTAATTAAAAGAAATAATTATGTACCAACAACAAAAACCACAGCAACCACAACAACCACAAACACAACACGGATTAGTAGCAGGTGTAACACAATCAAATGCAACAGATTCTATAGTTGCAACTAATGTATATGAATGCAGTTTGCATGGTATTCTATCAACACCATCATCAACATTTATTCAAAGAGCAAAAGGAATGATGAGATCCGAGCATCCAGTATCCTATAAAGAAATGATCTATAAATCAACTGTACAGACACAGGGTCCAAGTTGGGCTGAAAATTCAATTTTGCCTTCAGAAATACATATTAGATACGAAAAAAATAATTTATATGTTAGATATATTGGTGTACCTCAAATCAAAGATAATATAAATGCAATGATTAGGAATGTTGTGGATGTCAGATCTTCCGAAACTTTTTTTATATATCTAGATAATTTAGGTTATGTGTATGTATTTTTATTACAATTTTAATTATTGTTTTCGATTATTAATTCTAACACCCCTTTTTTTTAGCAAGGATTACGAATATTTTGTTGATGGTTATCAATATAGCACATATAATTTATCATTGTTTTTAGTTAATCATAGAAGAGTTTTACCTGTAACTATTATTATTTTTATTTATTTTCGTTATCGTTGGATGTAATATTAACCAAGACTTAATTTTTAGGACGGAACAAAAGGAGATATTTTAAATAAACACAGTATGGTCGAGTTACAATGTTTATCAGGAGAAGAGGGTTTTGTAGCTGCTGCAGAATATTTAAACACATATGCAGAATATTTATACCCATTTGTAGAGTTAATTAAATTTGATCATAGAAATTTAACTTTAGATAATGCCCAAATTAATAATAATTATAATAGATAGTAAAATAATAAATAATATATAAAATCAAAATAAACAAATAGGGTGTAATGTTGGTGGTGTAAAATAAATAAAAAAAAGCATAATAAAATTGTATATATTCCTTTAAATTATAAAAAAAAAAAGTAGGATCTGTTTTATTTTATTTTATTTCTTTTGTTTTAAAATACCTCCGCTATATTTAATATAGGAAAAAGTATTGCTTTCGCTATCATCGTTACTATAATCTTCTTTTTTATTGATAGAATTTTTAAGTATTGTTTCTTTTTTTCTCTCATTTTGTTCTCTTTCTAATCTTTCCTTTCTTAATTGTTCAATTGTTTTTTTAGTTGATGATGGTGAGGATGAGGATGACGGAGTTTTATTGTTACTATATTTTTGACCTTTAATATTTTCTCTTCCCAATGCTTTGTCAACTAAATTAATTGGATCCTCTTTATCTTTAAACCATTGTTCGCTTTTTAACTTCTTTTTTTCTTTTCTGTTCATGTCCTTATAGTCTTTTTCTGGTGATGAAGATGAGGTATTATGCCAAAATGGTTTTTCTTTTTTATATTCATATGAACCTTCACCCAATTTTGAATTTGAAATTTTATTTATGTCTATATTTTTACTGTTGCTATTATTATTATTATTATTACTATTATTATTTTTTGAATATGATATAATCTTATCTTCGATACCTTCAAATAGGCTTGATACTGATCGTTCTGATGGTGGTATGCTTAACGGTGGTTCTAAAGGAGATTCAGTATCATCACTATTTTCTAGATCCTCCCCATCCTCTTCTAATTTCCTTTTCTTTTTTAAATCTTCTTTTAACTTTCTGTATCTATTTTCACTTTCTAGCTCCTCATGCCTTTGTTTCTCTTTTTCTAATTTCTCTTGATGTTCTCTTTCATCTCTTTTGACTCTTTCTTTATTCTCTGTATTATAAACATTCCATTTTTTTTTAGGTAAAATATTCATTTAGTTTATTTGTTACTATATTTTATTTTTTTATTTATATGAATTTATCTAAAGTAATAAATTATAGGAATATTACAAATAAAATTTAATTTATTATTTATGAAAATTTATTAAAAAAAAAGTAAAAAAATAAAATTATTTTTAAATATAAAAAAAAATAAAAAAAAAAATAAAAAAAATAAAAAAAATAAACTAAAATATTTATAGTAGTTTTTATATAATTTACCATTTAAAAAAAAATTGATTTAAATATCTAAATATCTATTTTTTTTAAATGTATTTTATTTTATTTATGATTGGTTAATTTCAGTACTTGTTATAAAAGGTGTATCTAATGTATCAAATAGTATTTTATTTATTTGTAAATTATTTTCATTATTACTGCTATTATTACTATTATTTGTAAAATTATCAATTAGATTAAAGTGATTAAGTGAAATATGATTTATGATTTTATTAACTAAATTTAATCTTGAGTTTGGATCGGTTAAATTTGAAATGTAAAATTGAATATTTAATTGTTCACAAATTGATTCTAATTCATTGAATGATATTGAAATCAATCCTTTTAAATCTTCTCTGCTTACTACAATTTGAATTTTGTTCATTGAAAAATAATCTTCATCCAATTCGTTATTATCCATTAAAAATGATTTTATAAAATTAAAACTATTTATATTTGTAATATCAAATATACATATTATAAAATCAAATTTCTTTTTTCTTTTACTGACATTACTATTATTAGAATCCTTTGATGAAATTGCTGTTGTTGTTGTTTTAGTAAATGATGATGTTGATAATCTATTTAATAATTTAAACAAAATTAGTAATCATATGTATAAAACAATAATCCCTAATATAAATATTTCTATAGTTACATTTTTAAATTATACTTTTTAGAAACATTTGTAACTTTTGATAATGATGGTTTGGTACTATTATCTATAATATGAGATTGAGTATTCTCTACTTGTGGGTGATTATATAATGCATTTGATAATGTTGTTTTACCTGTTCTACTACTACCAATTATCAAAATGTTTAACTCCATACATATAAATTTGAAAAAAAAAATGAAAGAAATAAAAAAAAAATTTTAAAAAAATTAAAAAATAAAATAAAAAAATAAATTAAAATAAAAAATAAATAAATAAAAAAAAATATTATATATAGTTTTATTTATTTATTTATTATAAAAGAGCCATTAATTTGTATTGATCTAATCGGTTGTTACAGCCTATTTATAATAGTAATAATAAATTAGTATTTTTTTTTTTTTTTTTTTTTTTTTTAAAATTAAGAAATTAATGATATTTACTTTTGCAAGATTTCTAGGGAAATCTGGTTGAATACCTCTAAGGAGTGAAACTTCATATGCTAATAATTGTAATGGAATTGCTGCTAATAATGATGTTAAAATACCATTGGATGGTATAACAATGATTTCATCAGCAATATTTTTAACGTTTGATGGAGTATTTGTAATGATAATGGTATAAGCACCTCTTGCTTTAACTTCTTCAGCGGCAACCTTCATTAATTGACCATGATTATCATCTAAAATAATTAAAATAACTGGAGTACCTTGTTCAAGTAAAGCAAATGGACCATGTTTTAAAGCACCACCACTGTAACCCTCGGCATGAATATATGTAATTTCTTTAATCTTTAATGCACCTTCATATGCAATTGGTTCAGCAAAACCTTTACCCAAAACAAACATTGATTGCTTTTTATAAAGTTTATTGGCAATATCTTTACATTTATCTCTAACACGTAAAACCATACCAAGATTAGTTGGAAGTCTGTGTAGTGATTCAATTAAATGACGTCTTTTACCTTCTTCAATACCACGATGTTGTGCGAACCAATTAGCAACCAAAGATAAAACTGTAACTTGTGAAGTGAATGCTTTAGTTGATGCTACAGCATGTTCACGACCAGCATTTAAATATACACCACAAACTGAGCTTCTGGCAATTAATGAACCTACAGAATTTACAATTGCAAATCTTGGAATACCGCTTTCCTCTGCCAATGTCATTACACGAGCTACATCTTTAGTTTCACCACTTTGTGAGATCATAAGTACACCAGCGTTTGAATGTGGAAGTGTATCACGGGTGATTTCAGCAGAGTCGTATACTTGTACAGTGTCAAATGCTCCCAAGTATCTCATGATACGAGCACCAAATTGACCTGCAAAGAAACTTGTACCACAACCTGTAATAATTAAATTCTTTATAGGTAATAAAATTTCTTTGGCATCTTCAAGACCACCCAATTTGACACGAGATTCATCTGAAATACGACCACCATAGTTGAGTGCTCTAGAGATTGACATTGGTTGTTCCATAATTTCTTTAATAGTCCAATGTGGATATGGATCTGGTGATAAGGCAATGACTTCATGAGCAGCCATTTCAATTCTACTTAAATCCAATGAATGACCATCAGCTTTTAATACTGCAATTTCACCATTTTCCATTGAAATAAATTCCTTGGTATGTCTTGAGAATGCACCAGCTTCACTAGCAATAAACATACGATCTTTACCAATACCAATTAACAATGGACTACCATTTCTAGCTGCAATAATTTGATCTGGTGTATCATTACAAACAACGGCAATACCCCAAGTACCCTGTAGTTTATTTTGTGTTTCTTTAATAGCGTCAATAATACCTAAGCCTTGATCTAAAAATATACCAATCTAAACATAATTAAATTTATTAATAAATATTCTTTTTTTTCATTTATTTATTTTTAACTTACCAATTGAGCAATAACTTCAGTATCAGTTTCTGATCTAAAAACAATACCTTTCTTTTCGATTTCTTCTCTTAATGATGAGTTATTTTCAATGACACCATTGTGGACAACTGCGATTCTGTTCTTTGCATCGTGGTGTGGATGAGCGTTTTTATCTGTTTTACCACCATGAGTAGCCCATCTAGTATGAGCAATACCAATAACATGACCTTTATGTAACTAAAAAATTGTAATAAAGTTAATAATCTTTTTTTATATTTTTTGTAGTTTTTAATAAAAATAAATTTGGAATAATTACATGTGCAACTGATTTTAATCTTGAAATTGCATCGCTTGTTGTATTTAAACTTGCATATTTCGATGTAATTAAACTGTTATCTGATGAAATTGTAGTTACACCAGCTGAATCATAACCTCTATTTTCTAAAATTGACAAACCTTCTAAAAGGTAATTAATAGCTTCTTCTTTACCAACAAAACCAATAATACCACAGGTATCTGATGATTCTAATCCAAATGGTGATTCATTATTATTATTATTTGAAATATTATAGTTTTCAACTAAATGTCTTTGTGTAACATGTAATCTTCTTAAAGTATTATTATGATTCATTATTGTTATTATTACTGTTAAATAATTCTTTAATTTAGTATATGATTCTACTTTATTTTGATTCTAGAGTACTCTATTTTATAAAAAGCTTTTATTCTGAAAGATAAATATATATTACAAACTAAATAAATATTCTATAAATAAAAATATAATGTTAATAAATTATTAAATAATGTTTAAATAAATTTAATTAAAATGACAAAAAAAACAAATAAATAATATTTTTAAAAAAAAAGTTAATTAAACAAATCGTCAATTTTTTGAGAAGAATTAAGAAAATAACCAAACACAAAAACCAATGAGTCACCATTTAAAATAAAAAAAAAAAAATTAATTAAAACTTGCATTATTTTTAATAAAAATATATTTTTACACCTTTGTGAATTATTTATTATAAAAATATTTTAAAAAATAACAACAAAAAAAAAAATTGATAAAAGTATGAAAAAGTATAAAATAAAACTAAATAATAATATTAGTGTGATGAGTTTATTAAAAATGTTTATAAAAATAAATTAAATTATTATTAGTAGACCTATTCGAAAAATAAATGTAAAAAAAAAAATTATATAAATTTAAATAAAATTTAATTATGTAACTCTATTAATTTTTAAATATAATTGAAAAATAAATAAAGATAAAAATTATTAACAGATAAAAATATAAATTTATTTCTGACTCAATCCCTATATATTTTTCGAAATAAAAAACACAAACACAAACACACTGAAAATTAATTTATATAAACTATATATATTTAAATACACACGCACACACACACCAAACAAAAACAAAACACACAAACTAATAATTTAAAAATCAATATTGTAGACTAATAATCAACACACCACCCCACCTACCCACACACTAGAACATACAACACACAATTAAACAAACAAATAAATAAATTTAAATTTTATATATAGAGATAAATTATTTATGTATTTATTTTAGTGTATTTTTTGTATAGATAATCCAATTTCATATAAAAAGATTGGAGAAATAAATAATTATGTTGTCTTTATGTTTTTTTTTTTTTTTTTTTTTTTTTTTTTTTTTTTTTTAAATTTTTTAATTTACCTTTTTAAATTAAAAATTTTAAGATTCTTTTATAAAAATAAACTATTATAAAAACTTACTTAATTAATAAAAATGTTGATAAAACGGAACTAAAAACTTATATTTTGATATAGTATTATTAATGTTGTTATATAAATAAATAAAATTACAAAAAATAAATAAAAAATAAAAACAAAAAAAAAAAAAAACAAAAAAAAAGTTTGATTAAATTTTAATTTAAAAGTTTTTTAATATAATGGTTAATTATTATATAATTGTTGTTATTTTTATTATTATTAAATATTTGAAAATGATGATCAAAACTGATTATTTATAAAAAAAAAAAAAAATAAAATAAAAAAAAAAGTCAAATTAAAAGGTGGTTTTTATTATAACAAATCATTTTTTTTTTTAAAAACGACAACAAAGCATGAAAAAAAAAATTAAATTAAATTAATAAAAAATAAATTTTTTTTTTTTTTTAAATTTTCAAAATTATATTCAAAATATCTATAAATATATATATTTATTCTAAAAAGACCCGTTTATATGAAAAAATATTGTTCGTGTACCCAATATCTTCAAAGCAGAAATATTTTGAAAATAAATTAAATTACTCCTAAGAAATATTTATGTGATATTATTATTTATATATTTTAGCAAATAATTTATAATCTGTTTGAAATTTTAATTTCTAAAATGAAAATTTAATTATAATAATAATATCACACAAATGCACACCATTCCCACACACATACACACACATACACAATGGTAATAATAACAATAAAATTATTTAATTTTAAGGAATGGGGTTATTTTTCGAAATATTTATTTTTAAATATTTGAAAAATAAAATGTTTTTTTTTTTGCAGATTTAAATTGTTTCTATATAATTTATTTAACAATTATAAATAGATATAAAAGGAAAGATTATATTAATAAATAAACAAAAGTAATTTAGAAACCAAAGAAAAATATCAATAACCACCCAACAATTACCTTTCAAAGATAATTATATTACAAATGTGTGTTAATTTCATAAACCTCTAACCCCCCATATTTATATTAAAAAAACACAATTTCCATTTTTATTTAACCCACTTCTCTTATAAATAGTTACAATATATATAACTCTATAGAAATTATTATTAATCTTTTTTGATTACATTAGAATAGAGGAGACAGATTAATTAATTTTTGTGTGTATATCATATATTACCTATTAAATCTTTTTAATGATAGAATTTGTAATTATTATCCTGTATTAAAAATAACAATATAGTGGGTTTGTTTATTTTAAAAATAAATATATATTATTATTATTTTTTATTTTATTTTATTTTTTATTATTTATTTCAATAATTCACAATTCAATAATTTTATTATTTAAACCATATATGTGTGTGTGTAAATAACTCCAGTTTTTATGTTATAATAAATTTTATAATGGAAAATTATAATAGCGCAGATACAAATAATAATGACAGTGGTGATAAAAAAATGAACCCAATTATTAAATTAATTGTAAATCACTATAAAAACAATCCACAAATTAAAAGTGAAAAACAAATAGAGTCTGAAAAGTATTTAATTGGTCCAATCAAATTCAATAGACTCATTTTATTACCGATGGCACTCATCTCTCAGTTTGTTGTAGGTTCGCTTTATTCATGGTCCGTTTATAATAAGCCGGTGGATGGTATTATATTTAATAACGAAAATGCAGGAAAGGCTCCAATTACATTCTACATTGTTTTTTTTTTCTTTGGTTTAACTGGTGCGGTTGTAGGTCCATGGATGGATAAAATGGGTCCAAGAAAAACATTGTTGATAGGTGGTACTTTCTTTAGTATTGCTCATTTTCTTGCTGCTGTTGCTATAACCATTAAATCAATATGGTTGTTGTACATCGGGTTTGGGTTTTTAGGTGGAGTTGGCTTATCATTAACATATCTTAGTCCAGTATCAACTTTGCAAAAGTGGTTCCCAGACTATAGAGGTTTTGCAGCAGGTTTAGCGGTATGTGGATTTGGTGCTGGTTCAATTGCATTCTCGAGAATTCCCCTAATGATAATCAAGCATGTTTCATTACCAATTAATTTTGTAATTTTAGGTTTTGTATTTTATGCAGTTATATTATTGTCAGCATTCGTATTTAGAACCCCTCCACCAAACTACAGGGTAGAAAGAGAATCAAAACCACTTGATAAGGCACAACATCAACAACAATCATCATCATCATCATCATCAAATGGTAGTGAGGACGATATAGTTGGGGGTGAATGTGAAGAACAAGTAGTAACAGTTGAGATAAAAGAACCAAAGTTTTCAGATTATAAATTGGGCGATGCATTGGTTTCAAGAGAGTTTCAAATTTTGTACTTTATGTTTTTATTCAACATTACATTTGGTGTTGTTGCTATCAGTAGACTCAGTGATATGACTCAAAATCTATTTGATAAATCTAAGGATATTGGTGCAATGGTAGTTAGCGTTAATGGTGCCTTCAATTTATTTGGTCGTTTATTCTTTGCTCTATCATCCGACAAGCTAGGTAGAAAAAACACATTTATTTTAATCCTTACAGTCCAATGTTTCACCGTTGGTTTCTTAATTAAAGCAATGCAAGATAAAAACTATGAAGCATTTATTGGGTTAATTTGGATATCAACAATGTGCTATGGAGCTAGTTTTGGTACTATACCCGCCTTCTTAAATGACATGTTTGGCTCATCCAACGTAGGTGCTACTCACGGTCTAATGATGAGTGCATGGTCGATCGCTGGTGTGGGTGGTGGTATTGTTTTCACAATAATCTATAACAATCTATTAAACCATCATGGATACACATATAAAGATTCATTCCCATATGTTGTAAACTATTACTGGATCGTCTCATTCCTATGCATTGGATGGATACTAATTTGGTTTGTCCGTACTACCGAGCAAGAAGTTTATTTGCCTCCAGTCAATGGTCAAATCGTTAAATTTTATATACCAATATATGGTGGTTGTATTAGAATTTCGAAATCAAATGGCTTTGAATTACTTTCAAAATATAAATATAACCAAGAATGGAATGATTTTATAATAAATAAATATAATAAAAAAAACAATCAAAATAATCAAAGTAATCAAAATGACAATAATAACAATAATGAAAATAATCAAAAAAATAATAATATCGAAATTGAAAATTTGGGTATTTAATAAAAAAATAAAAATAAAATAAAATTAATATATTATTAATTAATTTTTTTTTTAAAAAAAGTAATCTTAAAATAGAGATGAGATTCTAGAATTAAAATAAAAATGAAATATATATTTATTTTTCTATTTATTTTTCAATTTTATTTTTTTTATTTTTTTTTTTATTTTTTTTTAATTTTTATTTAATTTTTTAAAAAATTTTCTTTTTTTCTTTTTTTTTTTTTCGAAAGCGATAAATATAATTTTGTATAAACTACTTTAAATAGTATATGTAATTTATTTACAAATCATAAAATTTAAAAAATAAATTATATAAATAGCAGATAACAACACATTATTATAAAGCTCAAAATAGGTTATTTAATCTTTTAAATTATTTAAATTTTTTTTTTTTTAAATAATTAATAATTTCACACAAAACACACGCTCATAAACACACACCAAACATTTATTATATTTTTTTTTCGAAACTTGAATAAATAATAAAATAATAAAATAATTTCAAATAATAAAATAAAAAAAAGTATATGATCTCACAAAAAATTATTAATTTATAAATTATTATAATAATAAAAACTTTTAATAATAAAAGCCTATATAATTTTTTTATTTATTCATTAAGACAAATTTTAATAAACATAATAGTATAAAATAATATAGTGTATAAATTATAAAAACCTCATAGAATATAGAATATAGAATATATAATAATATATTATATTAAATATAATATAATATATAAATAATGGCAACAACTAGTAGTTCATTGCCCATACCAGTCAGCCCAAATAATAATAGCAATAATAATAATAATAATGGTAATAATAGTCAAATTGGCAGTTATAGTTCACATCATATAGGGAGCTATAATATAGTTAGTCCAAGCTCACTAAATTCAAATCATATAGGTAGTTATAATAATAATAATAATAATAATGGTATTAATATTAATAATAGTAATAATAATAGTTATATAGCGTCACCATTTAAAAGATCACCAAATTTATCATCTATACCTCCTCCTCCACCATCTTCATCATCAAAATATCCATTGGAATTAACTGATAAAAATCAAGTGTAAGTATTAAACCTTATTATTATATTATCGAAAAGCGCTATTATTATTAATATTAACATTAACAAATTTCTTTTATAAAAAGTTGTAATTTAAAAATTAATTTAGATAAATCACATTTTATAAATGGTGAAGCAGTGTGTGGAAAAGTTAATATTCTTTTAACAGATAGACAGTATATAAAGAGAATAAAGTTACAATTATGTGGTTATGAAAAAATATACCATCATCAGTCATCATCGAATATATATCAAACCAATAAATTTTATAGTGTTAATCTGAATGTACCACCAACCAATGTAAATATAGAAACATCATCATTAGCTCCAATTTATTCAGAGTTATCATCACAAATACCAATACAGCAACCATCACAACCACCACAACCACAATTATATCAAATTTACCAACAACAATTTAATAATGATATTCCATCACCACCCCAATCATTACCAAAACAAAATCCATCACAAAATATAGCTTCTCAACAATCAATTGATTATCAAGAGTTTGAAGTTGGAAATTATGAATATCCATTCGTATTTTATTTACCAAAATTTTTATCACCATCATTAAATTATATTGGATATTTATCAATATTTTATTTGGTACATTGCAAAGTTGAATATTCAAAGGGAAAGGAATGGAAAGAACAAAAGATTGTTAAAAGTTCAGAGCTTTGGATAACAGGTATAAATAAAGTATATCAAGATTATTTATTATCTAAAACTAGTTTTCAAACATTTAGACTCTCTGATTACTTGTGGCAAGATAAATCCCGTCCGGTCGAAATGGCATTATGTCTTTTAGAAAATAACTGCTATATTGGTGATACCGCTACATTCTTTATAAAGATAAAGAATCCATTAATGATAAAGTTCTCTTCCATACGCGTAGAATTATTTCAACAAATCTCATTCTTTAAACCAATAAACAATCAAGTAGCAGGCAATTTAAAAAAGTCATCAAAACTAATCAATGGTAACAATTATTACAACTATAAAGACTATGATTCTGATAACTATAAAAAAAATCGAAATCTTCAAAACAATTGCCAAGGTTATGACCAAAAAAAGAAGAATGGTTCAAAGTATCAAGTGTCGCAAACCCAAATCTTTTCAAATAATTATGACTGTAAACATTTATTAAGACCAAAGAATGAGGTTGATGCCGATACCTTAATATCCACCCACATACAAATTCAAATACCTCATAAAATTGAAGATGACCAAGTCTTTCCAACAACACATGGATTTCTCTCAATTATTAAGCACTTTTTCATCATTTCAATACCATCAATTAGCAGTGATTTTAAATTAAAAGTTCCAATTCATTTATGGCAAAGATTTGATGATATTAGTTTTAGAGCAACTTCATCGTTGGGTAATTCACCATTAAATTTATCATCAAATTCATCATCATCCTCTTCAAATGCTTCATCTCCACCATATCAACAACAACAACAACAACATCATCAATCTTATTCAACACCTTCACTACCACAATCATTCTCATCGCCATCACTTAGAAATAATAACAGCTTTGGTAATTTAAATGGTTTTAATAATAGTTTGAATAGTAGTAATAGTAATAGTCATCATGGTAGTTTCGAAAACTATAACATAATGCAGGATGAATTAAATGAAGTAGATGGTAAAACACAATTTTATATAGACGAAGATGGAAATAATAATAATATTATTTTAGAGCCCAAAGATTGGAAAATTTATTGGTTACCCAAATGGAAGGATGAGTCTTTAGAACCAAACTGTAATCTCTGTGACTCGACATTTACAATAATTAAAAGAACTCATCATTGTAGATGTTGTGGTGGTGTATTCTGTGAAGCCTGTTCATCTCAAAAGTTGGCTCTATATGATTTTGGTGTTTCGAAAAAAGTCAGAGTTTGTCTTATGTGCAACGATAAATTAAATTCAGAATCTTCAAATATAAATATTAAAAGAAAATATAATTATCCATTTTTAGTTGATTTTTAAAATATATAATAATAATAATTTATAATAGTATAACAATAATAATAATAATATTCCAATATATTTTTTTTTTTTATTTTTTTGTTTTTTTTTTTATAAAAAATTAATAAAGATATTATATTAAAGGTTATATCTGAATAAGAATAATCTTTAAACTATTTTTTTTACTTGTATAGGTACTAAAATTAAACTTTTTTTTATTTTTTTAAATTACACCTTTTATTTTATTTATTTATTCTTTTAAAAATTATAATTTAGCTTCCTCTGTAGGTTGAATAGCTGAATGGTGATAATAATAATGGAACGTGATAGTGTCTTGGTTGATTAACTATAAAATCGATAGTTGCTTTTGGGAAAAAGTAATTACTAACATTATTATTAACAAAATATTCTTCAGTTAAAAATGTGATTCTGTAATTTCCATTTTCTAATTCAGGAAATTCTCTTGCTCTACCATCTGAGTTTGTAACAACATTTTTTATAACTTCAAATTGGTTACTACCCATATCTTTTTCTAAATAGACCTATATATAAGGAAAAAGAAAATGTTAATATGCAAAAGTTAATATCTCTTTTTTTTTTTTTTTTTTTTTTTTTTTTTTTTTCTTACTTTCATGTCTCTGGCTGGTAAACCAGTAGTTGTATCTAATACATGGGTTGAAATAGTTGATAATGTTTTATGTGAGGTTTCGTGGGACATTAAATGATTGGAAATAATTTCAATTCTTTGATTGATATTCATAATTAAAAAAAATGGAAATAAAATTTAATTTAGATCAAAAAAAAAAAAAATTTAAAAAAAAAAAAGAAAAAAATTAAAAAAAAAAATTAATTTTTTATTTTAATTTTTTTATTTATTGCAATTATCCATAATTAATCATTCAGCGAAACTTTATTTGTTTATTAAAATAAATTATTTCTTTATTATTTTATATAAAGTATCTACTTTTTGAAGCAGTTATTTTATAAGAAAAACATATTAGATCCTCAAAATATAGTCAATTGTTTTTTAAAGATTTTAAAATTTTTTTTTTATAAATAAAAAAATCAATAAATAATATAAATATAAATGATTTAATTAATTAAATGGAAATTAACAAATTAGAAAATCTGGTTAAAATAACCAATGAACAAATAGATTTATTATCAGAACTAGGTGATGACGATTGTAAATTAGCAAAGAAATTATCGTTGAAAATATTAGAAATTGTAAAATTAAAAAAAGAAAATATAGTAATACAAAACACTGAAATACCAACAAATGGCCACTTTTTTATGACAAAAATATGGAGAAATATTACTATAAGAAGTGAAATTTTAAATCAAGTTAAAAAATTCAATAACCACTATCATGAAAGATTGTTTTATATTTCAGAAGAAGATATTTTAAATGGTGTGGATGGAATAAGAAAGTACCAGTATAAAGAATATTTCCAAAGAATTGGGGTATCTTCAAAAGAATCTATCAAAAATTTCCAATCATTTATAAAATTTCTACACAGTTCGATGCCCACGAATGTCAATTATTTAAACTTAGAAATGACTAAGTTGTCCCAATTCCAAGTCGACCAGCCAGTATATATAAATGAACCACTCGTACCAAGTTCAATTACCACTTTGTGTATGCCAAAGGTTTTTAATTTCAAAATTGGCCCCAAGGCAATCCCACCTACGGTAAATTCTCTTCAATTAGGTAGTTTTGATCATCCTCTGTCAGAGTCAATTGTTCTATCAAATGGTACTCTTTTATTGGAGCCAGTGCTACCCAACATAGGTTTAAAGTACTTAGACTTAGGTGGTTTATTTAATCAAACTATTTATCCTGGAGTACTCCCTCAAACCTTGACAAGTCTTAAACTATCAAATTATTTTAACCAACACCTGATTGTTGGAAGTTTACCCGATGGAATAAAACACCTTAAAATGGGAATACTTTTTAATAAGAAACTAATAAAAGGGGTATTGCCCTCGAAGCTAGAGCATCTTGAACTTTCAATTCATTATAATCAGCCAATAGACGAGAATGGTATTCTACCATCAGGTTTAAAAGTATTGGTTTTTGATTTGTTTAGTCAATATGATCACCCGATCGAGGCTGGTGTTTTTCCAGATAGCTTAACAGATTTAAAACTTGGTCAAGATTTTAACCAAAGCTTGGAAAATCTTCCTAAAAGTATAAAAAAACTAACGATATGCGAGTATTTAGATCAAGATTACTTTCCAACAATTCCCGAATCAGTTGAAGATTTAAGATTGTTCGAATTCTCTGATAATTCAGTTTTGGATGAAGAATGGCACAGTGGTTTGGATGCTTTAAAATCATTAGAGATTTCCGAAAGACAAACATTATTATCAATTCCATCGAGCATTACTAGATTAAAGGGTTTTACAATATTGGAGGAGTCAAATCAGTCATACAGAGACCAGTTATCATTATTACATAGCATTACAAATTTAAAAGAACTCTCAGTTTTCATTCCCCATCATAAAACGTTACAAGAATTTGAAATCCCAAAACAAATAGAATTTTTAAAATTCGAAGCACTAAGTTCCCAATTATTTACTAGAACACTTCAACATTGTTATCAATTACACACCCTCATATTTTCATTTGAATATAAAATGCCAATTTTACCAAATAGTCTCCCAGATAGTTTAACAACTTTAGTACTAAGCCCCAATCAGAATATTCCCTTTGAAAAAGATGCTCTTCCATCAGGTTTAAAGAACTTATCAATTAAAGGTTATGATATACCATTGGAAAGTTCTCATTTTAGTCAATCAATCAAACTTTTAGAATTTGGTTATGATTGTACTCAAACCTTAACAGAAAATAATCTACCACCAGAAATCGAAACTCTTATCATTTGGGGATTTAAAACCAAAATTCAACTACCTCTTCCAAAAACTTTAAAAACAATATATCTTTTTAGTGGTAATCAAACTATTTTAGAAAATATTGAATTATTCAATACTTTATTACCTGTAATTAGAGTTTTAAATAGCAATTTATTATCAAAAATATTTGATAAACAATGTAAATAAACAAATAAATAATTCAAACTTAATTTTTATCACCAAAAACTATATTTCTTTTTTTTTTTTACTAAAAACTAAAATTACTTTTTATAAATATTATGCAGTTAATTCAAATTATAAGCTTTTTAAAAAAATTTTTTTTTGAAACTTTTCTTTTTTGATACATTAAAATAATTATTATTAATTAATGACTCCCCCATTTTCGTCTCCGAAAGTATTAATCCATAGGTAATGAGGGTAAAATATGAAGAAAATAAATTATAAAAAAAAGAAAATATAATTTTTTACTTTTACTGGAGGAAAAATAATGGTTTTTATTTATTTTTTATCTTTATTTTTTTCTTGTTGAACTTTTTCATAATCTGGAATTTGGTTATCTTTTATTTCTAATGTATAATCAAAATATTCTTGTTCATATTTAATTCCATCAAAAATATAACCAAAATAGGTTGAATGATCCGAATATTCGTAATCAGTGCCAATTTTTACATCATGGTAGTACCAGGACAAAGCATTCATATAGTTTGTTAGGACTAAACGTGAAAGCTTGATCATTTTTTCTTTACAAGCTTCGGTACATCCTTCTCCAATATCGGGGAAACTATCATTATTTGTACTAAAAAGTGAAACAAATGGATAAAAAAAATCAATTGGTCTTTCTTCTAATTTTTTGACATCATATTGATCATGGCAGCACATTTTTATATTTAAAAGAATGGGTATTAATTAAAAAAAGTAGGTTCAAAAATAAAACAATTAAAAATTATTTTTAAAAATATTTTTTGTTTTTGAATTAAAATTTATTTTTATAAAAAAATTAAATTAAATTAAATTTATAAAATTAATATTTTTGTTAATTATTATGGCTGGTATGTGTGTTAAAATATTTAAATATAAAAATGTGTAATGGAGAAAGTGGGGTTGGTGTTCAAAAAAAAATATATAATAAAAAAACTAACCACATGTATTTCTATTTTTTGAAATTATTTAACTTTTTTATTTTCTATATCAACAACACATACACACTACTTTTACTATATTTTTTTAATTTTCTAAATTTGTTTATTGTTTTTTAATTTATTTGGTGTTCTCAATCTTTCCCATCTACATTGATGATTTTAATTTTCCACTCCCAATTATTGTATAAATTTGAACATATATGTAGAAAATTAAATTATAAAAAAGGAAAATATAACTTTTTACTTTATTGGATGAAAAATAATGGTTTTTATTTATTTTTTATCTTTATTTTTTTCTTGTTGAACTTTTTCATAATCTGGAATTTGGTTATCTTTTATTTCTAATGTATAATCGAAATATTCTGGATCATATTTATATCCATCAATAATAAAACAAATATAGGATGAATGACCCGAATATTCGTAATCAGTGCCAATTTTAACATCGTGGTAGTACCAGGACAAAGCATTCATATAGTTTGTTAGGACTAAACGTGAAAGCTTTATCATTTTTTCTTTACAAGCTTTGGTACATCCTTCTCCAATATCGGGGAAACTATCATTATCTGAATTAAAAAGTGAAACAAATGGAAAAAAATCAATTGGTCTTTCTTCTAATTTTTTGACATCATATTGATCATGGCAGCACATATTTTTATTTGTAAAAGAATGGTCTATATTAAAGAAAATAATTTAAAAAAATTTTATTTTAATTATTATTGAAATTAGAATTTTATGTTTTTGAAATAATAATACATTATAAATTAAAAAATAATAAAAATTAAATTAAAATAATTTATTTATAAATTAATTTTTTATAATTAGTTACTAATTAATTTAAAAAGTAAAAAAGTAGTGTGAAGGTGGGGTTGGTGTTCACATAAAATATATAAAAAAAATTTTACACCCCTAAAAGAAATAAAATATAATAGAATTAAAAAGGCATTCTCCTGACATAATTCATCTTAACTTTTGATAATTTTGTTATATTCACATTTCTATATTTATTTTTTGGGGAAAATTTTTGTGAACCTTATTTTTCTTAGGTAAAATCTTCATGATCTACTTGGGATACACATTTCTGGCTCTTTGTGAAACTTTTTTAATTAATTTTTACAAGCTAATATAAAAACAATTAAAATTAAAATCATTTTCAATTCCTTATAAGAATAAAAATAAAAATGATAGAAATTAATCAAAGAAATTAAAAACTTTATGATTTCATGTCCTACAACAGTGGGTGAATTGATCGTGTATTTAACCAAGTGAATTTTTTTATTTTTTTATTTTTTTATAAAAATATAATAAATTATTTATTGTGTGATGATAATACAATTAAATGGTATAGATTTAAATGTTATAGCATTTAAAACATACTATAATGATTTTAAAAGGTACCAAATCAAACAAATAACCAACAAAGAAATAGAGCAATTTGAAAAAAAAAAAAATAATTATAGATTATAGCAAAAATCATAATGACAAAGATTGTTTAAATGAAGTTACCAAAATCATTGATACCCATGAAGAAGTACCATCAAATGTAGAATTTATCATTTATAATGGGGATAGCTTCACAGAAATAAAGAATGAAAAAAAAAGCAGAACAACAGGAATAAAACTAAAGATTTTTTTAAAAAAATTCAAAGTAAAGAAAATCTATCATCAATATCATCTTTCCGATTTTGGAATGGAGCAACTATTTGACATTGATACCTTACTTGAGTCCATTAATTTAAGTGGTAATGTTTTCAATGACCCTGGAGATCTGTCAGGATTAAAGAAAATGAATCCAAAATTACAACAATTATCAATTTCAATTCCTTTCCGTGATGTAATAAGAGCTATTTTGCATTCTCTATTAGTTCTGTAGATGTTAAAATGATTTTAATAGCAGTTGCATCAAACCTATATATCAAGCAATTCAAATTTGATTCATTTTATTTCAAAGATATGTTTAAATTAATTTCAATCTTAACGAAATATATAGTTTAAATTTTTACTCCATCCATTTAATGTATAAAGAAGAGCAACATCAAGATTTAATAAAATTGGTTAATTCAAATCATTGCAACATTGAAGAGTTTCACTTATTTTTCCCTGGAAATGATAAAGACAATAAAACTGAAAAAATAAATAATAAAATAATAATTTATAAATAAAAAAAAATAATTTTATAAAATTATCTTTATTTTCCATCTTTTTTATTTTTTATTTTTCTAATAAATTAAACTTTTCTATAATTGCATTTCTAACTTCTTCTGTATAAACTTTTCTAACAAAAAATGTTCCTTCTTTAAGAGTGTCCAAATCGTTAATGAAAACTCCATATCTGTATTTATCATCTCTAAATGGATTATTTAACCACATTGTTAAACGATGGCAATCTTTAGTCCATATTTCTTTCTCTAATTGTGGATAGAATACTTTTGAGGATTGGAAAAATATTTCATCTGGTATATCGATAAATTTGAATGAAAATAACTTCTCTATTGATTTAATATTACCAATTAAATAGTTTGCATAAGTTGATGTTAGTATATGCCATTGAGTGCCATCAGAAATTCCATTTCTGTTGTAATAATTCATTATTCCATGCTTTCCACATTGATAAAGTTCAAAAATATCATCTGGAATAGGCATAGGTTCGAAATGTAAAATATCTTTTGAAAATTCTAAATGTGTTTTCTGAAGAAATAAAATATTAGTATTTTTATTAATTTAAAAAAAATTTATTATAAAACTTACATGGTATCTTATAGTCTCTTTAAGTGATAGCTCTTCCAAATAATTTGTTTTATAATTTTCACAGAGTAACCTTGTTAAATTTGAAATTGGGATTGTTGGCATATCATTTAAACTTAAATTAATTACATGTGACCATTGAGAGTATTTATTGGTAACCATTGTTCTTTCATGAACCATATCGAATAGTTTTCCATATGATGCTAGTTCCATATAAACTAATGTAATTGAACCCCAAGTACCTAAAAATCTTTCTTCCATTATTAAAATATTGCTGGGTAGATTTTCATATTTTCTATTTTTTAATTTATGATTAATTTCAAATACTTTTAATATATTTTTTAAATTGTTTATTTGGTTTTCATCTTTTATACATTTATCAACTATTTAAAAAATAAAAAATTAGTATGATATTTTAATTTAATAATTAATATAAATTTGGTATTTACCATGCAAAACATAATAATGAAATGGTTTATAATATATATTGAATAAGGTTTTAATTGCTTCAATGTCTATTTTATGTATAAGAATAGTAAATGCTATTGGATTGGTATTCTCTGTTTGGTTACATAGATATGGATATGAATTGATATTTAAATCTACATAATCTTTATATTTTAAAACATAGTGATTATTTATATCTTTTTCGAATAATATATTTAATAATTCAGTATCTGTTTCTCTCCATGGACCATATGTTTTTAAAATATCCTCCAATTTATCGTTGTCTGTTTGATATTTATTATTTGTAATTTTCATTTCTGTTAAATTTGAATCGGTTCTGTATTTTTGCCAGCAACAAATATCACCAAAAGGAACATCTTTAACTATTGCATCTGCACACTTTTCTACACTACTTTTAATTTCGCAATTTTTACCTGTAAATGAAAATGGACATTTGCAATTTTCATTACTATTCATAGAAATCCCACCATTTTCACATTGTTTAAAATTGGGGATTTCTATACAATTTGATATTATTAATTTAAAAAATATTATTAATAAAAATAGTATAGTTTTCATTATAATTATTTTTATTATTAATTTATTGTATATCTATATTATCTAGTATTGTTTATTGTTATAGTTATATTTATTTTTTTTATTGTTATATAAATCAAAATTAATAATAAATAAAATAAAATAAAAATTTTTTAATAAAAATTCTTTTTTATTTATTTTTATTTTTTTAATTATTTTTTAAGGGATTTATTTCCCCCTTCAATATTACCACACCCCAAAAATTTTTTGTATTTTATTATTATGTGAGTGAATTTTTTTAAAATATTTTACAATGAAAAGTGTTTATTACCTTTTTCAATTATGTATTATAACTATCTTTTTTTTTACACTTTATTTTCAAATTATTAAACATATTAACAATATTTTTTTATTTTTTGCGCTTTTTAACTTTTTTTATAATATCTTTTGTTTTTTTAAATTTAATTTGTTATAGATTTATTTTTAAAAAATTATTTATAAATATGTGCTTTAAAAGTTCGTTATAATTTTGATTGTTTAATGGATATATGATTTTAGATTGGTTATGATAATTATTATTACTATTGTTATTTTTATTATTATCATTTATATCTATATATTCTATTTTAATTTTTTTTATATTTAATATTGTTATTCCTTGATTAAAAAAAAACAAGTAATCATCAAAACAATTGATATTTGATTGTGGTTTTCTTATATAATTATTATTTGATAATTTATATATTAAATTTATATTTTTATTATTATCACTGTTTTCTTGAATTAAATTAAATAAAAAAAATTTTGAATTATTATTACTTTGGTTTTCATTTTTAAAATTTGAAATATTTTTAATTATATCTTCAATTGAAACATCCAATTCGTTCTTTCCCAAAATTGAAATGTTTTCTATTTCTTTTTCATCAAGAACTCCTTGATAAAAACTAACATCATATGTAATTTCTTTTGAACAATCAATAGTATATTCTTTAAAATTTATTAATACCTTTAAAGAAATATGAAATGATATATCATTTTTGTTTATAAAACATTTTTTGACTAAATTTAAATTCTCTAATCCAAACTCCTGTAAAATTATTCCAAACAATATATTTAATTCCTGTCCAAAGAATCCAGAATTCTCTTTAATAACCCTATTTAATGAATGTTTATTATTTTTAAAATATTTATAAATGATTGGTTTAATTATTTTATTTATAAATTTTTCTTTTAATATTAATATATCTTTATAATAATTGATTTTAAATTCTTTTTCTATACCAAGATTATTTATAAAAAATAATTTTAAATCACTTTCATTATTTCTATTTACTGAAATATTGAAATCATAATATCCTGTTAGTGATAATACCATTTATAATATAATTTATAGTTTTTATAAAAATTTAATTTTAAATTAATTAAAGAAAAAAATTAAAAATTTTATTTCAAACTTTAATATTTCCCCAATGAAATAAAAATAAATTAAAATTTTAATTTAACACACAAAATAATAATAATTAATAATAATGATTTGTTTAAAGATAAAAAAAATTATTAATAATTTTTTTTTTTTTAATAGAGATAAAAATTTTTTATTTTTATTTATCTATTTATTTAAATATCTATTTTGAAAACTTCATATTCTTCAATTTTATAATTTTTTTTACCTTTTCCTTTAAAATCGTAATATTGTTCGAAATAGCTGTCTTTATTTATATTACAATCTGACGAAATTGTTAAACCTTGATGAAGTAATCCAAACACAGGGCCATATTTAATGTTTGAATATATAGTTTGAAAATTTTGATTCCCACTTTTTTTAATTAAAACTGGTGGTAGATTTGATAAATCAAATAAAAACATTTGGTCATCTAGTTGATATTGTGTTGAAGGTGACCAATACTTTGATGTAAATCCACCAAATATATTATCTTTAGATTTAACAATGGTTATAGTTGGTCCTGCAAAGTCACATAATTCATGAAATAAACTTGCTGAAAAGTTATTTTCTGATGCCTATATGAATTGTGAAAAACAAACCATAAGTATATTATCCCTTGATAATGTGAAGTAATTACTTACTCTATATATTAATGTAGTTTTTTTTATCTGAAGAGAATCTTTTATTAATTTAATCAAATCATTTGATAGAAATTGTGGTAATATTTTAGATTGGTAAAAATGATATGGGTATAAAATCTGCTTTAAACCTTGTAAACAATAAAAATCAGCTTCAACAAACAATTCTCCTCTAATAATTGGGCACTTTGGTAAATTATTTATGTCACCTCTTAAATAATTTAGTATATATCTAAAATGAGATCCATCCCTAAATATTATTTAAATACTATTAATAAATCTATTATTATTATTATTATAATTATTTTTTATAATTTACCTATCAATAAAAAGTGTATCTGGTTTATTTTCTTTTTTTATTAAATTGATATTATAATTACCAGAAAATAATATATCGAAATATGATTCTTTTTCGTTTGTTAGAGTACCTCTTGTTGTATAATATTCAACACCACCTATATTTAATACTATTGGCTCACCAAATGATTTGATATAAAGATCATTATTTTTTATACTACAGCCATTATTTTTGTCACTACTATTGTTATTTAATAATGTTACTGTTAAACTATTCTCTGGGAAATCATTCATTTTTATTTTATTTTATTTTATTTTATTGTGTATAATTATTAAACAAATAAATAAATTTAAAAAAAAAAAATGAAATAATTAAACACACTATTTTTTTTTTATTTTTTTTTTTTTATTTATTTTTTTATAATAATTTTTTATTATAAGAAATTAAAAAGGAAATAGTTCCTTTTTTAACAAATTAAATGTTGCAATGATTATATTATTGTAAATCCTTATATAAAACTATATTTTTGTGCGATAATATCTATATTTAAATCCGTGATTAAAAACAACAAAAAACAAATATATATATATAAATAAACAAACAAATAAAAAAATAAGTATAATTGGATAAAATTTTATTTGTTTTTTTTTTATTAACTGTAAATTTGATATCTTGTCCCAAACATCCTAAATAAATACTTGGTACTGTTATTTTTATCTTTATATATTTGACAGAATAATCATATCAAATCACATATAAAATAATAAATATTTAATTATTGTTTTGCTAAAAATTTCTTAAAAGATTCTTAATTAGTCAGGTTTGGACTCCCTCTTTTTTTTTTGTTTGCATAAGTGGCACCGATGTGTTAATTAATTCTATTTAAAAAATTTCAATAAACAAAAAAAAATTAAAAAAAAATAAAAAAAAATAAAAAAATAAATAAAATAATTAAATATTATTTTTTTTATATTTTTTTATATTTTTTTTGAAGAAATTTTCAAACTAAAATAAATTTCATATTTAAAGTATTTTTAAATTACCTTTTTCATTAAATTCAACACTTAATATTAAATAAATTATATTAATATTACTAAAATATATATATTCTACAAATAAAATGACATCAAATTTTGTTAAAAGACCATTATACGGTGGAGCCATCGAAATTTCCATTCCAGAAAGATTTAGAGATATTACCCAATTTAGACAAGTTCCAGACCACCAAGAAGTTTTTGTTGACGAAAAGTCTGATCAAAGTTTTATCGTTGAATTAAATGAAAAACAAAGCGTTGTTGATGATCAAGCCATTCTCTTCCACTATGAAAATTTAACCGAAGAATTAGAATTACCAAAAGAAAAATCAGTCGTTTTAAACCAAAGAAAATTAACCAATGATGAACTCCCAAATTTCCCAAATAATCCAAAATATATCTTATTAGCTCAACAAAAAGTTGCAAAATTTAAAGAATCCGCTGAAAATACTGTATGCATTTAAAAATAATAACAAACAATCAACTATAAGGAAATAACAATAATAATAATAATAATAACAATAATAATAACAAATAATAATTTTTAAATAATATTTAGGTTAATTTATATATGCTCTTAGTTAGATTGGAAAAACAAAATACAGATATTTTAATCATATTAAATGACACTATCGAAATTTCTCCAGCCAGTAGCAGCAAAAATGCTCAAACTCAAACAAATCAATCTGAAGTTGAAGCTCTCTTTTTAAATTCCATAAAATCATTCAAGATTAATGATTACTCTCTTTTCCAAAATAATTAAAAAGTAAAAAAAAAGAATGAAAAAAAAAAATGAAAAAAATAAAACTAATATTCTTTATTAAACTTGGTTATAGTTAATAAAATAATCAATATACAATTCCAAATGGTCTTAATTATTTATTTTATTTTATTTAATTTGCTGTAGTTGTCGTAGTTGTTGTTGTTGTTGTCTTTGTTGCATTTTTTAATTTACTTGGTGAAATCATATTGGGATCAAAAGGTTTACATTGTTTAACTCTGGTTCTTTCTCTGCAAACTGGACATTCTAATTTCAAGGATAGCCATTGATTCCAACACTCATAACAACAAACATGGTTGCAGGGTGAGTAATATGGATTATCATAGGCTGATTGACAAATGGGGCAACAATCTATAAAAAACAAAAAACATTAGTATCATTACATAAAAAACCATATGGTTTTAAAAATCAATGCATACCTTTGTTGATATTATTATTTGAAATACTATTACCACTATTATTGCTATTGTCACCATCATCTTTATTATTTTCATTTATTTTTAAAAGTTCTTCATTATATTTATTTTGAGGATTATTTATACTACTATAATAACGACTAATTCCGGCTGTAACATAATGACTATCACTACAATTGCTGCTATTGTTTCCTGTTATTGTCGAATTTGTTTTCTTTGGTGTTAAAAATCCTTTTGGATGTCTTGGTGATTTAACTTGCTTCCCTGATATTAAATCATATTCGACTCTTTTCTTTTTTAATGGTGTAGTTATTTGTAAAGATGAACTAGTTGTTTGTGATGAGTGATTTATTGGTTTAGATATGAACCTATTACTATTTTTGGTATCTTCACCAATAAATATTGTATCATCATCAAACTTACTATTATTATTATTATTATTATTATTATTATTATTATTATTATTATTATTATTATTATTATTATTATTATTGTTATTGTTATTTATGTTACCGCTGGATGAATCTGAAAGAAAAATTAAATCGTCATTAAATTTATCATCGTTATCTTTTTCATTTAATTTTAATAAGGTGTGGTTTAAAACTTCTTCATTTAAACTATTAGAAAAATTGATGTTGAAAGATTGTTTTTTTGGATGACTTTCTAAATCTTCTAATGTTTTATCGGTTTTGAAATTATTATTATTATTATAACGGTCAAACTCATCTACTACGGTTTTTTGATGCTGGAATGGTGTCAGTGATGGTGAGTTTGTATTTGGTGTATTATCCTTGGGTGTTAAATTTGAATTTGGTGTAATACTATTATCTTTGGGTGTTACATTATTATCTTTTGGTGTTACGTTATTGAAGCTTATATTATTGTTACTATTTAATGGTGAGTTTTCGTGATCTGAAGATATTTCTTCTATTTTTCTTTTAATTGGAGATGATAAGTTTTCAACACCACCACTATTGCTTCTACTACTACTACTACTTTGAGAATGGACTATTACTAATTTATCATTAGTATTATCTATAATATTGTTCTTATTGGTTATAATACTATTAGATGATGAAGCACTTTCTTCACCTATAGATGCATTACTACCAATACTATTATCATTATTATTATTATTACTAACTATAGAATCTATATCGATTGAAGGCAAAATTTCTTCCTCTTCTTCTTCTTTTTCTTCATTTTTAAATTGATCTACATTGTTGAATAAATCCAACACTAAATTATCTACATCACCACTAAATTCTGGTAAACCCTCTTGCTTGTTATCAGCTGAACTATTATAATTGAGGGATCCCATAGTTATTTCATATTTATATTATTTAATTATTATTTATTATTATTGTATATATAAATTTATTAAATATATATTATTATTTTTTAAGATTTTAAAAAAAAAAAAATGAAAATTTAATAAAAAAAAAAAAAAAATTAAAAAAAAAAAAAAAAAATTTTATTTTATTTAAAAATTTGGTTTTTATAGGAAATTCCAACATATTTTATTTTAAAAATAATTAAGAAAAATACTTATAACAAATATTTATTATCTTTTATTATCATTACAGGACCAATAACTATTTTTTCGTATGAATTTGGAAGATTTAATAATTTAGTATTATAGAATTGCGGAAGACGAATCGTTTTTACAGATGAAGGTACATTAGATTGGTTTAAAGGATGTTGATAGAATGAACCAAAATCCAAATGCTCTATATTTTGATGAAGAACACCCTCCTTTAAACGCCTGTCATAACAGTATCCAAAATGTAATGTTTTGACTGACAGTGGAATTACACCTTTAGAAAATGGTTTATTAAATTTTATACCCATTTTTAAAACTTGTAGAGAATTTGGAAGTACCCCAATACCAATAGTTTTATCGTATTTTTTAAATATTAGTGTATGTACATTAGGTAAGTCACCAACATTAAGACTACTATTAAACTCACCAGAAAGTACTAACTCCTTTAAAGATATAGGGAACTGACTCGATCTTATAGGAACACTGGTAGTGGTGGGTGCAAATATTAACGCTTCAAGCGAATCTAAAAATTCAATGCCATACAATGTTGTTCCGCCTTTTAAAGTTAGCTTTCTGACACAAGAGGGTATTTCTGCAGGCTGAAAACCATTATTAAATATTATCTCTGTTATATATTCTTTGTGGTTGTGTCTCAAATATTCCAACCTTGTATTAAACACAGCTTTATAGTTATCTTTAAATAAATTTAATTGCTCTATAATTGCTTTTCTTAATACCACATTCCTCCAAATAAATAAAAAATCAATATTATTAATATTATTATTGGTGGCCATTTAAATTAAAATCTTTTAAATTTCTTTTTTTTTTTTTATATTGCACAATAATTTCTGAAATTTGAAAAAAAAAATTTTATTTTTTTTATTTAAAATATTTATCAGTATTTTTTATGCTTTCAGTGAAAATATGCTCCATATAAAATAAATGAGGATTTAAAATATTGAAACCTAAACTATCAGCAATTTCACATTTTGTTAGATATTCATTATCTTTTAGATTTATTATTTTTTGATCATTGCAATTTGGTTCTTGATATTGTTTGTGTATAGCCATGCTTAGGTTAAGTAATTCGGTAATACCAATTTCAACTATTTTAGAAACCAAATATTCCACTATAGGATAAGTAAACTCATCAGTGTTTCTTAGGCAATTTGAATATATAAAAACTGCAGCATCGTCATCATGTGGGGTGCCACAATCATGAATTTTAATTTTTTTTAAAGATGGATTTAAATCTAGTTTTAAATTTGAAATTTCAATTACTTTATAACCACCATTGATATATTTATATTTAAATAATATTGAGTCTATAACTCTTAAATTCAAATCCTTAGCCACTAATCTATATACCATTACTATAGGTGTTTTAAACTCTATAAGTTTGTTGACCAACACCTTAGTGCCCCAGTATATGGGTAAGCAATTTAATCCAGCATTATTAATGTAGAGCAGACTATTTAATTTATTAAATGTGTCAGTGTCATTGGATGAATATTCTATAAAAATTGATGCGGTAATTTCTGATAAGTTTTTTTTTAAATGTTTAATTATGTTTTTATTAAAATGGATAGAATTTTTAAGTGGGGATAATTTTGAATGGTCACTAATGTCTTTTGAAAATGGATCAGGACTGTGAAAATGTAGTTTTGTGAAAGTTAATATCCAGTTTGAAATTAAATAGTATTCTTGCATTGATATCTTAATATTTAAATTATATCGATTTAAAATCTGAACGAATGTTAAGTTTTCATTTTTACATTCCTTGAAACAATTTAAATCATTTCTATCTCTAACTTCTTTTAATTTAATTAATAATTTTAAAAATCTTTCTTTTAAAAGGTTATATTGTTTTTCAAAAATAAACCAAGTTATGATTGCTCTAAAGTGACATGAGTTTTCACCTACCAAAGGGTCGAAAGAAATATAGTTTTTATTTATAAAATCGTTAGCAGCACCTTCTATTAATACCATTAATGTTTCATAGTGAATTTTAATTTGTAAAATTAATTGTTGATTACGGGTTCCAGTCAAATTAAAATTGACTGGGAGTAAATTTTTTAAATATAAAAACTTTTCATATGGCTCTATTTCTCTTTTTTCCTCCATTGTTTAATTATTTCTTATATTATATTTCTTAATAAAAATCAATTTTATCTTGTATTTTAAATATATTAACTTGATAATAAAAAAAAAAATTTTAGGAAATTATTTATATAAAATTAGAAAAAAAAAAAAAACAAATTATAGTTTCGATATGTAAGTGTGTGTTTTTAAATAAAAAATCTTTTATGATAAAAGACTTTTATTTTTAAATACTTGATACATTCAATATAATTAATAATAATTGGTTATTTATTGTCATTTTTAAAATTTACACCCTATATATTAATTTTAATCATAACCTTAATTTTGAATTTTATATCTATTTGTAAATTTATTAATTTTTTATTATAATCATCTGATAATATCAAACAAATAAACTTTTAATATTTTTTATTTTATAGATTTCCCCTATAATTTTATATTTTATAAATTTTTTTTTTTTTCCCAAATAATAAAATTATGCAGAATCCTATGTTAACATCGGTGTATTAAAAATGATACAACATTGATACAAGACAATACAAGAAAATCAAATTAAAAATAATTATAAACATTTAGAGAATAAAGATTTTACAATATTAATTATGTTTAATATAAAATTAGATACCTATATTGATAAATTTAAAATTATTAAAGATAAAAAAAATGTTATCTGGGTCAAAAATTTTGATAACTACTGTATTGTTTATTATTATTTATAAATTAATTAAAATAAAATAAAATATTGGTAAAATTAAATTATCAATTTGATTTGTTGAGGCTTCTATAACTGAACATAGAGTGGATGCAAAAATAATTTTAAAAAGAGTGAATGTAGTGAATGAAGAGGATGTGAAAAAGTAAAATAAGAGAGATGCTAAAATTGTAAAAACGGAGCCTGCTATTGTTCCCTCGATTGATTTGTGTGATGAACCAAACCATTTGGTACGGCCATATTTTACACCGAAATAAGATGCCATTGTATCACCAACCCCAATCGTTACAATACCAGAGAATGGTGATAGTACATGGTATGGTTTACTACTAGTAACGGCGGCGTTACCTAATAAATCTATAAAAAAAGTGAAGAATAGTGGTATCGAGCAACCCAATAACAAATATAAATGGGTTAATGTTGCAATGCCAGAGTCACGACTATCTAAAAACCTATCCATATAGATTTTGATTGGCTCGGCCAATGGAGGTGCCATTGAATACTTTAATAACTCTAATAAAACCAAAGCACTAATTGAAACTGCATAACTAAGGACCATAAAAGTGTTCATTTGGAACCCTGTGTTGTTTATACTTGCAAAACTACCACTACTTGGAAAGAATAACAATGGAGGAGTAAACATTACTATTGCTAAAATATGGAAATACTTTCTAGAGATAATCATGGGTATTTCAGAGTGAATCGATGGCTGATATAATACTATTGTACACACTAAAAGCATTGACCAGATTATCATTAACCACATAATTTCCTGGCTACTTGCAATATATTCAAAAACCCATTCAAATGGATTTTGACCAACTTGATACGAAAGTACTGGATAAATTATTAAAAATATAACACCCACTACTAATAAATAAAATTGGGTACTCTTTATAATGATTTGTTTATTTTCTGAAAATTTTGATATAATAATAGTTTTTGTATTTGATTTTATAGTAATATCATTATTAGATGTTATGGTAGTGGTTGTTTCTACTATTGGTGATTGTAAAAATGATTTTGATACAACTAACTTTCTTAAATTACTAGCAATACCAAATATACTACTAATCAATACTACCAATAATGCCCCTAAAATTAAACTATAAAAACAATATAATATATTTAAATTATTAAATTTATAACTATTATTATAATTATTATTATTATTGCCATCGGTTATGAGCAAATCAAATATATATCTAAATGATTCTGATATTAATATTGACAAAAATTGTGAAATTACTGATGCTTCACCTATTGTAAAACTAGCTGTTAATTTTTCTAATAACTGCTTGCAGACTAAAATATATATTATATTAACAAACTGTAATAAAACTGATACTATTGTTATATTGATTATTTTATTATCACTAATATTTATTAAATCTGATTCTGATGAAAATATTAATACCGCCAAACTAGTGATGAATGATATGAAGTAAACTATAAATTTATTATTTGTGGGTGGAGGGGTATTAAAGGAATTTGCTGACGAAAGTGGTGGTGATGATTTATCTTTTGAGGGAGAGGACAACCCTGATAATGATAGATAATTTAATAAATAAAGTGGTGATACTATTGAAACTGATAATAAGTGAAATAAAACCAAATCTATATTAAATGAATCTGTGCTATTATTATTACTGCCAACTATGCGATTAATATTATATAATAAAATAACCAATACATTTGGTAATAGTGATGCTGATAATGATAAACCCCAATCTGTTACCAAAGGTCTCTGTATAATAGATTTATTATTAATTTTACTAAACTTGCTTTTATTGTGCAAATAAAACTGAATGATGATATTAACTATTAAAGATAATAGTATCAAGTTTCTATTTTCGCCATCGCCAATGCTAATAAAAGATATTAAAAGTACTATAATCGAAATTGAAATTTGCAAAATAAATTCAATATTTAATTTATTATTATGATTTATACATTTATTATTTTGGTCGTATATTACATTATTGTTTTCATCATTATCATTATTACTATTATCTGAATTTTTATTTATAATATTATTTAATTTTTTTTTTTTGTTCATTATTATACATTAATTTTAATTAATATGCTGATTTAAATATTATTAAATTAAAATCGGTGGAATAGGCATCAATGAATTTTTTTTTTGAAATTAATCTAATAATCGAATTTAGAAAAAAAAAAATAAAAAATAAAAAAAATAAAAATAAAAAATAGGAAATTAATTTTTTTTTTTTTTTAAATTTTTTTCTTCTAATTAATTCTTTTATAGATACCTAAATTCTTTTTTTCTGATTTTAACAAAAATAAAAAAATAAAAAAAAAAGTCGTTGTGACACCAAATATATATATATGCAGCACAAAAAAACCAATTTTTTCAATTCAGATCAGAAAGATTGTAAGGGTCTAAAAAATTATTTTAAATGAATTTAGAAAAAAATAAATTTTTAAAAAAAATAAAATAAATTTTAAAAAATTAAAAAAAAATAAAAAAAAAAAAAAAAAATTTTAAAAAAGCTTAAATTTAAAACAAAAACACACACAGAAATCATTATTTCTTATATATTTATTTAATAAATTTAAAAAACAAATACAATTATCTTTTTTTAATTAGTTTTTTTTTTTTTATGTATATTTAAATCTTTGTGTTTGTTTTTTTTGTATATAAAAGAAAAAAAAATGAAATTTTTAAAAAACTTAATATTATTATTTATATGTTGTAATTTAATAAACTATACTAATGCATCAATATATCATATTTCAACAACTGGTAATAAGGTATTTAAAATAAAATATAATTGATATAAAATATTATTATATTTAATATAGTTTTACTGACTATCAGTTTTATTTTAAAATAAAATAAAGGTAACAGAAGTATTATCATTTTTATACTCACCTAAATCAAAAGTACCACATACTTCACCAGGTAATGGAAATTCATATATTTCACTTAATAACTCAATCATTACAGTTAACGAAATCACAGATAATTCATACCCTTTTGTAAATATATTATTCTATAGTAACCAAGCACAAAGTTTTATTGGATCAACAACAAAACCTGGCTCGGATTGCTGTCCAATGGGTGCAACCAATTGTCAATATGGCTCAATTATTATTCAAGGTTCAACCTATACAACAATAGCTAATGAAAAAGATTATAAAATTACATTAAACAAAGCCGATGGTGTGGATGCATTTGGTTATACTTTTATCCCAAATAAAGCTGGCACCTACAAACTTCCAGATCTTATCTCAAACATAGAGACTACAGGTGTTTACGCTGCATTCATTATGAATTGTTCAACTGCATCAGACTACACAATAGAAGGAGATATTATATTTATGAATCCATATGGCTATCTATCTGGTGAAAAATTCCCATTTTTATATGTAACTATAACCATTAAAAGCTAATTGTTGTTTGTAATAAAATCTAACAACATTATATTTTTATTCTATAGTATAATCTAGTCATATCAGGATTATATGTTGGTCTATTTATTATGTGGGCAGTTTTATTCTTCAAATTTAAAGAAACAGCATTAAAGATTCAATTTTGGGTATCATTTGTTATTCTTTTAGGTTTTATCGAAAGTTTATCCAACTACATTATCTATAGCAGCATTAATAAAAGTGGTAATTTTAGTACAAGTGATGCAGTATTTATGACACTTTTTAGTACATTAAAGAATGGTTTTGCCAGAGCTCTTGTAGTATTAGTTGCACTAGGTTATGGTATAATAGTGTAAGTACTTTCATATTTTTTTCTATCATATCTTTTATATTAATAATAAAATTTTTTATTTTATTTAGACCAAAATTACCACAAAATGTCAAAGTTAAATTATCTATAGCAACTATTTCATATATTGTTTTTAAAGGTATTCAAGAGTATCTACTTAAAACTCCAAATAGCAATACAGGAAAGGTGTTTTATGTTTATTTAACTATACCAGTATCAATATTGGACACATTGTTCTATTGGTGGATATTATTTGCTCTTATAAAGAACTTAGAAGTTTTGAATGCTAAAAAACAAATGGTTAAGGTTTACATGTTTAGAAAATTCATTTGGGTATTATTACTTAGCGCTGTTGCATCATTCATCATTTTAACCTGCCAAATATTTGTAAACTCAACTAAATCATTCGATTATGGCATTCAAACTGGCTGGATCATCGATGTAGTTTGGGGTGCCTCTTATTTCACTGTTTTAGTTGCAATTTGTTGGATCTGGAAACCAAATTCAAACAATCAGAAGTTTGCCTATTCAGAATTAAATGATCAAGATGAAGAGGTAGTTATGGAATCAATTGACTCTTATGGAAATATAAGTAGAAATCGTAATTCAAATGATATTGAAAGTAATATAACTCAACATGACAATGTAATTGAAGAAATCGATGATGATGAAATGCAAAATGCTTTTTCAATTCAAGATAATGATGATGACACTGATGAAGTTAGAAGAAACAAAGAAAAAAGTAAAGTATAAATTTATTATAAATTACTTCAAAATTAAAAATATTAAATGTTAATATTTATTTATTTTATTTTTTAGCTGATATTGCCGATATGTTTAGTAAACTTTAAAAAAATAATATAATTATTAAAAAAAAAAAAAACAATCTAAATAAAAAATTGTTTTTAATATTTCATTTTTATTTTTTTTCTTAACCCTCATTTTAAACCTCTAAAATTGGGTGTGATATATTTTGCCTGTATACTGGTTATCTCAACTATTTAGAAAGTAGCATTAATATAAAGATACTTAAAAACCCACACATCTCCTCTATCAATTTAAAAAATTTTAATCATTCTTTTTTTTTATTGTGCACATTAAAATTAAAAATTTAAATTTTTTATTTTATTTTTTTTTGAATTTTTTTTTATTTTGTTGAAACAAAACCAAAAATCTTTTCTTTATTTTGCAAATAATAATTTCTTTCATTTATAATATCTTGTTCTGTTAAATTGGTACAAAGAATTGATATTTTTGACCCGACTTTTGTTGTACAATCAAAAGAAGGATCAAATAAATCAGATGATTTAAGTGGAAACTTTAATTTCTTTACTATAGACTCACCTAACTTGTAGATATAATCTTGGCAATTTGATTTTTTATAATCATACACAAACTTGTCTGCTAGATCCTGTGCAGTATCACCAATAATTCCCAAACTATACTGTGTTCTACCAATATATACAAAGCTATAATGGAACCTTTCAAAATTAAAGTTAAATTCTATGGAATCATAAATAACTTTATCATTGTCATTATGATTAACCATAATATGGAATATTTTACCAGCTACCAATAAACCCCAATGACTACTAATACCGAATGATGAAGGGTTTTTAGAAATGTATTTACAAATATATACTTTTGTTAACATAATTAAGAAAAGAGAAAAAAAGATAAATAATTAAAAATGAATAAATTTACGCATATAAAAAAAACTATAATAATAATAAAAAAATTAATTTTTATATTAAAACTTTTATTATTTTCATTTAAAATACTTTTTGTTTGTATTTTATTTAGATAAATTGAGATTGTGGTTAGGTTTTTTTTTTTAAAAATAGAACCCCCTTCTTTTTTACAATTTTTTAAAAATAGAGCCTTTCAAACTTCTTTTATAATTTTTGATTTTTTTTTTGAATTTTTTTTTTTGAATTTTTTTTTTTTTAAATTTTCTTTTAAATCTCATCAAACAACTTACATCAATCTTTTTATTTTTATAAAAACAGTAGATTGTACTTTATCCTTTTTTTTTAACTTAAATAAAAAACCCATCTCTATAAATATTTGTAAATCAACAGTATAATATAGAAAATAATTTGTGTGGGGTATTTGATAATTTAACTAAAGGAAATCATCCATATCACCATCAAATATTGGTTTTTTATTTATTATTTTTATTGATGGGGAAAGAACACCAGGTGTGGGCTTGTATCCACTTGTAAATGTTATTGATTGAACTGATGAAGGAATTTCTCTTTGCGAAAGTAGTTGATTAAATTTATAACCAAAAGTTAATGATGTTACCGAAGATGGTATATCACCCTCCTTAAGCTTTTGATTAAATTCGAAACCAAAGTTTAATATCTGTACTGATGGTGGTATATCTCCTGGCTTAAGAGGGTGATTGAAATAGAAACCAAATGTTAACTCTCTAACTGATGGAGGTATGTCCCCTGGTTTGAGTGGTAAGTCGAATTTATCACCTAGTGTAAGTGCTTTAACTGATAGTGGGATATCACCTGGTTTAAGGTCTTTAAATTTTCCAAAATATGTCAATGCTGTAACAGATGATGGTATAATACCCTTTTTGAGTTGTTTATTAAATCCATTACTAAATATCAAGGTTTTAACCGATGATGGTATAACACCCTCTTCTAGTACCTGATTAAATTTTTTGCCAAGATTCAATATTTCGACTGATGATGGAATATCGTGTAGTTTAAGTTTCTGATTGAACCTATTACCAAACTGTAATGATAAAACGGATGATGGTATATGACCCTCCTTAAGCTCTTGATTGAATTCAAAACCAAATGTAATGGCCTCTACTGACGATGGTATATCCCCTGGCTTGAGTGTTTGATTGAATTCATTACCCAATTCTAATATTTTTACTGATGGTGGTATAGCACCTTGCCTGAGTGCTTGATTAAACATTTTACTAAATATTAATTTGATAACTGAAGCTGGAATATCACCCTCTTTTAGATCTTGATTGAAAAACCAACCAAATTCTAAATTTATAACTGATGGTGGAATATCTCCTGGCTTTAGAGGTTGATTGAAAGAAGGACTAAACAACAAAGATTTAACAGAGGATGGAATCAAACCTGGTTTGAGAGGTTGGTCGAACTCTCCAATAAATTCTAAAATTTCAACTGAGGATGGGATATCCCCTAACTTGAGTGGCTGATTGAAACAATATCCCATTGTCAATACCTTAACTGAATTTGGTATACCACCTTGTTGAAGGGGCTGATTGAAATTGAAACCAAGTAATAATATTTCTACAGATAATGGAATATCATCTTTTTTGAGTGGCTGATTGAAAGAATTGCCAAATGATAATGTTTGGATTGAATCTGACAAGTCATATTTATGTAACTCTTCGTTAAAATCTATATCCACTCTAACCAAGTAATTTTTAAATGGATGTTCTAATAATTCTTTTTTAGATTTAAATTGGACAGGGCTGTATTGGAATAGTTTTAATTGATTTATAATCTGGGTTTTTAAATATAAATTCCTCCAAACATTAAAAAATAAATTTTCCATTTAATTAGTAAGATTTTTTTAAAATTATAACGAAATATAAAAATGGTAAAAATAAAAAAAGAAGAAAATAAAAAAAATAAAATTTTAAAAAAAAAAAATAAAAAATTAAATAAAATTCATTTTTTTTTTTTTAAAATAAATATTTGTTTTATAAAAAAAAATAAACAAATTTGGAATAAAATAACTTTTATTATTTATTTCCAAAAATAATTATATGTATATATATTTATGTATTAATTTTTTAAAATTAAAATAAAAAAAATATATTAAAATTTTAGCGCTAAAAAAAAAAATTTTAAAAAAATTCAAATTTTTTATTTTTTTTTTTTTATTTTTCATAATTTAATTTTGTACAATAATAACATAATATAATAATAATAAAAGTTTAAATAAAAAGATGATGGAAGATGAACCAGATTTTGATTTTTCTAAAGATATACAATATGAAGAAAATTTAAATTTAAGGAAATTTTATGGTATGTAAAAAAAAATTATTTAAATTTATTTTTAAAGTATATAAATATTAAACTTTTTTAAAATAGATGAATTATTTCCATTTACACTACTACATGAATGGTTAACCATCAATCACACTACAACCACAAACAATCAAGATTTTAAAGAGGAGGTACAAAAAGCATTTGAAAGAAGAGAATTTTCAGTTAGGGTTATTGGTGAAAAAGTGTTTACAATTCGTAATAAATCATTTACTAAAGTAGAACATTTAAAAGAATTTTTAAAAGGAAGAAATACAACCAATCAACAAACAGGTGCCACTAGCATTGATTTACCCATAAGATTAGATATTGGACCAGTATACAGTTGGGAGCCATCAAAGATGTCCACAGTAACAGATTATTATCCAGTTTCAAGAGAATTAGTATTTGATATCGATATTGATGACTATAATGATATTCGTGCATGTTGCAGCAACACTGGTATTTGTCATAAATGTTGGGGTTTCTTATCGGTCGCAGCCAAATTCCTCGATCATTATTTACGTGACTGCTTTGGCTTTGAGCAAATTATGTTTGTTTTTAGTGGTCGTCGTGGTTTACATTGTTGGGTATCAGACCGTTCTGCGTTATTCCTCCAAAAAGAGAACCGTCAATCGATTATCAATCACATTCGTAATGAAATCACAGCCAATCAATTACCAGTCCTCAAATACTCTTATGACAAATTCTTTTTACCATTCTTTGAAGACCATGTTGTAGAAGAACAAGAACTATTTTCAAATCAAAAGCAATGCGATACACTCCTTTCCCTCATACCAATTCAAATTAAACGTGACAAACAAATCATTACACCTTTAGAAAACATCAAAGCAAAATTAGAAGAAATTAAAAACACTGTTACTGATCGCGAAATTTGGTTTGCAATTAAAAAATATTTAGAAGACAATAACCTCAGAGAATACCTTTACCAAATCGTCTTCACCTACACCATGCCTAGAATTGATGAACCTGTCACAATCGGTATGAACCATCTTTTAAAAGCCCCTTTCTGTATTCATCCAGATACTAAAAAACTTTGCATCCCCATCGAATTAAAAAATATCGACCAATTTGATCCAAATCAATGTCCAACTCTTGATCAATTACTTAAACCTGACACTGGTTTAAAATTATTTAATAAATACAACCAAATATTTAAGAATCATATCGAAAAATTAAAATTAAAAAGAAATCTACAAATCAACGATAATGATCCAATGCAATTTTAATAAAGAAAAAAAAAACCATATATTATAAGTATTATACAATTATTTTTATATATTTCTTTTTTTGTTTATTTTTTTTTTTTTTTATCATTTTTTTTTAATTTTTATTTATTTTTTAATTTTTTTATTTTTTTTTTTTATAAAACCGAATTTTTTTTTTTTTTTCGTTTTTTTTTTATTTTAATTTTTTTTTTTATTTTTTATTTTTTTTTTAGTTTTTTCTCAAAAGAAAAATAAGAATAAGGCTCTATCTGTCTGACTTTGTGTGTTTTGTTTTTTAACACTTTTTCAAATAATAAATTAAATTATTTTAATATTTCAAATATATATAATATTTTTATATATTAAAAAATAAATAATTTTTTTTTTTTTTTTTTTGTCATTTTTCGTAAAAAAAAAAATCATAATATAATAGTAATAATAATAACTGGTCAAATAACAATAATAAATAAACACACAGTAGCAAATAATAAACGATATATATATATACAATATAAAAATGACAAGTTTAGATAGACAATTAAAAAGCATTAAAGAGAAAATTCATTATGTAGATGTTACTAAAAAGAGAGCATCTTTACTATTTAATGAAGTAGAAGCTGCAAATATTGATTTAGATGCTGTTTTAGCAATGGGTCAAGAGGGTTTAGAAGAGTTAATAAATATAGATGTCAGATTCAAATGCTTTCAATTAACATTGTTTGCAGATACATCAAAGACATTCAACAGAGTATTAGAGGTTAAAGAAGAGAACGACAAAATCGACATTGAAATTAATAAATTTTTAGAATTGCAATCAAACTATTTCCTTAGTAACTCTGCCCACAAAGCTTTGGAATGGTTAATCCGTAGATATAGAATAAATGAATTCAATATTGATTCAGTATTATCCTCAATTATACCTTATCATGAATCAAATATTTTTGCTAAATTTTTATCAATTTTACAATTCGAGTAAGTTATAGTTTATTTTTTAAAATTATTACAATTATAATTGCATATTAATATACTAATATTTATCTCTTTTATTTATTTATTTATTTTTCCCTCTTTTTTATTTTTTTCATTTTTTTATTTTTTTTAAATTCAGGTTTAATAAAAAATGGGAATTTTTAACAAATGTTCAAGAAAATAAAGTTTATATACCAAGAGAATATTTTATTAAAATTACAGGTTCACATCCGTTCTTTTTAGATTTCATTTTATCAACTGTCGAAACTTATGATAGAAACAACCTTGTTACCAAACCATTAGTCTCATTCTTTACCGCTTTTCTTATCGAACTTTTAACTGTAAAAACCACCCCACACTTAAAAGAAACTTTAGCATGTTTACTTAAATGTTTAAAGAGTAATAATACAGATTTACTTGTAAGTTATATATTAAAAAAAAAAAAAAAAAAAAAAACGAAAAAAAAAAAAAAACCGTAATATTAATTATCATTTTTTTCTTTTTCATATTTAGCTTGGTACCCTATATGATTTTAAGTATTATTGCATCTAAAGTCACACTTACCAAAGATGTAATAGAGTTACTATTTAAAACAACTTTAAAACACTGTAAAAATAATTTTAGCTCTGCATTTACATTTTTAATGGTCTTATTCCAAAAACAAAAGTTTGATTCATTATCAAATTCAACTTTAGAATTATTAGTTTCAATTCCGTGTGTATTATTTATAATTATTAATAATTTCTATTTAATTAATTTATATTAATTTTTTTATTTCTTTTTTAAAATTTTTTAGAGCATTATTCGAAATTTTATTTGATTTCCATTCACAAGAAAAATCATTAGATAGATTATTATTAATTTTATTCAAATATCTTTCAAGTAATATAGTCGAATCAGCAGAGTGTTATACATTATTAAGCCAATTAATTACAGATTTACCAAACACACAACAATATCACAGTATTATTTTTAATAAAATCATTTCAACCTATATTTTAAAGAATAAACAAGAGAAAGAAGAATCCGATGAATCAATTATATCAATAGCCAGATTATTAAATAACCAAATAGTACAAGAAGAGATTGAAAAATTAATAAAACAACAAAATAACAACAAGGATAAATTGGTAAACTTCCAAAAATTAATATTTGAACAAAAAACTATTTCAACATCACAACAAAACACAATTTTCTTAAAATTAGAAAGCACAATTCCATCCGAGCGTAAAGATGGTTTACAATTATTTAAACAATTATATTCCGAAGAGTCTGATAAATCCACTTTAATAAGCACCCTTTCAAGTTCATTCTCTGATACCATTTATAGTCGTCTTGTTGATTCCGACCACTCTGTTGCCAAAGACGCCTGGGCCTTACCAAAACTTTACCAAATTGTTGTTTCCAAAGATTTAATTAAAGCTTCAAATCAGTTTTTTAAAAATTCATCATTTACCAATGATGATAAATTAGTTGAAATCGTTTTATTAAATTTATTAAATGTAGTCAAACAACAACAATCAACTACATCAGATATTTTAGCTGTTTTATTCTCTCAATTATTTAACGAATCAGTATCAAGTTTAATTATCAGCAAATTTAATAAAGAATTAAACCCAATTTTTAATAATGTTACCACCAACAAGAATAAGATCGAAACTGTTATTAAATCCATTTCAAATAATATCAATAGCGAACAATCATTATCATTACTTGTTTCAGTTTCAAAATCAACCTATTCAACATTTAATTCAGATTTATTCTTATTATTATTAATCCAATCAGTTAAACAACAATACCAACAACAATCATTCAAATTAGCAATCGAAGTTACCCAACGTTATATCAACAATGATTCATCAAAAGAGACCCAAATGAATCAATTCAATAATATTCAAGATATCTATACTGCCATTAAAGGTTCATCTGCTGTTACCAAACCAATCCAAATTGGCTCAATTTCACATGTATTGTGTTTAATTATTGAAAACCTTCAAACCATACAAGCAGAATCACTTATCAAGGAACTTTCATCCAATGCTGCCATTACATCTACCGTCACCACTGCCAATGCTTCCTCTATTGTCCAATTAATTCAATCATTATGTAAATTAATTTTCAACAGTAAAGTTTCAAACATTGATTCCGTTCTCAAGGTTATCATCAAGAAATTCTTTTCAAATCAATTAGTTTTCTTTAAATTTTTATCAAACTTTTGGCAACAACCAGTTACCGATTTTAATAGTGTATATCAATCTCTTTGTTTAAGTGGTTTCTTGGTAAACTCCAAAGCTTTCTCACGTTACATTTTAAGCAACCAAACTATTATCGTTCCATTCATTTCACTCTTAAAATCAAATGAATCATCAATTAGATCAACTTCCCTTGAATCAATTCAAGAGATTTATAACCAAATTAAAACTACCACTGCTAGTGCCTCCAAGAATTCCAAATCCGATTCATCCATCCAATTTTATGCTGGTGAAAATAAACCAACTATTGATTTAGAGTTATTAAGTAAATTCTTATTAAAATTAACTCAATACAAAAAAGAATTTTCAATGGATAAAGAATTTTTAGATAGTTATTTCTCAAAGGTATTATTTAATCCATCAAATACTATTGCTGCTGATGAAGATGACGAAGATGAAGATTCCTCTGATGAAGAAACTAATAAAGCTGGTACCAACAACACCGATAAATTTACATTAGATGAAGTTAAAACTATTGGCAAATTCTTAGTTTCAAGCTCATTAAATATCGAATCAATTGAAAGTAAATTATCATTCATCTCATCTTTACAATCTGTTGATGATGTTGCTTTTGTCGAAACTACCTCCGAATACTTACAAGCACTTTTAGAAAAAGCTAAAAACAAAACATTGGTCCAAACCGAGTCAAAGATTTTGGATATTTTACTCAAGAAGTTAGGTTCATCCGCTGTCCTTAATTCAAGCAAACTTAAGAAATCCCATAATGTTTTTTCATTATTCCTTTCAGCTTTATCAATTTCAAACGATATAGAATTTACCAATACCAAAACTAAATATTCACCATTAAGAGTTGCCATTGCATCAATTACCAAGAATTTACTTTTAACCATCCCAATCAAAGAGCAAATCAATATCGTTGAAATCGTTTTATCCTATTTCTTTTCTGAAAACCAACAAGTTAAAGATGTTGCCAAGAATGCCTTATTATCCGTTTTAGTTGATGGTACTGTCATTTTACCAATGTTATTACCAGAAAAAGAAACTAAATCATCAACACCAGCTGCTTCATTACCAATCCCAAGATATAATTCATTGTTTGAATTAATTCGTTTAAATTCAAGCAAGATTGGCAATGTTTCCGTTTTAATTAATCCAATCCAATTAATTTTAAAGAAATTAGATGTAAATACTGTTGCTACTGGAGAAGTTACCGTTGATGCTATCGAATATTGTAAACAACTTGCCATGGCTTCACTTGGTTCAATTTGCGAACAATCTACTTCTGCTAAAGATATTAAGTCAATTGAAGGTCTTTATGATATCTCTATTATCATTAAATGTGTCGAATCTACCAAGAGTTTACAAACATGTAACAGCGCTCTCTTATTACTTTCAAACTTGGCATCTAAATTCCCACAAAAACTTTTCAAATTTATGGATTCTATTATTGGTATGATTAAATTTGTATTGGAAAATGGTGATGACAATTTCTCATTCATGATTTTACAAAAGTTCCTTTCACAATTGCTTCCATCTTTAGTAAAACAAGGTATTTCATTAGCTTCAATCTTCAAGTTATTCTTAGAATCATTTGCTACTATTCCAAAATCATTCCGTCTTCAATTGTTTAACTCTGTTTGTCAATCAGTTTCATACAGCCAATTCCATATTCTTCTCTGTTTAATTTTAATTAAAAAGATTCAAGATTTACGTATTATCACAAAGAAACTCAAGCCATTAGATAAAGATACCATTATGAGCTCTGACGATCAAATTAAAGAAGAAGTCGATTATGATCAATTTAATGATTTCGTTAGTGTATTCTGTGATCAAGTACCAGTATTAGAAATGTCAACTTCCCTTGCTAATCTTTGCTTACTTTTAAATCAATTATCAATCGAAACTGGCAGTTGTATTGAACCATTAAGTGAAGAGGAGGAAATCGTTTATAGATTATTATCAAATAACAACTCTAAAGATAATCGTTTACTTCAAGTTAATACTCTCGACTTTATTTGCGAACGTCTTTCATCCAAGGTATATTTAGATAGTTTCTCCGTATCAAGTGCTCAAGAAAGACAAACCATTGAAAATCAATATCTTTTAGCTTTTGAAAACTTATTGGTATTACTTAAAAAGACTACTGAATATAGCGAAAAAACAATCGTTAGTACAAACCAAATTAAACTTAATGGTAGTAATAACAGTATTATTAATCAAGTTGGTAAAGATAAGTTTATTAAAAAGATTTTATCTTCAATCAATCTTTGTATGGATCGTTTAAGTCAACTCCTCAGTGTACCAGGTTTCATTTCCACTATTACTCAATTACTTGAACACAGTGACAGCAATGTACGTCGTCGTTCATTAGTTATCTTTAATGAAAAGATCACTTTAATTAAAGAAGATATTGAACAAGAACAAGTTGACCAATTCCTTTGTCTTATCGATTCATTTGCTCGTATTCTTGAAAGCTCCACTGAAACCGAAGCCAATAAACAAACTGCTTTATTATCATTCGAAATTTTAGCAAGAAACTTTTCATCAAGCAACCCAACCGTATTCCTTTCACAAATTCCAATTATCATCAAATCAATGGGCCACAGCAGTCATCAAGTCGTTTCATCATCATTAATTTGCATTGCTACACTCTGCAGTGAATTACAAGCTAAAACCATTCCATATATCCCACAATTTTTCCCAGTACTTTTAAATACTCTCACTGGTTCATACAAGACTAATCACCTCCAAGAAGAAAATGAAACTCGTACTCTTTTACAAATTAGTTGCATTAGTTCATTAGAAATGATGCTTAATACCATTTCTAAATTCTTAAGTCCATATCTTCCACAACTTTTAAATGCTTTACTCCACCCACGTCTTACAAGCAACAGTCTTTTATCTGGTAAATTATTAGCTCAAATTAAACGTCTCTTAAGTTTACTTACCAAGAATGTAGAGTTCCGTCTCTTATTACCAGCCATGTTTACCGCTTATGAATTTGCTGTTCAATCTGAAAATGATCAATCCCTAATTTGTCTTTTCGATTTCGTCGGTGAAATTTCATTAAACTTGGGTCCAAAAGATATTGCACTCCATCACAAGAGCATTTTCAAATTCTACCTCCAATGCTTCGAGTTCCGTAAAAAGTACAAGGATCGTGTTAAAAATGCAGATAAAATTGAAGATCACATTATATCATCATTTATGACTTTGGTAATGAAGTTAAATGAAAACTTATTTAAACCATTATTTATTAAGGTTTTAGATTGGGCTTTAACACCACAACAACAACAACAAAATGGTAATCATCACGATGAAGAAAGTGAAGAAGATGACAATAGTGATAGCGAAGAAGAACAGGTTTCAAACAAAAAGAAAAAAGTAATGAATGGTAAATCTAAACCGGTTCAACAACAAGAAAAATCTAAAGATAATTTATTATTCTTTTATAAAATTGTAAATTCATTATCATCAAACTTAAAGACTATATTTGTACCATACTTTGGATACTTTTTAGATGACTCAATTCGTCAACTTCAATCTATATTTAATAATACACCATTAAAAAATAATAATAATATAATTGTAAATGAAACAAATAATATAAATAAGAGAAAACTTTTAAATAATAATAATAATATAAATAACAATATAAATAATATAAATAATAATAATATAGAAGAGTCAATTTTATGTTTTGTAATTTCAGCTTTAGAAAAATGTTTTATGTACGATACCGATGGATTTTTAGATAAACAAAAATTCGAACAAGTTTTACCAGCTTTAGCCAACCAATTAGAAAATCAAATGGGAACCATTGAAAGTTATAATAATAGAGTTAAACATTATCTTGCTCCATGTATTACCCAATTAGCAGTTGCAATTAATCAAGATTTACTCTGGAAACATTTGAACCATACTATTCTCATGAAAACTAGATCACCATATTCAATCGTTCGTTACTCTGCCATGGTTGTTATCAATTCACTTCATAGAAGAATGGGTGAACAATTATTAATTTTATTACCAGAAACAATTCCATTTATTTCTGAATTATTAGAAGATTCCGTTCCTGATGTTGAACGTATAACTCAAGAAACTATTAAGGAAATCGAAAAACATCTTGGAAGTGATGAATCTATAAAATCCTATTTATAAATAATAAAATAAATAAAAAAATAAATAAACTTATATTTAAAAAAACCTAACTTTAATTTAATTTTTGTATCGGTACTAATACCCCTTGCTTGTATTTTGGATCAATTCCATTTATTTTTTTTAGATTATCTTCTAATTGTTGGTCCAATATCTCTTTGAAGTGTTTTATAATTATAAGCTTCTCCTGCCGGCATTTTCAATAATGGCTTTTTTTTGTTTAATCGTTAACCACGTATTTTTGACTTAATTTTTCTATTTGAATGGAGCAAAGGTTAATACCATTGATATCAGTCCAAACTTCCGCAATGATGCTTTGTTTCATTTTCTTCACTGAATCGGCAATTATTTCATCTATTATTATTAGGTATTTTATTGTTAATTGATCGAGTTTACATATTTTTTTTGGTTTAAAGCTTATCTTTTGTATTTTATAATCTGTTACTTCCCCATTTATAATCCCTTAGAACTCAATTTTTAATGATTTTGTAATAAAGTCCACTATGCACAACTAAGGCGTGAGGTGACCAACTTAGCAAAAGGGAAATTTCTAGTTAATTTGAACTCCTACTTTATATGTTCAAACCTTATGGGGGTCATATATTACAATTTTATAACAATGTTCGGATGGTGTAGTTGGTTATCACGAATCCTTAACACGGATTAGGTCGTGGGTTCGATTCCCGCTCTGAATATTTTTTTTTTTTTTTTTGGTCTATTAAAATCTCATGGAAGATAAAATCTTTTAAAAAAAAATTCGCGATAGTTGTCAGAACTTAACAGATGTTTCGCTTATTACCGCTCCGGGTTCGAAACTCATATAAGCATTAAACACATACCAAACACAATAAACTGATGACTTAATATATCATTAAGAATCATCTTCACTTAAAAAAAAAAAAAAAAAAAAAAAAAAAAAAAAAAAAAATTTTCCTTTAAAAAAAGGCTAAACCCCCAATATTCCACCAAATTTAAATTGGGGTATGAAAAAAATTAAACAAATTTGCTTGAATCACCTCCCCAATTAAAACTAAATAACAAGATAAAATAATTTTATTGAGTCTTTTACATTACTACAAAAATGAATATGTTTAATATTTGAATTATTTACATATATCCACAGTTTTATATTTTAAAATTTTTTTTTAAAATTTTTTTAATTTATTTTTTTTTTTTTTTTTTTTCATATTTTAATTTTTTTTTTTTTTTTTTTTTTTTTTCCGCGACAATGGCACAGATTATTATTTTACGTAATTTATTAAATCATTAAAAAATATTTCATCCTCTTCATCCCCTTCACTTTTTTCACACTCTTCATCCTCTTTGCATCATCTTCATCCTCTTTACTCTGTTTTTCCGTAACTTTATATATTTCAAATAAAATTTTAAAAAGAAGAAATTTATTATAAACCTTATCTTTAACTTCTTCTTTTTTAAATTGTAATTGTTCATTAATCACATAATTTGAATATTTTTATAAACACTTGTAGCAAAAGCACCACCAAAAAAATCTAAAGCAACAGAACCATCAAAGACACAATATAAACCTTCTATTTTTTTGTGTAATGTCTTTGATGGCTCTGATTTTTTAGATTTTTATGGTGGTGCTTTTGATTTATTAAAATAATTTTTTTTGAAATATATTAAACGTTCAATATATTTCAAATTTTTGAAGACTATAAATAATTTTAATAAATCTCTTCCAAACAGAACAGAGGCGATAATTAAATTCCCAAAACATCTGAAACATCTATAAAAAGAAGAATTGATAAAACAATTTCTTGTTTCAAATTGTTGTTCATTAAATTAAAAAGATATATTTATTTTGTAAGTTTTAAAAAATTATAATATAAAAAAATATAATATAATATAATATAATATAATATAATATAATATAATATAATATAATATAATATAATATAATATAATATAATATAATATAATATAATATAATATAATATAATAAAATATTAATTTTTTTTTTTTTTTTTAAAGGATATCGAAGAAAGATTTAAACAACGTCCATTAATTATAAATGATAGAGTAGTTTTTACCTCATTAGATTCAACCTATTTTGAAACTCGAAGACCAACAAAAAGTCAAAAAACGGAAAATAATGTTACACACAAGGTTCATAGTAAAAAAATTACTTTTATGTGTGATTTTTCAGGTAACATTGTATATGGGGGTGAACCATTTGATGGTAGTGTTAAAGATATACCTGATGTAGAGAATATAGTTGAATTTATGAGATTAAATTCAAATGGAGAAAAAATATTAACAGATAAAGGATATATCCAAGAAGAATATGATGATGTATTTTTAACTCCATATAAAGGAAACCCAAGTTCATTAACACTTTCTCAAAGAGAATTTAATAAAGTTCATCATTCTCAAAGATCTATTTTAGAAAATTTATTTGGTCGATTTACATCATTCGCCATTATTAATGGTCAATATTGAGGCGATATGAATAAATTTGAAGATATAATAAAAACAGTTGTATTTATTGTTTCATGTGATTTATTATACAGACCAATCAGTAAAAAAAATATGAATGAAGTTTCTTTTAATGATTTAGAAAGTGAAAGTGAAAGTGAAAGTGATAAATAATATTTCCAAAAAAAAAAAAAAAAAAAAAATCAATAAATCAATTAATCAATAAATCAATAAATTAATCTTATTCCAATAAAATAAATCAATAAATCAATTAATCAATAAGTCAATAAATTAATCTTATTCCAATAAAATAAATCTATATTAATAAATTTTTTTTTTTTTTTTTTTAAATTTTTTTTTTAAATTTTTTTTATTTATTTTTTTTTTACAAAAATTTGTATTTGTTGGCGCTTTACTTTCTTTTCTGGGCGAAACTCTAATTTTTATGATTTATAAATTTAAAAAATATAAATTATTGATAAGAAATTTTTTGTTTCCTCCACCCCATAAAATGAAACCATTATCCAATGCTTGTATATAGTGTTTTGATTTAGTTAATGATAGGTTCTTTCATTCAATCCATATTTAACTTTAATAAATGAAAAAATTTAAATGTAAGTAAAAAAAAGGAGCATAATAATTAAAAATTAAAATAAATAAAATAAAATGGTTAAAAAAAATAGAAAAAAAGTTAAAACAATAATAATAAAAATTAATCAATAGAACGTAGAGGATGGGGAACTGACATAACATTTAATACTAAAAACAACTACATAAACACTCACCCCAAAAATGAAAGAGTTTTTGCAAAAACTTTTCTTTTTTTAATATATTAAAACATTAATTTGAAATTGACACAACATATAAAAAAATAAAGTAACAAAGAAACAAACAGACAAACAAATATAAATAAATAAATAGATATATTTCAATAAACTAAACTTTATTTTAATAATTAAAACCACCATTTATTTTAATTGATTTATTTAATTTTTGAGGAAATGGTTTATCGAAAAAGTTGCCCACAGTAAGTGATATTACACTTAATGGGATTGTGCCTTCTGGTAAATTTTGATTAAAACAATCGGAAAATGTAAGAGTTTTAACAGTTGATGGGATAACACCTGGAGAAATTGGCTGATTAAACCATTCCCCAAAAACAAGGTTTTCAAGTCCTCTAGGTAATACACCAATAGAGAGTGGTTGATTAAAGAATTTGGATAGTACAATAGCTTTAACTGACGGTGGAATTGCACCTACGGCTATATCTGAATCAAAGAGCTGGCCAAATACTAAATGGGTTACACTTGGGGGTATTGTTCCTTTTTTAAGAGGCTGGTTAAAGTTTTCTGATAGCACAAGATGAGTAACTCCATCAGGAATGGTACCAGATACCAATGGAGAATCATAATAGTAACCCATATGAAGTGATCTTACTGATTGAGGAATTATACCTATGGGTGTGATCTCTTTATCATAGTTGTGTGGTAGAGTTAAATCTTTGACTTTGTGCGGTATATCGAACACTTTAAACTGATGGTTATATCTAGATTTACCGCTGAATGTTAGAGAGGTGACACTTGATGGTATTGAGCCTTCAAATAACTCTTGGTTAAACTCATTACCTAGTATTAATGTTTCCAATTCTTCTGGTAGGTTTTTTAATGGTTTATTAAACCAATAACCCATATTAATTGATTTTACACTTGATGGAATTACATTTTTATCGAATTCTTTATTAAAATGTCCTGAAAAAACCAATTCCTGTACACCAAATGGTATATCCCCTTCATTGATAACTTGGTTCATATTATAATATAATTTAGCTATATATCTTCTGTTTGGGATTTCTAATAATTCTTTTTTTGATTTTACTGAAACTGTTTGGAATTTTTTTAAGTGATTTTCTATTTCTTTTCTTAAATACATATTTCTAAATACTAAAAAAAACAATTCTTCAAAGTTTGAAGTGACTACATTATTAATTTCTTTTATGAAAACTTTATCTGTATCAAAAAGAATTTCATCATTATTGCAAGGTATTGAATGGTGGTTATTGTCGCTATTGGTATTATTGTAATTGTTATTACAATTGTAATTATTATTATTATTGTAACTATTATTGTTATTATCTGTGTTATTTAATATATTTGTATAGTTAAAAAAACTTTTTAAATAATTTATCATTTCAAAAACTAAAAAAAAAAAATAAAAAAATGAAAAAATTTATTATTATTTATGAATTTTTTAAATTTTAAAAAAATTATTTTTTCTTGTTTTTTTAGCACATCACCTTTTTTTTTGGGATATTTTCTTTTTTCAAATAATAATATTAATTAAAAACTGGAATAGTGGTTGGTTTTGGATTTAAAACAATGTGATTTTTAATTAAAAATAATGTTTAAAAAAAAATTATTTTATTTATGAGTTTTTTATTAATATAAATAAAAAAAAAGAAGCAATAGTTTTATTTTCCAAAAAGACCTTTAACACCGCTAACAACCGAACCTACGGCATTATTTGCTAAAAACATGGCTTCTGCGGCATCATACTCTGCACCTAATTTTGCAAAATCAATAAGAGAACTTTCTTCTTCTAAATCTACATTGATCATTGGACGATCACCTTCTTCATATGCTAATTTGTCTGTAACAGCTGCACCAGAGATTATATCAACTCTGTGATAGTAAGAACCAAGGTTAATATCTGATGATGATATAAACTCAACATAATAAATCTTGGATGTTTCAAGGGTGATTGGATCTGATTGGTACATATCCATATTTCCATTGCCGTATGGTGAAACAAATGGTTTACTATTTTTCATTTTCTTTTGTTTGTGTTCCTTTAGCTTAATCTTAAATGCATCGTCTGGGTGATATCCTGGTTTTTCCTTTTGATCTACTTTTTCTGGATCCAATTCTCTAACTGTCAACTCAAAGTCATTGTAGTTTCCTTGAGTATTTGAAATATAGAATCTGAAAGCTAAAGTTCTTTGTACCTCTTCATATAATGTAAAATAAACTAAAGTTTTTTTACGCTCCATACCTTTTACCAAAGCATAATCATATGTGTTCATGACATAATTGCAAGTTTGGCCATTTATTTTGTTTGTATAAATTTGAGTTAAACCCTCGCACATTATACCAACTTGAGTTGCATCAATAGAAAAGATATGTGGTTGGACTATATCTTTTGGGAGAAGGAAAGATGTTAAACCGTGATCATATTTGTGTCTTTTAAGCCAATGGACACTGTGTGGATATAATGTCATATCACCATGTAGATATGTAGCAACGAGAATACTCCAATCTGGCATTTTACCGGCAAGATTCTTATCTTTGTTGAAAATTTCAATGAATAGCTTATAAGTTTTAAAAACATCAGCAGTTGCCTCATGAACTTTCTGTTGAATAGATTTAACACCAAAACTACCTTCGAGATAAACTGTTGGAAGTCCCCAATCTTTACCAAAAACTAAAGTGTCTTTATAATAAAAAAAATTTTAATTATATATACTAAAGTAATATATTTTACAATACTACATACCTTTAAGAAAAGCCAAATAAATAGCAGCAGTTTCGAGATAAAGCTTGATGGTAAACTTTACATACTTTTCAGAGGAGAAAAATATTAAAGCATCACTTAATGATTTGGTAAATACAGCATGATGTGCAACAATAAAAGTTTCTACTTTGATTTTTTCTGCTCCACTGTAGTTTCCTTTCTTTTTAGTTGCAAGATAAACATTAATTGCCTCTTTAAACAACTCTCCACCCTTCAACAATGTTTTGAACTTTGTATTACACCAATCAGCAGCTTGGGCATCAAGAGCTATACCAATTTTCTTTTCCATATCTTGATAAAGCTTACTAATTCTTTTTTCAAAAGCCTCTTTGGTTACATATTTGTCCTCAGCTGGGAAAAACTTACCCCAAATAATACCAAAACTAATATAACAAATTAATAAATTATTTTTCATTGTATATTATTTTTTAAAAAAAATTATATTTACCAACTACTAATTAAATCACCAAATACAGGTACCATTGAAAGGCCAGCTTGTATTAATGAAAGATAATCTTGATCGTCAAGTGGAAATTCTGCACCGACTTCTTTTGAGAATGATGAAAAAACTTGATGAATTGGATTATATTCTATTTTAAAAATAATAATTAATATCAAATATTTTTATTATTAAATATTTATATTTTAAATTAATATGTACCTTCTAATATTGTTTTTGATGTTACACCACCACTAGTTTCTGTTGACATGTTATTGTTTAATAAATTAATAAATAATGAAATTAAAAATAAAAATGATAACTTTTTATAATTTTTTTTTTTCAATTTAACAAAAATTAATTTAATTTTTAAATAAAAAATTTTTATCTCATTTATAAAGATACTAACTGATACACCTTTTTTATCCAAAGATTATTAAAATAATCACAAAATAGTTTCAGAAAAAAAAATAACAGTTTAATTTCATAACAGTTAGCATGTTTATAAAAATTTGTAAATGTACCCATATATAATCATAAATTTTTTTCCCCCCAATCATTTTTTATTATAATTTTTTTTTTTCTAATTTATTAGAAATAAAAATTTTTAACCCACCACTATAAACCTTACATTGCAATAACAATAACACCACAATAAAAAATAACATAAAAATAAAAATAATTGAAACAATAAATTTATTTTTTCTCTTTATAGTTTTTTTTAAAAATATAGTTTTATGTAAACTATAGTTTTTAAAAAAATAAAAGTTTATTCGATTAAATGTAAGAATTATATATAGTAATTTAAAACATCATAATATCATAATACTTTTTTTTAAATTTGGTTATTTTTATTCATATCCTGTTATAATTCCAACATTTTTTATCTAATTTACAATTTCCTTTTTACTTTTAATTTTAAATTTACCACAAAGAATTTAAAAAATATCTAAAAAGTAATGTTTATAAAAAAATACATAAGAATCTAAAGAATTATTTTTGTGGGACCTTTTAATAATTATTATCTAATAAAACAAATAATTATTAATAAATAATAATTTTATAAAAATGGTTTTGTAAGAAAAAAAAAACTATAAATAAAAAAAAATATTTTCTTTTTATTCATTAAACTATTAAAATATTAAATTTAATAAACTTTTAAAAAACTAACAAATAAAACAAAATGAAATTCTTACTTATCCTTTTAGTTGCCTTATTAGCCATCTCAGCTGTTTCAGCCAATCAATGTGGTAGATTCGTTTGCCTTCCAGGTCACTCATGTATTGGTAACAAAGGTGTTTGGGGTTGCCATTACCATTGTGAAGAATTAGTCATTGAACAAAAAGTTGTAAATAACTGGACTGATGGTGTTAATGGACCAGCCTCTGTTCAAGTTCAAGTAACCATCACCAATAGATCACACCAAAATATCAAAGACATCATCATTGCTAGTGCTGTTCAATTAAACAATAATCAAATGTGGGGTGTTGATCACTGCACTTTTGAAAATGGTGTTACTCTTATGGATTTACCAAACTATGCTCAAGGTATTGCCCCAGGTGCTTCATACACCTTTGGTTATGTTGCAAGAGGTTCATCTGCTGCCAACTTATATGTTGAACACATTTTATTAATGTAATTCAATATACAAAAAAAGAACAACCTAAATAATAAAATTTATTATTTATAAAAAATTATAATTGTTTATTTTTATTTTATTTAATGAGTAATTTTAAATATCAAAATCTTTATTTTAATAAAATTTTAAATTTGTCTTGATACTAATTGACAATAGAAACCATTTTGGGCTAATAAAGATTCATGGTTACCAATTTCAATAACTTTACCACCTTTAACGACAGCAATAATATCGGAATCCATAATAGTTGATAAACGATGAGCAATAACAATTGTAGTTCTACCTTTCATAACATTATCTAAAGCTTGTTGTACAATTTTTTCTGAAACTGAATCGAGAGCACTAGTAGCTTCATCCAATAATAAAATCTTTGGATCACGAATAATAGCACGAGCAATAGCAACACGTTGTTTTTGACCACCTGATAATTGAGTAAATTTATCACCTGTATTATATAAATGAAATATTATTAGTTTTTAATTTTTTTTTTTTTAAATTATTATTTTTATAATATAATACTAACCTAATTGAGTATGATAACCATCTGGTAAAGTTTCAATAAATGAATGGGCATTAGCTGATTTAGCTGCTTCAACGACTTCTTCCATTGTGGCATCTTTTTTACCATATGTAATATTATCAAAAATAGTACCAGAGAAAAGGAATGGTTCTTGACCAACTAAACCTAAGTTATTTCTTAACCAATTAATATTGAGATCTTTTAATTCAACACCATCAAGAGTAACAGTACCTTCGAGTGGATCATAGAAACGTTCGAGTAATGAAATAACGGTTGATTTACCACCACCAGAATCACCAACTAATGCAACCTTTTTACCTTGTGGAACTGATAAATTGAAACCTTCGAAAATAACTTTATTTGGACGTGATGGATATCTGAATGAAATGTTCTTAAATTCGATGTTACCTTCTAATTTTGCTGGAGTTTCACCTTTGGTATTGAATGGATCAATTAATGAGTGACGATCTAAGAGGTCAAAGATAGCGACAGCAGCATTTTTAGCTTTAGCCATATCTGGAGCGAATGCCATTGAATTACCAACACCCATAGCAGACATGATGATTGCAAAGAATACTCTCATCATTGCACCAAAACCTTCGATGGTATTGAAAGCTTTAATACATACTTCTTCAGTATCGAAACCACTGTAAGGTGGAGTGGTTGTAGCTGAACAACTAGCGGCAAGAGTGGCATCTGAAGCCTTCCATTCTAAATCTGAAACTAATTTACCACCATACCAATATGTAAGAGTGTAAATAAAGAAGAGAGTAGCTTGAGAGAAACCGAATGATAAACCACTAATATTTGATTTTCTAACACTAGATTTAATTGGTTTAATAAGGCACTTATCAAATTTATCGATAACTTTATTTTCACAAGTGAATGAAGAGACAGTACGAATTCCACCAATAGCTTCTGAGGCAACTTGACCGCATTCACCATAAGCTTCTTTATTCTTTTGAGAGAAACCTTGGAAGAAATCCATTTCAATTTTACCGGCAAAAGCAATGACAGGAACACAAGCCAAAACTACCAATGTTAATTTCCAACCACTAACAAATGCAATAACGACACCGGCTACGGCAGTAATGATATTTTGTAATAAAAGACCCATTCTTTGACTGGTCATACCTTGAACTAAAGTAGCTTCGGTGGCAAGATTAGTTGTGAGTCTACCAGTGGAGTTTTCTGTTAAATCGAACCAACCAATATCTTGACGAATAATTGAATTGAATGAAAGTCTACGAAGGTTATATGTTAATTTTTCACCAATATAAGTGAAACAATAGATTTGAACAAAATTTGCAAGACCAGCAACGACAGCTAATAAAATAAACCATAAAGCCATATTACGAGAACGACGAGTTAATTCATTTGGATCAACCTCTTGGAAAATTTCTAAAATTTCTGAAAAGATAATTGAGAATACTGGCATGATAGCACCATTGATTGCTGAACCAATGAAACCAAGTAAAAAGAGTGGCCAATCTGGTTTTGAGAGTTTAAGAATACGGCCAATTGGAACTGATCTTTCTTTCTTTTTCTTTTTCTTTTTACCATCTTTATCTTCAACAACATCAGCACCAGCAGTGACAGCGGAACTGGATTCCTCTTCAGCTTTCTTAAGACCTTCAGCAGCTGCTTTTTCTTCTCTATTCTTCTTTCTCTTTTTCTTTTCTTCTTCGTCTTCACCACTTTGTTGTCTTTTAACAAGAGTAGTATATACACCATCGAGAGCAAATAAGTCATTATGGGTACCTTGTTCTACAATGTTACCACCTTTAACGACAGCAATAACATCAGAGTTTACAATGGATGATAAACGATGAGCAATAACAATAGTTGTACGACCTTTCATTAATTTATCAATAGCTTGTTGGACTAAATGTTCATTTTCAGCATCTAAAGCACTAGTAGCTTCATCTAATAATAAAATCTTTGGATCCTTAATCATAGCACGAGCAATAGCAATACGTTGTTTTTGACCACCTGACATTTGAACACCTTTTTCACCGACTTGAGTATCATATTTTTCTGGTAAAGCGCTATTTTAAAAAATTTTAAATATTATTAGTATGGCAGTAATAATTTTTTTTTTTAATAAAATCTATTATTTATAATTTACCTAATGAAATCGTGAGCATTAGCAGTTTTACAAGCTTCAATAATTTGTTCCATAGTAGCATTTTCATTACCATAACGAATGTTTTCTGCGATAGTAGTTGCAAAAAGAACTGGCTCTTGACTTACAAGACCAATATTTTTTCTAAGACAATTGACATTAATATCTTTAATGTTGATACCATCTAAAATGATTTCACCTTCAAGTGGGTCATAGAAACGTTCTAATAAAGCAATTGCAGATGATTTACCACCACCAGAATCACCAACTAAGGCAACAGTTTGACCTTGTTTAATTGATAAATTAAAGTTGTTAAAGATTTGAACATCTGGACGTGATGGATAAGCAAATGAGATACCTCTGTATTCAATGTTACCTTGAATTTCGTTATGTTGACGACCTTCGGTTGTGAATGGATCAATTTTAGATTCACGGTCAAGTACTTGATAAATCTTGTAAGCAGCACCCCTACCATTAGCAAATGAAGCAACATGTGGTGAAGCTTGACCTAAAGCCATAGCACCCATAATTACAGAGAAGAAGACAGTTAATACATCACCACCTTGCCAATCTCTACCTGGTACTGGATTCCAATGTTTGTCAACAATTAATTTACCACCATACCAGAATGATAATGAATAAGTACCAAAGAGTACTAAGAATACAAGACCAATACCGATACCATTCATGAGACCTTTTTTAATACCAACCTTTAAGGCTTCCTTGAGACAAGCTGAATATTTGACAACTTCACCTGGCTCACCAGAGAAAGTAGAAACAGTTCTAATGGAGCCAATTTTTTCTTCGGCAACAGCACCAGCTTGAGCATAGGCATCTTGACCGGCTTTAGTAAGATCAGCCATCATTTTAGAGACAAAAGCACCAGCAGCAGCAATCAATGGAGTAAGAGCGAAAATAACCAATGTTAATTGCCAACCATTGACGAAACCAACGATAAAACCAGCAATAAAAGTTGAGGAGTGATGAATAAAATTACCAATCTTTTCACCAATACCTTCTTGGAATAAAAGAGTATCTGATGAGATTCTAGTTGATAACTCGCTTGACTTTGTAATATCATACCAACCAATTTCTTGTCTTAAAATAGCTTTGAAATAAGCTTTTCTACATCTGACAGCTTGACGCTCACCTGCCAACATCCAAAATGTTACCTCCATATAAGAACATACAAATACACCAATACCAATATAAATGAATAAAAGTGCATTCTTTGTAACTTCATCGACTAAATCAAAAGCTGGATCGTTAAGATTTTGTGGACTGAAAACGTTCATAAGTCTACCAAAAACAATTGAAATAGCTGGCATACTAACACCATTTGCCATTGCACCTAAAGTACCTAAAACCATAAGAAGAATATCAACTTTATTTGCAAATCTAAACATTTCTATAATTTTTTAAAAAAAATAAAAAATGAATAAAAATAATTAATATATAAAAAAAAAAAAAATTTATATTATAATATAACTTACTAAAAAATGGAACTTGTGGTCCGACACCTTCCTCTTCTTTTTTATCATCGCTTTTCTTTGGATCGGCAACCTTTACTATTTCGACTTCATTTCCATCGAGAGTTGTTTCCATTGGTTCAATATCTTTTGATTTGATATTGCTCATAGGAATTTCATCTTTATTATTACTATCTTTATAGTCATCTTCCCTTTCTTGTGGTAAATCGCTGTGACTATTTTGTGGTAAATCGTCATTACCTACAACATTATCATTATTATTATTGTTACTACCAATACCTGAATCGTCTTCAGTATTTTCTGTACCCATTTTATTTATATTTTTTTATTTTTACTTTATTTATAAATTAAATTATTGTTAGTTTAAATACAAAAAAAAAAAAAAAAAAGTTATTGTGTGATTATATTAAAAAAAAAAAAATAATAATAACACACAAAATTAATTAAAAAATGATCGATTTTATTTTAGATTAGTTAATTTATTTTATTTTATTTTATTGATTATTATTTAAACATTTAAACGTAAATAAAACAATAATTAAAATTTAAAGACGATTTGATAACCGTTTTTAATGGTATTGTTATAAATAGTTTTATTAAAAATTTAAAAATAAATTTTTGGAAAAAAAATAAAAAATAAAAAAATAAAAAAAATAAAAAAATTAAAAAAAAAAATAAAAAAAAATCTTTTGCAATGGACTATTATATTAAAATAAAAATATAAAATAAAAACAAATAATTATTATAAGAACTCTTTCTTAAAATAAATAAATAAATGAAATAAATGTCAAATATTTCTTTTGATTTAAAATAAAATAAAATAAAAAAAAACAAAAAAAAAAAAAAAATTAACTTCTATAAATAAACATTAAACAAAATTCTTGGTAAATTATTATTAAATTAAAATAAATAAAAATAACTGAGTGCGTCATTATTGAATAAATAGCACAATCAAACACCATCACCCCTACCACATAAGTATTATTTTAATATTTTAATATAAGCAGGTGACCATTAATTTACAAGTCATAATATGTGGTGTGTGATAAATTTATAAAAAAAATTTTTAAAAAAAAAAATTAGGTTGTATTTTTAAAAAAACAATGAATTAGGTGTTTGTTATGCAAATAAATATGATAAACGTAAATTTAACATTTACTGTTTATTATAAATAAAATATAGATCTTCAAAAATGAAAATTTATTTATAGATTAAAATTTAAAAAAAAAAAAAAAAAAAATGGGTGTGGTTTAAATAACAATTATAAAATAAAAAACACAAATATGAGAAAATAATAATAATTTTATTAATATTTTCACAAAATTAAAAAAAAGATGGGTGGGGTTAAGTTTATTTATATATATTTAATTTATTTAAAGAAATTAATTTTTTTGTGATGGGTATATATTGGTTTTTTAAAAGAAAAAAATGAAGTTATCCGATAATAACATTAAAAAAAACAGAATAATAATTGGATTTTATAATTTACCTTTATATATACAATAAAATATATGGAAAAAAATTATATATACAAATAAATAAATAAAATAAATAAGACGTTGTTTAGTCTAAAAAAAAATAATAATAATATAAAAAAAAAAAAAATGAGTGCACTCTTATATTTTTATCAAAAACATCAAAATATTTATTTATAAATATTTCTATAAATATTTGACAAAATAAAAAAATAAATTTAAATCAAAACAAATAATTGTTTGCGTAAGAAACTATGGTGATCGCACCACATAAAAACATCAAAAAAATCAAAAAAAAAAAAAATTATAAAAAAATTTAAAAAAAATTTTAAAATAAAAAATGTCGTTGGAGGTAAAAAAAATTAATTTATCTGATTGGTTTTATTTGTAATAATTATCTAATTAAAACAAATAAAATCAAAAATCAAAATTTAAATCTAAAATAAATTAAAATAATACCCCACAATATATATTCATTCCCTTTTTTTTTTTTTTTTTTTTTTTTTTTTTTTTTTTTTCCCCGGGGGAAACCGGGGTATTTTAAAATAAAAAATTTAAAAATTTCTTTTTTAAACTCGATTTTATATATTTGGATATGATATATTATACTATTATTTTAATCATTTCTTTTTTTTTCTTTTTTTTTTTAAATGGATAAATATAAAAAAAAAAGAAAAGAAAAAAAAAGGAAAGAGTATCAATTAAATTAAAAGAAATAATTTGTGAAAAATTATTTTAAAATTATTTTTAAAACTTTTTTTTTTTTTTTTTTTCTAATATTTTAAGTCGGGTTTGGTGACAATTGTTCTTTTTTAAAAAAAACTTAATTTTTTTTTATTTTTTTTATTTTTATATATTTTTTTTTTATAAAATATTATTTATCATTTTTTTATCATTATAATAATAATAAAAATAATAAATAATAGAAGCAATTTTTAAATGTCAGAAATTCAAAATTGTGAGCTTTGTAACACAATTTTTGAAAAGCCACAATCATTATCATGTGGCGATACATTGTGTTTAAATTGTGTTAATAGCGAAAAAAAGAAACAAGGTGAATTATGGAAATGTCCATTGTGTAAAGAAGAGGTTACAGTCCATTTTTTAAATAAAAAACTAAATTTGATAGTTGAGGATTTTAAAAAAAAACAATGCAAGATTCATAAAAAACAACATATCATCGCAATTTGCCAAGATTGTCAATGTTTAGTATGTAAAGAGTGCACAACTAGTTTTAATCACAGAGGTCATATATTTGGCACTATTACAGAGCAGCAATTCAATGAAATCTATAAACAATTTGGTAAAGAACAATTTCAACATCTTTTAAATTATAAAAAAGATATTTTAGAAAGAAAAGAAAGGGTAATTAGCAATTTTGAAAAAGCTAAACAAGAAAATAAACAACAGATCGAATTGGTTCAAGCTACATTCTCAGATTTGGTTCAGTTCATTTTAAGTGCTCAAGAAGAAATCGAAAACTCTATCAATAAAACAATGGAGGTTAACCAATTATCTTTTACAAAATTAAGCAGCTTAGTAGATGATGTCGAAAAAGTTGTAGGTTCAATTATAGGTAACAATGAAAGATATTTCAAATCGAGTCTATTCGCGCCAAAACCACTGCTACCAATTAGACCAGATTTGGAGAGTCAACAAACCGAAGAAAGAAAAGCAGAAGAGGAATTGGATTTAGAAATTAAAAAAATATTTGAAAACGAAGGTTATATTTCAATCATTGAAGATTTTACTGAAGCTAACAACCTCTTAAAGTATCAATCGAATATTAATCCAGATGACTTTATTAAATCCAATTTATTAGTAAACAGTAAAGAAATTAATCAGTTAAAAGATTTAGTAGTTTCAGTTTGCTTATTTAAAAAACAATTACCACAACCATTACCTCCGCCAGTTCGTCGTACAACCATTGCAATTAGCAGTGGTAACAGTGTTAATTCTGGTTTAATGAATTCACTCAGCCCAAGGGGTGCACAAAACGAAAAGCTTTTTAATAGAAACTGTGGTTCGGCAGTATATTCTAAAAATGTTTCAATTCAAAGTTTTATTGAGGAGGAGCCATTATCGTTCGATCAATCTTCATCATTTAAAACACCACCATCATATAGTAACGAAAAAAATAACCATTATTCACCAATTAAAAAGAGTATTTCTAGTTGTTCATTAAATAGCAATAGTAGTGGCGAAGAGATTGCAAATACAATACAATCATTACCAACAGTTAATACACCAAATTTAACACCACCAAAACAAAAAACAAGTCCTTCATTGGCAACTCTTGACACCAAGGCATCTTTAGGAGTTATTAATAAAATGACCAAAGATCAATCAAATGACTCTACTGTGTTCCTTTGGAATGTAGTCGACGAAATTCCAGAAAATGTAAACTCTATTTGTGTGACATCCACTCAAAAAGTTATACCAATAGGTTCCATTCCACCAACAGTTACCTCTTTAATGTTCTCTGGGTATAACCAACCAATTATCGAGGGTAGTTTAGTAAACTCCATTACTTTGCTCCATTTTGGCCATGACTTCAACTTTGATATAAAACCAAATATGATACCTTCAAGCGTTTTATCACTTCACTTGGGTAATAGATTCAATAAAATATTAGCACCTGATGTAATTCCCTCATCTGTAACCGAATTGAACCTAGGAGAATCTTTTAACCAACCATTATTTGTCGATTCTATTCCAACATCAGTCACTTCACTTTCACTAGGTGGCCAATTTAATCAAAAAATTACTCAGGCTAATGTATTGCCTTATAGTATTCTTTCATTAAAATTCTCGCACGAATTCAATCAAGCTTTATCTCCAGGTGTTATTCCACAAGGAGTTGCTGTTTTAGAGTTTGGTTATAACTTTAATCAATTACTTTTACCAAATGTATTGCCCAAAACCGTTCATACCCTTATATTGTAAGTTATTAACCTCAATTTAATAATATTTAACCAAAGTGTACCAATATTAATTGTTTTGTTTTTTTTTTTTTTTTTTTTTTTCTAAAATTAGCGGGTATTTATATAATCAAAGTTTAGCACCCAACGTAATTCCACCATCAGTTACTTCACTCTCATTTGGTTATTTCTTTAATCAACCTATTAAGAGTAGCGGTATTATTCCATCATCAATACAAAGTATTAGCTTTGGAAGCGGCTTTAGACAATCACTAACAAAACATATGTTCCCAAAACAAATCAAATCAGTTTTACTACCAGATCATTACATTGGTAAATCCGAAATTTCAGTTATACCTTCAACTGCATTAATTTCTTATAAACCTAAAGATTTTTAAAATAAATATTATTTGGAAAACAAAATTTCTTTTTTTTAAATATATAAATAAAATAATTTTTTTAAGTTTAGCAATAAAAAAAAAAAAAAAAAAAATTTATTTTTTTTCTTATTTTATTATTATAAATATAATTAAAAATCCGGTGGTTGATTAATCAATTATAATAATAAATAAAAATCTTATAAAAAAAAAATAAGTTAAAAAATTAATTTATAAAATTAAAAATTTTCAAAGGTTGGAAAATATTTTGTGGAGGTTTTTCAAATTTGAAATATCTTTTTTTTAAAATTCCAAAAATTGGATGGATATTTTTTTTTTTTATTAATAAACTAATATTGAATTATTGATTCAATTTAAAAGTTAATATAATTTCACTTTTTTTTTTGATTTAAATAATTATATTATCATAAAAAAATATAATAAAAAAAAAAACTGAATCTACCAAATTGAGATTACTAATATTGGTAAAGAAAAAAAAATTTTATTATTATTTTTACATGTATATTTGCTGACCCCACGCCCACATCTACCCAGCAAATTTTCAAAAAAAAAAATATTAACACAACCTCAATACCTCTTAATTCACACACATATTTTATTTTTTTTTTATTTTTTATTTAATTATTTTTTTTTTTATTTATTTTTTTTATATTTTTTTTGTATTTTAATAAATTATTTAAATTAAAATTTTTTTCCCATTCTCCATTTAATTTTCTATCCTGTATTCAAATAGATATATATCATAATAATAATTTTTATATTATTTTTTTAATTTAACTTTACCTCTTTTGCAAATAATTTTTTTTTCTTATATAACTTTTATATAAATCAAATAATAATATAAAAATGGCCCCAAAAATTGATGCTGCTGTAAGTTTTTAAATTATATATATATAAATAATAATATTTAAATACATTCTAACTCATAATTTTTATTTTCATTTTTTCTTTTCTAATAGGTATTCCCACTCTTAGTTATTGTTGGTACTGCTGTTGGTTTTACCGTTGGTGTTGGATATAAAAGATTATCCACTGACCAAGATATCAGTTTAACTCGTAAAGGTCAAATGCTCTGGGCTAGCCGTGAATCACCAAAATTTGTTGATAGAAATACTACCCTTGATATGTACAAAGAAATCCACACTGGATCATTCTTAAAAGAATAAATTAGAAACCCTAATTTAATCAATATTATAGTTAAAAAATAAACAATTAGACGTACTCAATAAATGTATATAAAATAAATAAATAAATAAATAAATAAATAAATAAATAAATAAATAAATAAATAAATAAATAAATATTTTATTAAAAATATTTTTTATAAACAAATTAAAAAATAATTATAAAACTTATTTATCTCCAATATTAAAAAAAAGAAATAGAAATAGCTAAAACCTTTTTTTTTTTATATGATGTATGATTCGATTGTTAAAAATTTACAATATATTTTATTTTATCTATACAATTTATGAGATGGTGATAGTAGTACTATGCTAACAATATCTAATTGCTAGTTTGGTGATATATTTATATTCACATCTTTGAAAATTTCTATTATGTTGATTTATATTGTTTGGTATATTATATTGTTTTTTTTTTTTTTTAAAAAAAATTTGATGTATTTGAAATTGAAAAAAAAAACATAATAGGATGAAAAGTTGAACAACTAAAATTTATTTAGCTGGTGGTTGGTCTTGAACATTGGCATCACATGCTACGATTTTAACTCTTTTGACCTTAACTTCAACTCCATCAGTTTTAAATGAGGCATTATCTAAAATGAAAGTCCAAACATTATCACAAAATCTGTAAGTATGAAGATTTCCCTATTATTTAATGAAAAAAAAAATAGTAAATATTTTTTCTTATTTTGAAATTAATTTAAAAAATAATAAATATTTACTTTGAAGGTGGTTTTTGATTTTACAGTATTTGATAATGCTTCATTAATTGACTATTAAAATAAATTATAGTGTTAGAATTTAATATAAAAAGATATAACATATATTGTATAATAATGATTACTTACTTTATCGAATTGGGATAAAATTTTTTGATATAACGAACTTGAAATATATTGATTCATCAATAATTCTTCGAGAGTATCTGTTAAGGCTTCGCCTACGGAACTTCTTCTATAAAGTTCATAATAATTTTGTTTGTTATTAGCAGCCATTATGTATATTTATATGATTATATTGAAAGAAAAAAATTATATATTTATTGATTGGCTAATTATTTATTAATTTATTGATTGATTGATTGATTGATTGGTTGGTTGATTGATTTGAGGTTATTAGTATATATTTAATAAAAAAAATGATGAAGGTGAAGGTTATTGACCGAATGATGTTGATATGGCAGTAAAATATAAAACTAATATAAAAACATCAAAGTTAAAGAACTATATATAAATAGAAATAATAAAATAGTTGTTGTATATGTTATTTCAACAACAAACCACAACAAATTAAATAAAATTATTTAAATACAAATTTTAAAAAAAAAAAATAAAAAAAATAAAAAAAAAATAAAAATAAAAAAAATTTTAAAAAAATAAATTTTTTTTTTTAAAATTAAAAAATATAAATAAAATTATTTTTAAAATTTTAAGAAAATGAAAATAATTTAAAATAAATAAAAAGCATATACAAATACATATTTTATTTATACATTTATATATATATATATATATATATATATATATATATATTATCTTTTTTTCATTTTTTTATTTTATCAAAAAGGTGTAAATTTACCACTTTTAAGTAATCTTATTAAATCAATATTTCTTTTTAGAATATATTTCTAAAAATAAAATCCAAAACGTTAAAAAGACTGCTTTCCCACTCCTATTAATATAGGAAGGATGATATTTTAAAATTTGTAATGATGTTGAAATAAGAATTCCCACCATAATCAACATCAAAAAACTAGGATTTTTTTTTTTAAAAAATAAAAATAAAATAAAATAAACTATTAATTTTTTTAGGGCAAAATCAAATCAATTGGAATAAGAAATACAAAAAAAAAAATACAAAAATCTATTTATGTGACCGTATACAAAAAAACAATGAATCAGTATGCTGACATTAACCCAATAATTATCTTGATTTTAAGCGCAAGGAAAAAGGAAAAAAAAAAAAAAAAATTAAAAAAATAAAAAAAATAAAAAAAAAAAATAAAAAAAAATAAAAATAATATTTTTTTTTTTTTTCAAAAGATTTTTTTTTTTATTTTCCAGGCTCTTTAATAATAAAATTTGTATTTTTTTTATTTTAAATAAATATAAATAGTATATTATTATAATACTATTTTTTTTATTATTTTATTATTGTTATAACTTTGTTTGTTTGATTGTTTTCTTTTTAAAAAATATTACAGTTAAAAATTAAAAAAAAAACTTAAAAAAACAATTAAGTTTTTAAATTTATTTTTATTTTTCAGTTAAATAAAATAAATATTTTTGCAGATTTAAAAGTTATAACATAAAATAATAAATAACATTCAACAAATAATATTAAATTTAAATAAAAACTATTTAATTATAGGTTTTTTTTTTTTTTTTTTTTTATAAACCATTTTATTTTTGATACTTTTTAAATTATTTTTATAAATAAAAGTAATAATAATAGTATAGCTTATTTATATTAATATAATAAAACAATCAATTAAAAAATATAATATATAAATAAAATGGATCAACAACCACCACAACAACCTCAACAACCTTTTTTACCAAAAAAGTTGCCAGCTAAACCTTTATCACCACCACCACCATTAAAAAAATTACCAGGAGGATTACCACCATCACCAGCAGCAATGAACAATGGTTTACCACCACCACCAGCAGCAGCAATGAACAATAATTTACCACCTCCACCAGTATTAAATAATTTACCACCCCCACCAAATAATTTACCACCTCCACCAATGAATTTACCACCACCACCAATGAATTTACAACCACCACCATCAATTATTACACCAGGACCTCCACCACCATCATCACAAGGTGCACCCCCATTATCACAAGGTCCACCACGTCAAGGTCCACCATCATTACAAGGTCCACCACCATCATCACAAGGTGTACCACGTCAAGGTCCACCACCACAATTACCAAATCAAATGAATAAACCATTATTTAAACCACCACCACCACAAAATAAAATGTCACCTCAACCAAATCATCCAATTCCAAACTCTAAAAGTTTACCACAAACTCCACCACAATTACCAACCCATAATAGTAGTGGTAATCTTCCACCACCACCAGCAACAGCAACAGCACCATTACCAACTACAAATCTAAATTTAAATCAAAACAATACCCCACCATTACCAACACCACCACCACCATTATCAGTACCACCATCACTACCAACTCATGGTAGCAGTGGCAGTTTATCAAATCCATCTATTAGACAAAGTGTTTATGGCATTGCTCCTTTATCAAATCCACCACCTCCACTTCAAGTACCACCAACACCATTATCACCAACTGCAGCTACCAGACAAGCTCATTTAAGTGGTTCACACAACAGAGCGTCATCACAAGATTCAGCAATCAATACTAGCGGTGGTGGTAGTAATTTTAGAAATTCAACAGATTCAGTTGCATTATCACTTTTGGATCAACCTGAAATTTATCCACAAACTAGAGTAATTATTTTAAAAATATTATTTTTTTTTATTTTTTCCCAATATTAATTAATTTTACATTAGATTGCAGAAGAAAATTTTAATTATTTAAAAGAAATTCATACAAAAATTACAAAAAGATCACAAACATCATCATCATGTTCAAGAGAAGGTAATAGTTTAGCAGAAACATTTAAAAATTATGGTACTATGTTAATTTCACAATCAGATAATTTATTGGGTCAATGTATGTACAAAGTTGGAGATTTTCAAAGAGAATATGAAGAGATTAGAGATCAACTTGATATTCAATCACTCAGTGGATTAAAGGGTACAATCGATCAATTTATTAATCGTGATGTTAAAGTTGTAAGAGCATCAAGAAAAAATTTCGATAAAATTAAATCAATGTATGAAACTGTTGATACCAAAGTAAACTCTAATGCCAATAAGGGTAAAGGTGTAAATTTAGTAAAGCAAGCAGAATTACAACAAGAAAGAGACTTCCTTCGTGGTAAATTAAATCAAGTTGGTCAAGATTCACTCTCTACAATTAAATTAGCAAACGAAAGTAATTCAGTAGAAATTATGGAGCAAATGGTAGAATACATGGAGAATATGCAAGTTGCAGTTAAAGCTCTTCAATCTCAATTGGCTCAATTACAAGTACCCATTACAACTTATAAAAAAGAAGCTGTTCGTAGACGTGCCGAGTTAGAAAAGTCGATTGAACAACAAAAGAATATAAACTCTCAAAAGAATCAAAAAGATAAAAACTTTAACGATGAGCTCGATAGAGAGGTACAAGGAGAGGATCCAAAGAAAACTAGACTCCGTAGATTTATTTCAGCAGAAAGAAATTATGTTGGCGGTTTGAATTCATTGGTTAATATTTATTTATCGGGTCTTCGTACTGATGATCGTTTATTTAGTAAAATATTTAAAGAGGATGAAGTAGCCATCTTTTCAAATATCGAACCACTTTATTCATATCAAACAAAGTTTTTAGAAGAATTAGAGTCTAGCTATAAAGGTTTTGGTGAAGTTACCACTCCAACACTAGGTGGTGTATTCTTTAAAAACTCTGAAAAGATGATGAAGCTTTACTCTGTGTATATTAATAATTTTTCAAAGGCATTACTCACAATCAATAGATGCAAACATTCAAAGAATTTCCAAGCTTTTCTTAAAACATGCGAAGAAAAAGCCGATGGTGCAGATCTTGACTCACTTATTCCATTACCATTGACACGTGTTGCCAACTATTTACTTTTGCTTAATGATATGAAGGATCAATTTACCCAACAGCAATCAGATCCAACCGAACTAAAACACGTTTTAGGTGCATTAGAAAAGATTCAATCAATTTCGGAATGTGTTAAACAAAGTCAAAATATTATTCAATTAAATAAACTTCAACAATCCCTAACCGGTTTCGATGGCAGCTTGGTCGAAGAAGGACGTTTCCTTGTTAAAGAGGGTACCATGTCAATTTTATTTTCAAATATTCAACAACAACCAACACAATTCTACTTTTTATTACTCACTGATATTTTAATCTATTGTAAAAAACAAAACAATATCTTTGGTGATCTTTCTAGTGATGCTAGAGGTATGTTAACTGGTCAGCTTTCACAACAAGCCTCCAACAAATATAAATTTATTGGTAAATTCGATTTAAAAAATATGGATATCAAAAATATTACCGATATGGATAGCAGTAATAGCAATAATTCATTCCAAATTCTTTGCGGTGGTGGTATCAATTGCACCATGTTTTGCGAAACCAAACAACAAAAAGAAGAGTGGCTCACAACTATCACCAAAACCATCTCGAAATGTAATCAAAATAAATTATTTGGTATTCCATTAGAGGCTATCATGGCAAGACCATTCGAACAAGGTCGTCCAATACCATCATTCCTTCAAAGAATTGTCGATTATTTATATGACACTGCTCCATTAGAAGAAGGTATTTTCCGTCTATCAGCCAACCAAAAGACTCTTGATATGGGAAGAGAAGAAATTGAAACAGGTGTTGAATTGGATTACAACGAAATGGATATTCATGCAGTCGCTGGTATATTAAAACTTTGGGTTCGTAATTTACCAGAGCCACTTTTAACCTTTAAATATTTCGACACATTTGTAGATATCGCAGATTTAGAAACCAAGGATGAAAAATATCAAATGATAAAGAATGTTGTTGAAAAGTTACCAAACGAAAACAAATTCTCAACTTATTATTTAATGAAACTTTTAACCAAGGTATCAGAAAACTCTGCTGGTAACAAGATGACACCAAACAACATTTCAATTGTATTTGCCACATTATTATTGCGTAAAAAAGACGCCTCTCCTCTTGATTGCACATCATTCAATACAATCTTTGGTGTCATAGAGTGCTTTATGACAGGTTTCAATGTAATCTTTAACGAAATCGAAAAACAATATCAAGATGCATTAAACTCATCAACAGATAGCTATAAAGATAAACGTAAATCAGTTATTCCAAATAAACCATTACCAAATCGTCCACCTCATTTACAATCACCAGATGCTTCAAAATTACCACCAAGTGGTGGTGGCAGTGGTAGCGGTAGCATTAATAGTAGTTCCGATAGCTTAGACAATAGCTCTGGCTCCATCGAATGGACTAAACAAAACTTTAATGACTCAGATAGCGATGACGATGACGACGAAGAAGGAGGTTTTTCAATTGGTTCAAAACAAGCTTCCATTACAATTCAATTAGGTGAAATTGTTAAACAAGGTTATTTGACAAAGAAGGGTGCAATGAGAAGAAATTGGACCAAACGTTGGTTTGTCTTAAAACAGGGCTATCTCTTTTACTTTAAAACTTCAAAGGATAAAAAACCCAAAGGTATTATTCAATTAAATAATGTATCTGTAACTCGTTCCTATTATAAACCAAATTGTATGGCTATCAAATCAAATTCAATCGATAAAGATGATAGAGAATTTTTAATTTGTGCAAATAGTCAAAATGATTTAGAAAGTTGGATAAAAGTAATTTTAAATTGTATCACTCAATAAAAACTATAAATTTTATATTTAATAATTATATATAGTTATAATTATATACTTATATATTTATAAAATAAAATAAAAATAAATAAACACACAAAAATTTAAATAATATTAAGTTTTAATTTTTTTTATAAAATATTTTTTTATTTTTTTTTTCTACAGATTATAAAATTGTTTTTTATTTTTTTTATTTTTTATTTTTTTTATCTTTTGGTTTCTTTTGATCTTTTTCCTCTTGTTCTTTTTCTTCTTTATATTTTATTCTTCTACTTGATGATGAAAATGATGGTAAAAATTGTTTGGGAAGTTCTAGTTTTGGAACATCTTTTTCTGTAGATACTCTAACCTTTCTCTGATATGTTACGTGACCTCCATTGGGTGTTTGCATTGTTACTTTATCAATGACAGTTTTCGTACCAAACATTATTATTTATATAAATTATTTTTTGATATTATTTTAAAATTTATTTATTGTTATAATATAAAAATATATACAATATTGTACTATAATATTTATATGTATAGTTTTTTAAAGTATGAAATAAAAAAAAAAAAAAATATAATATTTGATCAAATATGTGTAATTTAAAAAAATTCATAAAAAAAAATTTCTTTACCACACTTCACACACAAATTTCTTTCTTGAATAGATGGGGGATTTTTCAAGAAAATAATAAATAGAAATTAAAAGTATTAATCTTTTTAAATATTTATAATATTTGATAAAATGTGTGTTTTTTAATTTACATAGAGGAATATTTTTACAAAAAAAATTTACAAAATAAACCCCCACCACAAAAAAAAAATAAAGAAAAAAATAGACATTTATGTTTTCCCAAAAAAATAATAAGAAAGGTTTTTTTTAAAAAAAAAATAATATGAATCTGGTATTATTATTTGTTTTATATTGTCCACATTTAAATCAGGTGCTCGTAGTATGGTAAACCTATTGAATTGCTAATATTTATAAAATATGTGAAATAATTATTTACATTCACTTGTGACTCACCCAAAATATCTATGGCTTATATTCCCAATTTAATTAAAATCTATTTTTTAAAAAATTTATATTTATAAATTTAATTTTATTTTCACTGCAAAGAAATCATTATTTCAAAATCAATATTACTTTTTTATTTTTCGAAGAGGTTTTTAACAAAATATTTTTTTTAAAATAAAACTCGAAAAAAAAAACTAATTTAAAAAAACCTTTTTTTTTTTTTTTTTTAATTTTTTTTTTTTTTATCAATTTATAAATAATATATATTATTATATAAATAAAAAAAAATAATAGTTTAATAATGTTATAATGAAATACAAGATATTTTTACAAGTTTTAATAATATTAATTTCTTTATTTATAAATATAAAATCACAACAAAATTATAACAATTATAATAATATATATGTAAATTATAATATTTCTAATTCGAATGGAGATGGTACTATCACAAACCCATTTCAAAGTTTGTGTGATATAAATTCAAATATTTTAACCTCCAATTCTATAATAAATATAGCAGTTGGTGAATATAATACAAAAAAATGCATATTTGAAATAAATAATATCAATAACTTTACAATAATACCGTATAATCCCAATAATAATAATGACAATTTAATAAATATTTATAATATAGGTTTTAATATTATAAATTCTACAATAATTAATATAAATGATTTAAATTTTATATTTTTAAATGATAATTTTAAAATCAATATAAATAATTCAATAAATATAATAATAAATAATTCTATAATAGAAAACTATATAATTTTAATTTATAATAGTAATAATGTAGTTTTTAAAAATTCATTAGTAAAATCAACATCAAATATGGTTACAACTATAAATCAAATTATTAATAGCGTAGATTCAAATTTAGTAGTAAATGATACTGTTTTTCAATCATCCAATTCAAATATAATGTTATTAAAATCAAGCAGTATTTCTAAAGCAACAGGAGTTTCATTTAATAATATTTTTATATCAGAATTTAAGATACAAGAATCAACTATTGTTTTAGAATCATTAATACCCACTGAATCAGTTTTTTTAAGTGGTTTATATGAATTTAATAATATAACATTTTATAAATCTATTTCAACAACCCTAATAACTTTATTAACCAATAATAACAACAACAATAATCTAATAATGAATCAAATTAATTTAATAGATAATAATAATATATTATTTTTAAAATTAAATATAAAAAACAATAGTTTTAATAGTATTTCAATCAGAAATTTTAATTTTGTAAAAACAATTACAGCTACCAAATGCGACATTAATAGATTCGTTACAACCTCATCAACATCATCAAATATAAGCAGTAATTTAACGATAAGTGATTCAATATTCAATTGCTTTGGGACAAGTGAGTTTAAATTTTCAAATGTCCAATTCAGAAATGTTAGCATTACAACAACTTTTAAAGGTGCTTTTATAAGGATTTTAGAAGATGCTCTAGTAACTTTTTATTCGAGCACATTCAAAACCAGTAATTTCGATACAAAAGGTTCTTTATTTGTTCTAGACAATGGCTCATTTTTAACTTTAAATCAATGTATAATTAAAGATTCATCATCAACACTCCTAGTATCATCCAGCCAAAAAGAAGCCTCAGTAATTAAAATCAATAATTGTCAATTCCTAAGATCAACATCAAATACCTCTCCATTCATTTTAACTTTAAATTCAAATCTATCTATTTCAAATTCACTTTTTGAACACTATAATAGTTCGCTATCCTCTTTTATAACTGCATTTTCTACAAAAATAAAAATAGAATCTACCCAACTAAACAATTTTTTGATTGGTTCACAAACCCCAATGATATCGGCACTCAATTCAAATTTTGAAATTGATGATTTAAGAATGGACAATTGTATTTGTGGTTTCAATACTTTTTTTAGTGTAGCCAGACCTCAAATATTCTCCATATCAAACTCTATATTTACAAATAATCATGGTATTGAAAGGGATTTTCAATTGTTTTCATTTTGGAACGGGACAAACATAACATTTTCTCATCCTCAATTTATAGGTAATTCATTTTCACCAATGATATATCTAGAATCATCCAATTTTACAATATCAGATATCACATATTATAATAACACTGGGTCATTTGTTTCTGGTATATCAAATCAAACACAAACAGTTGAAATATCGAACTTTTTAATTGAAAATAATAAAACCCCATTTGAATACTTGTTTGCATTTCGAGGCCCCTACAGTGCAAGACTATATCGAATCACCATCGCAAATAATTATTTACCAAAATATTTAATTTATTTTGGAAGTCAAGAAAGAAGCAACCCAAAGAACTCAATAGAAATTACATGTTTCAATTACTATAATAATATTATAATAGATAACTTTAATGGCAATAATATTTTCCCCTTTCTATTCGATATCGAAACTCCCGTGCCATCACAAATTTTATTTTATAATATAGATTCCAAGTTTACCAATTCAATTGTAGAAAATAATAAATTTTTATATGGAGTGTTCACAGTAAGCCAAGCAAATTTTGAAATCAGTTATAGTAGTTTATCAAATAATCAATTTCAGAGCAATGGTTTAGGAAAATTATTTTCCATTTATGGTGTCAGTTTTTATAATGTATACACAACCTTTTATCAAGTAACCATTAACAACAATAGAATAGCACAAGATTTAACATATTCAATACTTTTCGACGAGCCTTTAGTTAAAATTTTTTCTACAAGTATTAATATTTCTAATTGTGAAATGTCTTTCAATTATTTTCCACGCAGTAAAGGTGGTGCTATAAACAAGGATGATGTTTCTAGGTGGTATCAAGTTATTATTAAAGATTCAATTTTTGATTCAAATATAGCTCAATATGGGGGTGCAATTAGTCTTGCTGGCTATTATGAAAATAAAGATTTACAAATATCAAATTGTGTTTTTAAAAACAATTATGCAAAAGATAATGGTGGTGCTATATATATTGAATATAGTACTTTTATTGGTACCAATAATAGTTTTTATAATAATTCATGTTTATTTGGCAAAAATAATTATGGGAGCGGTAAGGTTTTTTAAAAAAAAATAAAAATAAAATTTTTTAAATATTAATATCTTTTTTTATTTTTCTATTTATAGGTCCATTTTTATTATCACCTCATTATTTAAAAGCAGTTAGTGGTGAAGTTTTATTTGTGCAATTTTCAATTTTGGATTATAGTTTAGAAATAATTAATGGTATTTCAGGTTTTTTAAATACATCAATAACACAATTTCGTTGTAATAAAAAAGTTTATAAAAATTCTTGTGTACCAAATGACTTAATTACTAATGTTACATATGTCTCTAGTAAAGTGGTTTCAGGTCAAGGTTCATTCTATTACGTTTTTTATGGTGACTTTCCAACTTGGTATAATATTAAACTTGTAGGTTATCCAGTTAGTCTTTTTATAAACATTGAACCAACCGGTTGTCCTCCATATACAATTGATCAAAATAATAACTTTATGAATTGTACTTTTTGTCCTTTTGGGTCATCTGCTATAAAAGTTGGAAATAAAAGCGAATGTTTTCAATGTAATTCTCAAGAAATGGTTTGTCAAAACTCAAATGTTTACTCATTAGATGGCTACTATAAGGTTAAAACAAATAAAGTGTTTTCTTGTGCAATCGATATGTGCTCTCAAGAAAATACATGCCAATCAAGCTTACATACAGGTGATACATGCTATTATTGTTTGGAAGGTGTAGCTAAAAATGGAATTCAATGCTGTTCAAAGTTTAACCCAATCCTATTATTACCAGTTTTCACTATGTTTTTTTTAATCAGCTTGATACTATCAGTTTTAAAATTTAAAAATAACCATTCAATTTTAAAATCAACAATAATATTTATTCAAACCAACTCAATTATTTTCTTTTCATATGGAGGAATTTACATTTTACCATTGTTCAGATTTTCAATTGACTTTTTAGATCAATATTGTTATTTTAAAAATTTAAACTATTTACACAAATTAATAATTTCAAATATTGTAATTATAATCTCTTTTATATTATCATCAACCAATATAACTATCAATCTTATAAATAATTTAATAATCAATAATTACTATTTTAAAAAAACTATATATAAAATATCAACAAATAAAAAAAGATTAGATAATGATAATAATAATCAGGCAGATAATATAATAGAACAATTTGAAAAATATAATAGAAAAATAACTCAAAGAAACTACTCTATAATTCATAAAACTAAATCAACTTGGTTTTTAATTCAAATATATAGTATACCGGTACTATTCAATTTAATATCAGTTTTAATATATAGAGAACAGTATTACATACCAACATCAAGAGAATCCAATAACGAATTTCACGACAGCAGCTCACATCAAATTGACGCAAACGATATAGAAAGAAATATTTTATTGTTAGCTTTAGATTTTTCAGTTCCATACCTAAATTATAGCAATACCCCTTTACACCCATTACATTTAATACTATTCTTAATTTCAACAATATCATTATTTCTAATATTATTGTTTTTATTATTAATCGTTTTAATGGTTTTAAATCATTATAAATTAATAAGGAATGGGTGGTATTTTTGGTTATATAATAGAATCATTCCAGATAAATTAAAAATTATAAAAAGAGTTATTTCAAAATTAAACTATACAAAAAAATTCAAATGGTGGGACCTTTTAGTTTTAGCAAAATCTTTTATCTATACTTTATTGGCACTTCTCATGCTATTCAAGCCTCAACTTTATATGAACATAGTTTTATGGATTCAAATCGCCTATTCAGTCTGTTTCTTTTTAGCGAATCCTATTCAATCAAAAAATAATTATCAAAGACGGCATGAACAAAGAAGAAATAATCTAATCAATTTATACCAAATTTTCATTTTCATTTTATCTGGATCATTACTATTTAAAACCTTAATTCCTCAATTAAAAGGTATAGTTATTACAATTTTAACTCTTTTAATTTTTTTATTTTTATAAAATTTAAATAAATTTTTTTTTTTTTATAAATTATAAAAATATTTAATTTATCCTTTCTTTTATTTGGTAAAAATTTTTATAATAAAAAATATTTATGCACAAAACCTTTTATAAAGAAAATTAATTTCAAACTTTTATTAAAAAATATTATTTTTGATAACATACTAATTAATTTAAATATTTTAAAATAAATAATCACCAATATTATTTTAAAAATACTATTATATAAAATTATCGTTATCTTCATTTATTACAATTATCATTATCTTTTTCATTCTAAAATAAAAACACATAATAATATCTTTTTCTCCTTTAAAAATGATATATTTACCAATTTGAAATTATTTTATTGTTTTTTTTTGAATTAATTTCATAATATAGTTTTTTTATTAAATAACCATGAAGTTCATACTCTTTGTGATTAATATTGGGGTAGCCCACATTTATTTTTTAATTTTTATAATTTTTTTAATAATTTTTTTTTTAAATTTTAAATTTAATTTTTTCTTTTTTAATTTTTTCCTTTTTGAAAATTTTTTTTTTTTTTCATTTTAAATAATTTCGTTTTTATATACATATCATAATCATCATTAATTAAATATTAACAATAATTATATATTTTATAAAAATAAATTATTTATAATATCCAATAATAATAATAAATTATCTATAAAGAACAATCATAATAATAATAAAATAATATAAAATGGAATCCCCATATATTACTTTTTTTATTTATGCTTTTAGAATTCTCTCCTTCTTTTGCTCATTAGTATTAGTAATTAAGGTCAGAAAAATAAAAAATTTTTTACAACAACAACAACAACAACAACAACAACAACAACAACAACAACAACAACAACAACAACAACAACAACAAAATAAAAATATCGAAGCTAGTGCTTCCATAAAAATAGACTCCTTAGAAAACCAAAAATCATCCTCTTCCTCTTCTTCTCCTTCCTCTTCTCCTTCTTCACCATCATCCTCTTCTCCCTCCTCTTCTTTACCATCATCTTTTTCTTCAAATTTATCTTCCGGATTATCTTTTACTTCACGATCATCATCACCAATATCCTCTTCGCCATCATCTTTGCCATCATCTCCTTCTTCTTCATCATCATTACCTTCATTATCACCAATAAATAATAGTTCATTGAAACCAGATGATATAAATATTGATACAAAAGATAGGGACAAAATTTTATCTTTAAAAAACGAAGAATTTAAAGAATCAGAATATACCAATGGTAATTCTAACACCCACTTCCACTATCACTATCACATTCATAAACACCTTCACATTCACCTTCATCAAAATGATTATAGTGATGAGGAAAGTTTCGATATAGATTAAGACCAGGGTGAAGTAATACAAATAATATAAACATATATTAGTATAAATCAACTTTGAATGGATATAGTGTAGAATCAAATATGGGCAATAAAATAGTTTATATCAAGATAGATCCAATAATAAAATATTTTATATCAAGATAGATACAATATTTCAATTTATGTATTAGTTAAAGTTGTAGTCCAAGTAACTGGTCAAGCAGGGTTTTAAGAAGTGAATAAATGGGTTATTTCACGTGTATATTGCAACAAGAATTATGATTTTAGAAATCATTAAATATCATCTACATTGTATTTTTAAATTAATAAAAGTGTCAGTTATTTTTAAATTTTTAATATTTGAATCTTTTTTTATTTTTTATTTTTTTTATTTTTTTTTTTTTTCAAAAACAATTTGGGTAATTCAATAATTTGTTTCTTTTATTGAAAATATAATGCAAATATAAAACTAACTCAATGTCTTGGTCTTATAATAGTAATGATTGTTGAGAATTGGTAATTTTTATAATGGCAATCCTTATTGTTTTATACTTCTACGAGCTTTACCACACTGCATACAAGTTGGGCACAGTAAAGTCAATTCATGCGTGATCCTGTGTGTTTTATTCTGCAAGACTGGGTGCGAAAAGCATATCGAACCAGGAGGCAGGAAGAGAAAAAAAAATAAGAAAAAAAATAAAAAAAGTTTGTCTGAAGTTTAGCTAATCATTATCTTTGGACACATTTAGGATGACTTTCCCCCACTCCCAACGAGGCGCATTTCTTTGTGTGCTCTATTGCTAGCCTGTACCTAGGATCTGTCATTATCAACCTTCGCAGTAATCCATACGGACTCTGTGGATGTTGACCCCGCTGTAACAGTGGATCATCTTTTATGCTGTGTTTTTTCCATTGACTCTGACCAACCTCCCCATCCTCACTCCTAAGGCTTCTTTTGGATTACAGGTTATAACACCCAGCCATAGTTTTGCAGACAAAGATTATTAATCAAACTCCTTTTTAAGGTTGAATATTTTTTCTAATTTCAATTTGTTATGGGACATGTTTTAAAAAAAAAAAATTTTATTTATAAAATTAAAAAAAAAAAAAAAACACAGATCAAAAAAGATTCGAAAAAAAATAAATAAAAAATTTGAAAAAAAAATGTGAAAAAAAATATGTAAAAAAAATATATTTATTTATAGGCAAATAAAATTTTTTTTTTTTTTATTTATATTTAACCAATAATAAACAAAATTTAAATTTAGACCACTTACAATCACAAACAATAAGAAAAAATGATTAAATAAATAAATTTTTTAATGTGTGTGTGTGTTTGGGGGTATTTTTTGTGTGATTGTGTGTTATTTTTTTTTTTTTTATTATAATTTTTTTTTCTTCAATTTAATTTTATTAAATTAAATTAAATTAAATTAATATTTAAATGAAAATTTTCATTTATTTTTTTTTATAATTTTTACAATTTAATACATAAACTTTAACAAATATATAAATAATAAAAAATGTATAATAGAAACATAATATTACTTTCAGTTTTATTTATAATTTTACTTCAATTTTCAAAATCACAACAAATAGATAAATCAAACTATATAGAAAATAATTATCTATCTTTATCATCATCTTCAAGTAGTGATGATTCAAGTTCAAGCGATGGTTGGGTAGAACCACCTGCATGCGGAGATCTCACCCTTTGTTTATTCACAGAAATAAACTATAAAGGATTTCAATACGAATTTTCAATATATGATGGATATGTAAATTTACCTGACCAAATTAAAAGAAATATTACATCATTTGTATCAAAGTAAATATAAATATACCAAATTTTATATATAATTATTAATACTAATTTTTTTTTTTTTTTTTTTTTTTTTTTTTTTTTTAAATTAGTGCTAAAGTTTGTTTTATTTCATTTAGTCCAAATTTTAACACACAACAAATCAGTTTTGGTGAATTTTTATCAAACTATTATATAATTTTTGGAAACTCGGTTGATAGTATAAAATCAGGAGAGTGCTAATAAAGATTTTCTTGAAATCAATTAATTAAATCCTTTGGAATAAAGATATTACTTTTAGAAGAAAATAAAAATAAAAATAAAAATAAAAATAAAAATTCAACGCGTTTAAAAAAAAAAAAAAAAAAAAAAAAATGGTGACCATTTTATTTTTCTTTAAAACCTAAAAATTATTTCCACAAAAATAAAAATAAAAATAAAATAAAATAATAATAAAAAAAATTATTTGATATATACATTTGTTATTACTATTAATTTTGAGAAAATTATTCATATAAAAAAACGAAAATTTTTTTATTTTTTTTTTTTTGTTGTTAATGGGCAAAAAATTGGTTAATTTACAAATTTAACTTATTTAATATTAAGAGACTTAAAGTTTAATATTAAGTAATTTAAAATTAAAAGAAAATTATTTTAAAAAATTATTTTTTAAATAATTAAAAGTTTAAATTTATAAGTAAAAAATAAAATGGGCTATAGGAAATATTTCGTATATAGGGGCCTCCACACTTAACACATTTTTTCCAAAATTTTTATTTTTTTTAATTTTAATTTATTTTTTTTTAATTAATTTTTTTATTTTTATCATATTACTATGCGTATGAATAATGTAAATAATTATTTTTGATGCACTTAATCTTTGCAAGACAAGATTTTTTCTTTTAATTTAGGGATGTGGAGAAAAAACTTAAAGTTTGACCACCACTTAATACAATCATTCTTCGAAAATTATTAATTTTAATAATAAAAAATTCCTCTTTTAAAATTTCGAAAAATGTATAAATTAAAAAAATTTTTTTTTATTAAAAGTAAAATAACAAATCAATAATATAAATATAAATATATATAAATCAATACAATAATAATAATAAATATATTTTTTTTTTTTACCTGTACATATAAATAATAATTTTTTTTTAATAACAATATATTTTTTAATAAAATTTTTCCAATAATAATTTTTATAAATAAATAAAATAATATAAATAAAATAAATAAATAAAAATGAATAATAAAAATTTTTTAATTATTTTAATTTTATTAGTAATAAATTTAAATTTTAATTCGACATCAATTATTACAAATTATAATTCACCAAACGAGTTTAATTACGATGGTTCAGATATTTTAAATATTGATGGTTACTTTTTACCAAGATATTTAAATGGTCAATTATTTACCAATTTCCAATTACAATTTACCAATGGTACCATTTATAATTTTGATAAAATTCAAGTAGATTTTTATCAAAGTAATAATAGTTATCATTATACATTAAACACACCAAGAGGCTTTGGTAATGGTATCTTTAAAGTATTTACAGTCAACGAAACTACCGAGATGGTTATTGGTAAATACGATTTCAGTTATCAAGCTCCACAAGTTATTAATGCCAGCTTAGTGTCACCAAGATTTGGAGGTTCCGTCACATTGAATGGTAATGGTTTCTTTGAAACATTAATTAATATCAATGTTTTAAATAAAACCTATCCATGCTCCAATATTGTTTCAAATGACCAAGGTACCCAATTAACATGCGAAATGGGTCAAGTATTAAATGTCATCGATGCCGATTATTACGAATTAGAGTTGATCTCTGGTAATATGTTAAATACAACCTTTGAAAAGTTTTCATTTTTACCATGGGGTAAAGTTTGTCCAAATCAATGTAGCGGTAATGGCCAATGCGACTCACAATTAAATTGTATTTGTAATGAAGGCTATGAAGCTTTTGATTGTTCCATTAAAGTAGACTTAAATCAAATGTATCCACAATCAAATTTAACCGAATCGACTACCTTTAAAATGAAGTCACCATTTGTTAGTGGCAATGTAAATGTAGACTCAAAAAACTCTTCAATCGATACCAATAACTATGAAGAGTTTTCAATTTCAATTTCAAGTTTTAGAAGATTAAATTTATATGGTTATGCAGTTAATCAATATCCATTTTCAGTTTTATCAAATGTTCAACAAATGTTTACCAATGACAGCTTTACAGTCTCTGGTACCGCTCCAATTAAAACCGATTTGTTTGAATCATTTGAATTCGATGGCAATTTCTATTTAAATTCAGATGAATCACCAGAAAACTTTATCTCTGAACATGGTTTCGAAGTAACTTTACCAACTTCAAGAAATTCAGCTATCATTAATTTATTAACAACTGGTATTACATCTAATGATTACGATACCGATAGTTTCCAATTTGTATTTTCCATCTCTTTAAATAATGGTTCTGGTAGTAATAATAATCAAAAGTTAAATGCTACTATGGGTTTAAATCAAGTCATTTCAATTACCTCTGATACTGCAAACTCTGTTTTAGAAATTACTCCATACTATTATTCATTCTCTTTATCAAAAGATGTCAACAAAGAAATCGATAGAGCTCCAATTAAAGCTTCCATTTTATCCGACGAAGATGCTTCATCCATTTTTGGTTATAATCCAAATTCAATTTATATTGCTTTGGAATCAAAAATTCAATACGATATGTTAATGTTATCTTCAAGCTTTAATTTATACAAGAACATTGATATACCAAATAATAGTAGTGATAACGATAATCATAACAACCATTCAGTATTGTTAAAAGTATTTTTACCAATTGGTACCTTTATTGTAATTTCAATTATAGGTATTTCAGTTTTTATTATAAAAAGAAGAAATAATAACAAAAATAATAATAATGGTTATAAAACTTTATTAAATAATAATAATAGTTTAAACGATTCCGATGATGAGTATTTTAAAGAAGAAAATATCCAAAATATTTAAATATGTAAATAAAATAATAAATAAATAAATAAATAAATAAATAAATAATTTAAATTAACGAATAAATTATAAATAAAAATAATATTATAATTATAATTTAATTATAATAAAATTTAAAAAAAAATATAGTTTCATAAATTTGTTTAAAAAAAAAAATATAGTTATATTTATATAATTATATTTTTTAATTTTTTTTTTTATTTAAAATATTTTAATACACCTATAATAATATTTATTTAGCTTTACCTTGGTTGGCAACAGCTTCTTGAGCAGCTTTCAATAAAGCTTCATCAGCAAGATAGTATGATTTGATTGGTTTTAATTCATCATCTAATTCATAGACTAATGGGATACCAGTTGGAATTTCCATTGAAACAATACCATCATCTGAAACATTATCTAAATATTTAATTAAAGCTCTAATACTATTACCATGGGCAGCAATTAAAACCTTTTTACCGCTCCTATTTAAAAAAAAAAAAAAAAAAAAATTATAATTAATATTATTTAAAATTTTTTTTTTAATTATTATTAATGCACTATTATTATTTTTATTTTGCACATACTTGATAGTTGGAGCAATAGTAGATTCCCATAATGGTAAAACTCTTGCGACAGTATCTTCAAGACATTCAGTTTTTGGGAGTTGATCTTTTTTTAAATCTTTGTAAAGTGGATCATTACCTGGGAAACGTTCATCAGATTCTTCAAGTGGTGGTGGTGGAATAGAGTATGATCTTCTCCAGATTTTAACTTGATCTTCACCATATTTAGTGGCAGTTTCAGATTTATTTAAACCTTGAAGAGCACCATAGTGACGTTCGTTTAATCTCCATTCTTTGTCTACTGGAATACTTGATTCACCTAATTCTTCAAGAACAATGTTGAGGGTTCTTTGGGCTCTCTTTAAGAGTGAAGTAAAGGCAATATCAAAGGTATAACCATTTTGCTTTAATTTCTTACCGGCATCATGAGCTTCTTCTACACCTTTATCTGATAAGTCAACATCAGTCCAACCAGTAAATTTATTTTCTTTATTCCAAGTACTTTCACCGTGTCTAATTAAAACTAATTTATGAACCATTTTTTTTTTAATATTATTTAATTAAATTAATAATGATAATGAAAGAAAAAAAAAAAAAAAAAAATTTTTAAAAAAAAAAATTTTAAAAAAAAAAAAAATAATAAAAAAATAATTAAAATTAAATTATTTTTTGAACTGGTAATTTTTTTTTTTTGATTATTTGTCGGACTCCGAAAATATAAAATAAAAAACATTTTATGATTCTTTTTTTTTATAAAATATAAAAAAAATATTAAAATTTATTTGTTTTAAACCATTTTTTTTCAACTTATAACATTTGGATAGATGATTTTAAACTGAACTAACATTTTTAAAATCTATAAATATATTATAATAAATATTGGTAATTTTTTATTTTTAAACCCAATTTTTTCATCTTTACCATAAAAATTAAAAAACATTTTTATTAGTTTTTTAGTCAAAATTTTTTTTTTTTTTTTCATCACAAAAAAATTAATTTTTTTTCAAATTTTTTTATTTTTTTATATTTTTTTTTTTTCACACACAGATATTTAGATTATTACAAATGAAATCAGATATTCACGATAATGATAATAGTCCAAATAATAATTTGGAAATTATAAATCTAGAATTGATAAATAAAATAAAAATATTAGAAAATGAAAATAACCAATTAAAAGAATCATTAAATTTTTTTAAAAATGAAATTATTACATTAAATAATAAATTTAACAATATTAACATTAATAATAATAATAATAATAATAATAATAATATTAGTAATAATAATAATAGTGATGGCAACAATGATGATAATAATAATAATAATGATTTAAATAATTATAATGATAAAGTTTTTTTTAAAGTTTTTAGAAATATTTATTTAAAAAATCAAATTATAAAACATTTAAGAATATATAGTATTTTTAGCGTTATTAAAGTTACAACATATTCAGAATTAGAAAGTCTTTTTTTTAAAAATTATATTATAGAGTTATATTACCAATCAAATGACCTATTAAAGAAAGTTCCATTATCGGTTACAAGACTTATTTTTGGTAAAGAATATTTTCAACCATTAAAAAAAGGAGATATACCAAATACAGTTGTCGATTTGGTTTTGGATTCTTATAACCATCCTTTAAATAGATGCATACCAGATTCGGTTACAAAGTTAACAATGTTTTCATTTAATCATCCTCTAGAGTATTTGGATTTACCAAAATCAGTTGTTACACTTAAAATGTTTTTTTTTAATCAACCATTAAAACCAAATTTAATTCCACCAGTAAAAACTTTAAAGCTCTTCAATTATAATAGAACCCTTTATCCAGATCACTTACCCAATTCAATTGAAACTTTAAAACTATCAGCTTATCATCATACATTAAGAGCAGGTGCAATCCCAATGTCAGTAACCAAGTTAACTCTGGACGATTATAATAGACCATTACTTGCTGGTTCTATACCTTTTTCTGTCCGTAACTTAAAAATCCAATCATTCAACTTTCCAATCCCCGATGGTGCAATACCCAATACTCTAACTTTACTTAGACTCAATAGAAACTATTCCCAGCCTTTTGTAAAAGTAAAAATACCTCAAAATGTAACAGTAAAATATTATTAATAAAATATAATAAATTAATGGAAATATAAATATAAATTAAAATATAAATAAATAAATAATTTTTTTTTTTTAATAAAATTTCTTCTCATATGCCTTTTATTTAATATAATTTCAAATAACTTAATTATAAAACAAAAAAAAATGTTAAAAACAAATATACCTATATATTATAAATAAAAATATAAATATTTATTTTTTAATTTTCGATAACCTTGCAATCTTCGATGGAGGTAAAGCCAAATAGACGTTTTGCACCATTTAAACTTCCAAGAATCATCTTTTTAGAGAATTCTCTCATTTCTTTTTCGTACTGTTCCAAATCTTGTTTTCTTGAACCTTTTTTAATTGCATTTAATAAAATTAAGCAGTCATAAATTGCAGTGTTGGCACCAGAACCACCAGTTGGTGACATATTGTGAATTGCATCACCCATTAAAGTAATATTGCTATTTGTTTCCCATTCATAAACATCTGGGAAGGATGACGCAACACTAATATAGCTTGATTTGGTTTCATCTGAGCTGGTAATAATATTTTTGAGTTGAGGGTTCCATTTCTCGATTAGTTTAAGTTGATGTTCTTTTAATTCTTTTTGTGATAAGCTGTAAAGTTCTTGGTCTGATTTTTCAAAGCAATGGCTTAAACCTAAGAGCACCCAATAGATATAGTCATTTGTTTCTGGAATGAAGTTTGGGTCTTCAATTTTAGTTGGTTTGAATTTAATTGGTTCCATAAAAAGAGTTAGATTCTTGTCATCAATTATTGTTGTTATCCACTCCATACAGGATGCTGGTAATTGCTCCAATAATTTATTTGTTAATGGTGTTTTTCCATAAATACATCTTCCATTAGTATCAAATTGTTTTGAATCTGGGGTAAATTGCTTTCTAACCAAAGAGTTAACACCATCTGCTCCAACCAATAAATCACCTACAAATACTGAGCCATCTGAAAAGTGAGCTTCTACTTTGCTTTGGCCGCTTTCATCTTGAATAATATTGTATTTTACAAATTTTTTTCCAAATTCTAAGTGATCTTTGATACCCAATGTTAATAAGTTTCTAAGAGTACTTCTATCAGCTGTAAATACCATACTGTCATCGGTGTAGCTTTGATTGGGTGCCATATTTGCAACTCTTCTAGTAATTTCACCGGTAATTGCATTTATTGATGTACCACCAACTTGAGTTCTTGCACATGTTTCTTTAAATAATTTCCATAATTCTTCAGATAGAATCTCTTTTAAAACACTCGAGCCTTCTGGTGAAATTCTTAAACGATAACCTTGAGATCTAAAATTTTCACTTTCATCTCTTTCGAATAATTTAAACTTGATTCCATTTTTATTTAAACCCTGTGCTAAAGTTAAACCACTAATTCCACCACCAATGATTATAATTGTTTTATCCATTTATATTATTTGTAAAAGTTTTTTTTTTTTTAAATTTAAATCAAAATTTTATTTTTTTATTTATAGTTTTTTTTTTTTTTAAAAATATAATTTGGAGTAATGATTATGGCTATTACTAAAACAAATATTTTGTTGTAAAAAAAATTCAGCGAATTTTTTTTCAAATTATTAAAAAAAATCTAAAAAAAAAAAGGTAAAAAAAGAAAAAATTAATAAAAAAAAATAAAAAAAATAAAAAAATAAAAAAAATAAAAAAAATAAAGGTTGATTACCAATTATCAAAGAATTTAAAAAAAAAATTATTAAAAATTGATTATAATCGAAATTAAATTACTAAAATAAAATAAAATTCATTTTAACATTTTCAGATCATCCAAATTGAATTGGACGAAATTTTTGATTTGTTGAGGTTTTAGTCTTTAAAAATGAATACATATATTATTATAAATGAAATCTTTAATAATTTATTTAATTAATAATACATCTTTTATTGTTTTCCATATTAACATCTTTATTATTATTATTATATTTATTTTTATTATTATTACTATTAAGATTTTCAATTGAAAGAAAAGAAGCAGTTTCAAAAACTTTCATTATATTTATATTATCTAATGATGAGGTTTCTATATATTGTACTGCTTTGATTTTATTAGCCATTTCTACACCTTCGCTATTTGTAACCAATTGTTCTTTAACATAATTTGGATTATTATAAACATCTGATTTGGTTCCAACTAAAACTATTGGAGTATTTGGACAAAATCTTTGAATTTCAGGGTACCACTAAATAATTATTTAATTAATAAACTATTATTATTATTTATAAATGAATTTTTATTATATTTTCTTTATACTTACAAAATCTAAACATCTATTAAATGATTCTCTATTTGATATCGAAAAACATAAAACAAAACAATTGGTATGATCATAAGAAAGAGGTCTTAGTTTATTTTGATCTTCTAACCCGCATGTATCCCATGGTGCTAATTGTACTTTATTTGGACCAAATTGAAATTCCCCAACGTAACCACCATATATTGTTGGAATATAATCTTGAGGAAATTTATTTTCAGCCAATCTATAAATTAAACAGGTTTTACCACTTCCATCATCCCCTACTATAACAATTTTTATATAGTATACTTTATCACCATATTTATTATTATTATTATCACTATTATTTGACATATCTATTATTTTTTTTAATTAATTTAAAAAAAAAAAATTTAAAAAAATTAAAATTTAAATAAAAAAAAAAAAAAAAAAAAAATTAAAAAAAATATCTGTTTATTATAATTAATTTTATAATAAATAATTTGTAAATAATTTTTACTTCGAAAAAATAAACCAAAATATTATTTATTCTACACAATAATAAAAATAAATAAAAAATATATTTTTTATAATTTTATGGTAAAACACCTAAAAGTCAGTGCACTTGAAATCATATTAAAATAAAAAAGTCATTAAAAAATTTGGGTGGATTAATCTTATTTTTCATGGCAAAAAACTTAAGATTAAGATCATATAATATTAAAAATAATTAAAAATTTAATGTGGTTTTTCAAATGGATACCTACTTAAATAAAAAATTCTTATTTTTTTTTTTTTTGTTGTTTATTTAATAACCAAAAAAAAATACATTTAATATTTAATTTTGTATATAAATTTCATTTTTTTTAAATTTTGTGAATGAATAAAAAAAAAAAAAAAAAAAACCCATCTCGTTTTTTTAAAATTGATTAAATAATGGCGTTTAGAAAATAAAAGTATTCCGAAGCAAATTTTTTAAAATATATGGGGACATTTTTTTTATTTTTTTTTATTTTTTTATTCATAAAATTTAGTTCTTAGTTTTTTTTAAATCAATGTATTTTTTTAATCTTATTATATTTATATTTGTATATTTATTTTTTGGATTTGCAAATTCCATTATTGCAGAACCAGATGCTACCTGTATTAAAAATATAGTTGCAAAAGCAGGTTTATCATCAGTAATTACAGTAAGCGGTAGTGGATTTGTAAATTATTGTGATGATTATCCAGATTATTTTGAGTGTTATAATAATTTAATTTATTCAATGTAATTTATTAATTTAATATTAAAAATTATAATTATAATAAAAAATATTTATATTTTTTTATTATTTTTTTATTTATTTATATATAGAGAATTAGAAGGTCAAAAATCAAGTTATAAATTCAATTATTCAGATTTCAGCTGTTTAAATGCTTATGCTATAAATTCATTTGCTCCATCATCTTTTACTGGTTTTATCTTTGACGATTATTTCTTTTATTCTCCAAATGAACATCCATTTTTTGATATTAGATTTATAGATTGTAAAGTTGCATCATTATCTAAACCATGGACTGCATTTAACAATAAACTTGTATCAATATATACTGGAGAAAAGTATAGTAAAAGTAATGACCATATCATGTTATCTACTTTGGCCTCATTCTCATCCCTCACCTATTCAGACTTTACTGGTCAAGCCCAAAATACTTACTATAACGATTTAACTAGGTTGGAAATTTTATTTTCCCTCGACATACCAGCCATAATGGTACCATCTTTTACAAATTTCCAAGTTAGTGAATTGTAAGTAATAAATCAAAATTTTTTTTTTTTTATATAAAATTTTATTTGTTAAAAATTTTTTTAATTTTATAGAGCATTTTATTTTGAAAATAATTTTGATATTTCTACCTATTCAAATTTTTCTACATATAATAATATATATACAATGGGTTTAATTCCAGGTGGGAGTACAGTTTCAATACCATTTCCTGTAGAACTTGGTTATGCTCCAAAGGATAGCAAATTTAGAAAAATGTAAATATTATTTAAAAAACTGTATAATTTTAATAGGTTTAAAATTTTTAATATATAATTTTTTTAATAAACTATAGATACTCCAGTGTACAATATACATCAGTTAGAGAATATATTAATTTTTCAAATTTTTCAAATTTAAATACAATTTCTTTTAGTAGTCCTGGTAGTGGGTTCAATATCGATGGTAATATACCATTTGTTTCACTTGGTCCAAATATTTCATCATTCTCTCTATCTCTTGCTACTATTACAAATTCATCCAATTTTGAATCTCTATTTGCAAATGTTCCCTCTATTTCATTAACTTATAGTAAAATAAATTCTGATATAAATGTTTTTGGAAATTTACCCAAATTAAAAAGTTTAGATATCACATCAAATTTATTTTATGGGACTATACCAAAAAGTTTCTGTTATACTGTAGGTGCATCGCTAACTGTTACAAACAATAAGCTCACCGGGTCCGTACCATCTTGTTATACTTGCCACTTTTCAAATAAAACTAGAACATTATTTTTAAAATTTGCTAATAATTTATTTGATAATGTAGATTATAAAACTTTAAAATATCCAACATGTACAACTATTAAAGCAAGATTGAAAATGAATTTCCCAGAGAATAGAACTTATTTACTTGGTGAAGATATGGGTTTTGATTCATCTTATTTTACATCAATTCCTGCTAAAAACTGGATAATGGTAAAACCACACGAAATTTTTTATATCAATGGCACAGATATCAAAGAGTTTTACTTTAACTTCACCAATCCAAATATATCATTGATAGTAAATGATTATACAAAGCAACAGTATGTTTCATCAATTGAGCCTTCAACTGTAGATGGCGGGAAAGTAGTACTCCATGGTGATTTTGGTGAATACCATGATAATCTTACAGTATCCATAGGTAATTTGGAGTGTGATGTAATATCAGTAAATGAAACAGTTATAGAGTGTGATATTGGTCCAGGTGAAGGTGTCAAAGATGTTGTTGTTTTCCAAAACTCATTTACATGGTCTGGTCTTCAAATCTATCAATATATATCCAATCAAATAAGCTGTCCAAATAACTGCACCAATTCAAACCAAGGTGCTTGCGATTTAAACATTGGCATTTGTACATGTACAAATGGATTTACTGGTTTAGATTGCTCTTCAAAAGATCATGTGGAGTCCTCATTACCAGAATCAAATACCAATGTTAATGTCGATGATGGAACTAGTTCTATTACCAATGATGATATAAAGTTTGAAACATTCATTGGAAAATTAATCGAACTTGACCTATCAGATAATGTAATAGAGTCATTTGATTTGGATAATAAATGGGTACTAGATAAGGAAAAAAGCAATGCCAATACATACACCTTTTTACAATACATTGCAAAGGTCGACTGTACAATTACTGCCACTTTTGATACCATCGACTCTGATAAACAAATTTCATTTGGTGGTATCGATTTTACCATTGAAAAAAGCTCTATTAAAATTTCAATCTCGATAGAAAATTACAAATACTCCAGTGTTTTAAATAGGTTACAACTTCAAGTCACATCAACTGCAAACCAATTATCCAACAAAAATAATTGTAACACAAATGATACTGAAACCAATATAGATTTTGATGAATCCCAATCAAGCTATGTTCAATTAGTGACAATATCGAAAAATGGTAAATCATTCTATGGAAGATTAATAAATAGAGTTATTTCAGATGGCAGAAATACTTTTATTTCAAATTCTTTAATTTCAAAAAATGAAGATTCAATTACAATAGGTTTAAATTTACCACATTGTACACAATGTTTGATCGATCCAGGTAAGTTTTTTAAAACCATTAAAAAAATTGATTAAAATAACTAATAATTTAATATTTTTTATTTTTAGATTTTTCTGTTTTATTAAAACCAGATTTTAAATCTTCAGACTCTTGTAAAAGTAAAAGTAAAAATAAAGGATATGTGATTCCAGTAGCTGTAACCATTCCAGTTGTAGCAGTTGCTGCTATTTCTGGTTTATCCATATTCCTTTATAAAAAGAAAATCCAAAACAAAGAAATGAAACAAATTAAAAATAGATTGGAACAACTTAATTAAATTTTTAATAAATACAAAAAAATAATAAAACTTTATTTTTATAGTCTATAATTGTATTAGTGTTATGAAATGATCTTTGCTTTACCTCCATTTTTGTTTTATTTTTTAAAAAATATTTTTAAAAAAAAAAAATTTAAAAAAAAAAATTTAAAAAAAAAAAAATTTATTTATGTTTTTAATTTTTTTTTTTTTTTCATATATAAATAATTTATTAATTAATCTCTTCAAAAAAAAAAAAAACAAGTTATTATCATTAATGTGATAATTAAATAAATATATATAATAAAATATGAAGAGTAATCAGCCAAATATGAATATAAATTTAAATAATAAATTATATCAGCAACAGCAACAGCAGCAGCAACCACAACTACAACCTCAACCATCAACAACATCCTCATCAGCAGCAACAGCCCAACAACAAAGAAATAAAAATCAATCGAATCCTTTATTAAATAATCAATTTAATAATTTAAATTTAAATGCTATAAAATTAGAAAAAAACAAACCTACTACAACCTCATCCTCATCCACATCCACACCGCCTTCATCAAATATAGATCCAAAATCAATCAAAACTTCAATGGGCACAATTAATATACCAAATTCAACAACACCAACAACAACCAATAAAGTTAGTACAACACCAACAAGAACAGGAGCATTAAATGGCACAAGTAAAAGTAGTAATAATTTAATAAATGATAATAAACCAAATAAAACAAATATTGCCAATTTAAATTTAAATAATATAAATAGTAATATTAATAATAATAAAATTATTAATACCAAACCACCTACATTAACTACCACAACTACTACAACAACAACATCATCATCATCTAATAAATTTGAACCAAAAAATTTTATGAATGAAGATTTTTCAAAATATAATAATATTAATAATAATATTAATAATATTAATAATAATATTAATAATAAATCAAATCCAAACCAAATTATTGAAAATATTAAACAGCAGCATCAACTTCAAATGTTTCAACAAAAAATGATGGAGCAAACTCAAGAATTTCAAGATAAACAATTAAAAGAATTTCAAAATTTACAAAAGAAAATGATAAATGGCGACGAAAATGATAGTGAAAGTTCAAGCGATGAAGAGGAAAATTTATCACCAAGAACATTAAGAGAATTAAAAAATATACAGAGAATGAAAAATTTAGAGAAATTTAGTCCTTCCTATTTAATTTCAAAGAAATCAGATCCATATATAAAATCATTACCAAAATTCTCTGAATGGTCAAAAGAAAGACCATTTTTAAACTATGGCTATTTATCAAATATTTCAACAAAATATACAAATACAAATACAAATTTAATTTTACCTGTAATTATAAATTTAAAATAATATTAAAAAAAATATTTAAAATATATTAATAAAATATTTTTTTTTTTTATTTTTAGGGAAAATATGAAAATACAAAAATAGAATTAAATCAATTTCCAAATTATTTTAAAGAACAAATTTTAATTGAGGATTTATTATCAACAATGATTGGTATTGAAGGTGAAGTTATACATGTTTCTTTACAAGATACTTTGGAAGATGATTCATTACAAAGCAATTTAATTAAATATGTAATTGAGGGCGAAATTGATTCAAGCTCAAATGATTTGGTTCAAAGAATATTACCACTTTGCTCCTATTATACATTTGTCAACGACTTTATTAATATCAGATACTCTTACGAATGGGGTTTAATTAACCATTCATTATGCTCCAGTATTGATCAACTTTTAAAAGAATATTTAATATTAGTATCACAGCTAGAAAGCCAATTAAAATCAGAGAAATTAAGTTTACAACGTATGTGGTTCTATTTACAACCTACTATTGCAACATTTGAAATACTCTTTAAAGTCACAAGTGAAATTATGCGAAACAACTCTCATGGAGCTCAAGTTATAAATCTATTATGGAAATTACAATCAAAACATTGCAGCGATAAAAAGTCAGAAGATCTCTTCTGTTACTTAATTAGAGCCTCCACCGAGCCATTCTTGGAAATGTTAGATTTATGGATACATCATGGGATAATTCGTGATCCATACTTTGAATTTATGATTGAAGAGAATAAAGAGTTGAAAAGAGATAATATCAACAGGGATTTCAATGACATCTATTGGGAAGAAAGATATATTTTACGTGAAAACCAAATTCCAAACTATTTAAAATCAATTGCAAATAAAGTTTTAACAACTGGAAAATACTTGAACGTAGTTAAAGAATGTAATCAAATTTCTCAACAACAAAAAGATAGAAAGGAGCAACCACATCATCATAATAACAATATCAACAAAAACAACAGCAACAATAAAAATAGTAAAACCTATAAACAATATCAACAACAAATTCAACAACGTGATGACTATGAATTACATATGCCATTAGGATATGAGTGCCAAATCGAATTTTCAAAGAACGAAAAGAACTATATAGATAAAATCGAAAAGGCTTATGATTATACAAGTGGAACATTATTAAATCTATTAATCAACGAAAAACAATTAATTGCAAGGTTAAAATCAATAAAACATTACTTTTTATTATGCAAAGGTGACTTTTTTTCACACTTTATGGAAATTACCTATGACGAATTAAAGAAACCTCTAGATGAAATTAATATGGTAAAAATGAACTCTTTGCTTCAACTTTCATTACGTACAACCTCCATCTCTGAAGCTGAAGAGGATGAGTTTAAAGATGACTTGGAATGCGAATTTATTCCATATAAATTAAAAGATCAATTATTAAACATCATCAATATTAACGAATTTAATAATCCAACTACAAAATCAAATACTACAACCTCATCAACTTCAAACACTATAAACTCAAATAATAATGACCAAAATAATATTTCAACCATTACAACCGATAAAACTATAAATACAACATTAATAACTTCAAAATCTGCTCACGAAATATTAAAAACCAACAATCTTTTTGGTATCGAATCATTAGCTTTCAACTATAATGTAGGTTGGCCTTTGTCACTCATCATTGGTAAAAAATCAATTATAAAATATCAAATTATTTTTAGACATCTCTTTTTATGCAAACATGTTGAAAAAATTTTGGTAGATACATGGAGTCAACATCAAATCCGTAGAAAATTTGCAAATAAACCAGGCCTCTCAACTCTTTTATCTTTTACTCATCTACTAAGACATCGTATGATTAACTTTTTGCAAAATTTAGAATACTATATGATGTTGGAGGTTTTAGAACCAAATTGGAATAAAATGAAAAATTCTATTAAAACTGTAAATATAAAACTTTTATTATAACTCAATAACAATAATATTAATATTTTTTTTTAGTCCAAAACTGTTGATGATGTTATTAGAATACATAATGATTTTTTAGAAACTTGTTTAACAGAATGTATGCTTACTGATACCAAACTAGTACATGTATGTATAATAATAATAAAAATAATTTTAATTTTTTTAAAAAACTAATAATTATTTTTTTTCTTACAGATATTAATGAAGTTTATGTCTCTTTGCATTCATTTTTCAAACTTTACAAATGATATGTTTAAAGATGAAAATAAGATTGATATTGATTTGGTAAAGAAAACTATTCAAAACTCTGAACTAAAATTCCATACAATTTTAAAGTTATTATTAGAAACCCTAAGATCATTTTCAACACTAGAATCAAATAAACATATGATTCATTTGATTCAAAGACTAGATTATAATAATTATTATTCAAATTATTTTGAAAATAATCCAAACCTTATACCTCAACACAGAAGAACAGAAAATATTAGTAATATTAATAAATCACCAAAACAATCAATTCAACAAAAGCAACAACCAATTCAACAACAGCCAATTCAGCAACAACCTATTCAACAACAATATCAACCAATTCAGCAACAACCAATTCAACAACAGCCAATTCAGCAACAACCTATTCAACAACAAAAACCAACACAACCAGCTCAACCTTTTACAAATAATTTAATTAGCCAAATACCTCAAATTATTCAACAACAATATCAAAGACATAGCTCTGCAAATCAACAATTACCAACACAAGATAGCTATAGAACAAATGGATCTCTTCCAAATAATTTTAATATAGGTCAAACTGGTAATTCTTCTGCAAATACAACAACTACAACTACAACTACAAAAACACAAATATCTCCAACCACAATTAATTCGTATGAAGATTTAAGAAGGAAAGCAAGTGATCTTTTAAATAATAATAAAAAACAACAACCACAAGAAATAACAAATCACCTAACATCTCAAACTATTTCAGATTTAAGCGAAAAATTGAAAAATATAAAAAGTAATAAATTTTAAATTGTAAATCTAAACAATTTTTTTTTTATAAATTTTTATTTTTATAAACTATCTTTATAACATAAACAAATATGCTTTTATTTTAATTAAAAAAGAAAAATTAAAGTTTATGTTTTTTTCTATCTCTATCATCATAATCTCTATCTCTGTCTCTATATCTATCACGGTCTCTATAACGGTCACGATCACGGTCACGGTCTCTATCACGATCACGATCACGGTCTCTACCACGATCTCTATCACGATCTCTATAATAACTATCTCTATCATTATAGTTTTTATCTCTATATCTGTCATTATAATATTTATCTCTTTCTTTATCTCTATTGCCATTATGGATTGATTCTGAATCTTGAGGAATTGATGAGTTATAATTTACATTTGGTGGAGGTGGTTCATATGGTGGGGGTGGAGGTGGGCCATATGGTGGGGGTGGAGGTGGACCATATGGTGGGGGTGGAGGTGGAATGTTATTTGGGTTTGATGGTGGAGGTGGTTGTATATTATATAAACTATTGAGTGATGATACCTTTTGGGTTGTTGGTAAAGATGGTATTATTGGAGGACTCAATAACGAGGAACTTGGGGAAGGTGTGACTGGTGTTACATTATTTGCAGCAGGTTTTCTAATAAATAAAGAAGATGGGTTTAAGATTCCCTTGCTTGGTGGATGATATTTTGAACCAATAGCTTCCTTGTTATTTTTTTCATTTAAATCTTTTTGACCATTATTTTTTATATTCATTTTATTATCCATACTACTATTATTATTCATATTATTATTCATATTATTATTTATATTATTTATATTATTTATATTATTTATATTATTTATAGTATTTATATTATTTATATAGCCATTACTATTTTGATCTAATTTTCTATTTAAAATTGATTTTTTTGAAATAGCATAATAACAATTTTTTGAAGATTTAATACTTTGAACCAATTTATTCCAATCTGAATTATTTGATAAAATAGTTGAATTACCTAAAATAATCATTGAATATTTACCACGAGTCAAACCTACATTCATACGTCTTACATCTGAAAGGAAACCAATAGAACGACCACCATGAGCTCTTACTGTAGAAAAAATAATAATATCCTTTTCTTTACCTTGAAAACCATCAATAGTGTTAACCTCAACAGATTTATAACGAGAGAATGCGTTTGATAAATCGATCATTTGAGCTTTGTATGGTGTAATTACCCCAATTTCCATATCTATTGTATAAGAGTATTGAGAATATAACTGGTCAACTATTAATTTGGCTAAATTGACTTCTGTTTCATTTCTCAATGACATAAATGAACCTCTAGATTCGGCTGAATCAAAGATATCATAAAAAATTAATGGTCCAAATCTAGAATCTTTATAAAAGCTTTGTTGATAATGCTTAACGTTTTCACCATCTTCCAATTCACCTTTATAGAATATTTGAGATGGGAATTTAGAGATTGTTGGATGCATACGATATTGTATTTTCAATACAGTTGGTCGCAGACCTGAATTTGCGAGACGTTGAAAAAGTGAAACTTCGTATTGAAATTTAGCAGCACATTGTGAAAGAGTGGTTGGTGGTAATTGTTGAGGATCACCAACCAAAATACATTTTCTTACATCATGACGCAAAGGAATTAACGTTGATAGCTCGACAGCTTGGGCAGCTTCATCTACAATTACCAAATCAAACTGTTTCACTGCAGAAAACAAATGATCATGACCACTACCAGCCAAAGTTGATAAAATAATATTACACCTTGATATGATACCAATAAAAAGATTCTTTCTTGAGGTTGTATATTTATCTGTTGTCACACGCTCCTCCTCTTTTGCCAATTTAAGCTCTGCTATATTTTTATTTTTAGTTTGATAAAGATTATTGATTTCGGCTCTAATTTCTGATTCTGGTTGTTTCTTTTCTTTAAGTGATGCTGCTAGAATCTCTAGTTTTTTAATTTCGTTTTCAATTTTAGATATTTCTTGTTTTAATGATTTAACTTTATTTGTGGAGCTCTCCAGCTTTTCAAGCTCTAAGGAAATTTCTGAATTATCAACCTCAATCTCTTGATCCAATAATTTATCGATTGCAATCTTATGAACATCTTGATGGATATGATTTAAATGACCAATACGACATATAGCTGGTTTAAATGATTTACCATTAGTATCTGTTAAACCTTCTTTAATAATACGAATAGCAATTTCATCTACAGCAGCATTTGACGGAGCACATACCAAAATTTTAGGACCGTTATCATTGACACCACTAGAATGCTCAGAGGAAGAGAACACTGATGAGAAAACTGATAATAATGACATAATGGTCTTTGTTTTACCAGTGCCTGGAGGACCTTGTAAAAGAGTAAAACCTTTAACATTTTTACAAGTCTCATTAACAGCACTCATTTGGCTTGGATTTAATTTTCCTTGTAAAACTGAGTGTAATTTGGTTGGAATTCTAAAACTAGGTACATGGCTATCGTTTTTACCAATAAAAATTTGTGGGGTAATAACAGCTTGGCCCAATGGAACTTTACCTACAAATTGCAAGGCCATATACTCTCTACTGACAGTTGATAAACTTGTAATCTTTTGAATTGTCCATTTATTATTTTGCTTATAAACTGCTTGAGTAAATGGGTGTACATTTGATTTATAAAATCTAACTTTTAAAATGTAAGCTCTATTATCTGAACCACCTGCTCCTTTTCTTGCGACACCTCCTTTTCTATCTTTTCGTTCAACTTTTCCAAAAGCTGAAATAAGATTTGGATCCTTATACGATGACAATGTGTTTACTTTACTTGAGTTAGTGGTAGGGGCTTTACTTGATGATTGTGGTTGTGGTTGTGGTTGTGGTAATTTTTGAACAAGCAAAATAAAATCATCAATTAAAAGGTCCAAATTATCTTTGAATGGTATTTCCATATCAATATCTAAAAAATCATTGTCTTGCATTTGATTATCGATTACCACATCAATTGGCTGGTCGCCCTCTTCAATATTTCTTTGAACCTGTGCTCTAAATTCCTCAATTAAAAGTGGTTGGAAAATGCTAATATAATGATGGATATCATTGAAACGTGGTGGTACCGGTCTACATGAATTTTCTGCCTCAGTATCCCTATCGAATGTTCTTGGCTCCCACTTTAGAATAATTCTATGTAATGATTCTATCTTTGGAGTAATATCTTCTTGCTGAGCTGCTTGTTTTCCTGCCAACTTTTTATAGGTAGGTGTGACACCAATATCCAACATCATAGTCTTCTTTTTTTCCTTTAACGGAACAACAATTGAGTTTCTCTCAAAATCATCAATACTTGAATCTCTTCTTTGGTAAGAGCCAAAAGATGATGAAGCCCCTTTGAAACCTGTACCATTATTTGAAAATTTACTAGTACTTTCTTTGAATTTATTATCAATATTATCACTAAAAAACAAAGGCTTATTAAAACTATCAGTATATCTGCTTGCAGTTGAAGAGGATGAGGATGAAGATGAGGATGAGGATGAGGATAATGAAGGGAACAATGGTGCTGGTGGAATAGGTTTTAATGATGATGGTTTTAATGTATGAGTTGTAACTGGTTGAGGTTTTAATGTATGAGTTGTAATTGGTTGAGGTTTTAATGTAGAATTTGATGGAATTGATGGTTTAGAAACTGGTAATGATGATGAAACCTCAGCTTTAAAAACTGAAGATTTTAATGTTGTTGTGTTTGAGTGTGAATTAGAAACTGGTGTAGAAATATCGACCAAATCAATCGATTTTGATAAAATTGATGAATTAAATTTCATTAACTGATTTTGATTAATTATAATTTGATTGTTTTGAACCTTTTTAATAAAATCCTCTAAATGCCTATCGAGTTTAATTTGTTGTTTTAATAAGAATTTAATAACTGAGCAAACAGAGTCGAACCATTCATCTAATGAGACCAAATTCCAATCCAAAAGTAATTTACTCCATCGTGAAACTGTTGAAAGAATAGTAGCACTTCTTTTTCCACTATCATCATCAATTATTATAATAGATTTTAGTGATGAGTTATCTATATGTTTATAAACTAGTTCTAAATTTGAATAAAAAAAATCCAAGCTTTCTAAAAATCTATTGGTACAATTTGATTGACTTGGATCTGTAATTGAGTAATAATTTTTATTTGCTCCCGAGCAAACGTTCTGTAAGGTTGTGCCCTCACCACTGATACACTCTGTAGATAACATTGGTTTTCTAATATATGTTGGATATTGCTCAACTGATTCAAACAATACCATATTATTATTACCAATGGAATACAAAAAGGCCGGTTTTGTGTAACTTAACTCGCTGATTGAACTATAACAATATTGACTAACGGTACCAATACAATCCTTGAGCCAGTCAAACATATATTTAAGCTTTTCTGCTGATTTTGGAACTAAAAATTTATCTTTTACTGTTAAAGCATATTCAAATGATGGCCATAAAACATCGATAGTTGTTGATAAATATTCTTTGTAGAGTATATTGACATTTGTTAAATTACTTTTCAATGTATACACCAAATGGTCGCCATAATAAAATATCATATTTATTGAATCTAAACAATTTGAGAACCCAACTTGAAAAAAGAAATCTCTCATTATTCCCAAGGCACCTCTAACTGACTCCTCTGGACTTTGAGCTATCATCTCTTTAAAGGATGCTGTTACTGTAGGTTTTTGATATTTTCTAAAAATTAAAAATAATTAATAAAGTTGTTTAATTTTTCACATTACTTTTTTATATTATTTAACTTACTTTGTTAATAGTTGTTTAAAAATTGTTATGATTTTTTGGTTTGGTGAAACTAGAAAAGAGAAAACAGATTTATGAAACTCCTCATTATCCAAAACATCAACAAAGGCTTCATTTTCATCTTCCGATATTATGATATCACCAGGTTCAACTTGAAGCTTAAATAAATAACTATCTGTAAAATTTGAAAGATAAGTTGCCATTAACTCTTGATAGTCACCTAAAGATCTATAAATTGCTGAACGTGAATGAGACTGTATTGTGCTGGTTGCTGAAAGTAATCCCAAAACTCTATGAGCATTGAAAATTGCCAAATGAATTCTATACGGTATATTTGGTGGTGAAACCAATAACAATGAATTCCAAATATTTGAAAACCAATAATCGCATGGATCTTGAACCTCTTTATTTGAAAGTGAACTATTACTTGAATTTAAAACATACTGAAACCTTTTTCTTAATTCTACTGCACTATACAATAAACAATGCTCCAATAAAACAATTGCTTTTTTCATATCTACAAAATTTGGGATGATTGAATTATAAATTTGATTTGTTGAAAACATCACCAAAAGTCTACCCCACTTACTAACATGATTAATTGAAAATCTTTTAAATAGTTATATTAATACCAATAATAATTAAATATTCAGTAACAATAATAAATTTTACTTACGAATTTAATAAAATTTCAATTATAAAAACAAATAATTTTGATTTAACTTTGGAGGATAATAGGTTATTTGAAAAAACTCTATTTAAAAACACCCCAACCGCCTGATTACTTGTATCACCCAGTTGCTTTTTTGGAACACTTTCAAATAAAACCAAAGGCAATAGATCTAAAATCTTTAATTGAACATCTTCATTTCCAATTTGAAAATTTTCGATTAGTGAATCCCAAAATCTAAATATGATCATATTGTCGCCATTAATAAACTCCCTTATATCCTTTTGCTTTAAAAACCTAAAGAAAACTATTATTGATTCGATAGTTGACAATTTTAAATCTTCAGACTTTTTTGATAACTCTTTATAAAATATATAAAATAATTTATCTTTTGGGAAATTATTCTATAAAAAAAAATATTGTTAGTTTTTAACCTTCTTGAAACCAATGTTATTATTTATTTATACCTACAATAAATGAATCCTGTGTAAATTGATTTAAAAAAACTGGTAAACCATTCCATACATCCTCAATACTATCAGATAAAACTGTATTTTCAGTCGGTTTATTTTGATTATTTTGTATATATTCTAAATCTTTAATCACCCTATCTACCAATACTTGAACTGAATGATATTGATCGCTTGTTATTAAATTTTGATTCTCCATTAAAAATTCTATTGCCCATTCCTGAAGTACTTTGGATTTAACCATTAACATTAAATATAACCCTGGTACAATTTTATCTGGATCACCAAAAGAGATTGAATATTCTGATATAAATTTTTCAAATATCTAAAAAAATTAAAAAATATTAGTATTTATTATGGCCTCTGAAGAAAACATATTAATATACAAACATTTAAGAATCTTTTTTTTAATAGTAAATCGTCTAATAAATCGATATTATTTATAACCTCGTGAATAATAACAACCAACTTTGCTTCATCATTTTTGTATAAATCCAAATGTTCTTTTATTCTCATTTTCTCTTTTAGTTGAATTTCGTTGAATATACTTTCGATTAATTCTGATTTAATATATTTTGACCATTTCTGTTTGCAAACCTCCTTAATCTCTCTATATTTTATTGAACACTCTAAACAAAGTGATAATTGGTTGCCTGAATATTCTATAAATGTATTTGAAAATGGTGGCAGTGTGTAATTTGGGTCCTCAAATATAATCCTATGTAAATCAAAAGATAACAATGCTATATCATAGTGTTGACACCATATGCTAAAAATTTAATTAGATAATGATACTTTAATTTCTTTTTTTCTTTTTAATATATTTTCTTTTACTTACTGATCTTTTTTTAAAAGATATTCGATTGATTTTGAAAGAATATCTGCATTTTCTAACCTCCATTTTTGTAATAACTCATTTTCTGACATGATTGCTATTAGTTACTTTCTAAAATAAAGGTATTAATAAACATTAATTCTTCTATATATATATACATATATATAATATCTCTTTTTATATAAAAGATAACAAATTGTGTTTTTCAATTTTAAATTTGAATTTATGAAAATGTGTAAAAAAAATTTAAAAAATAAAAATAAAAAAAAAAAAAATTTTAAAAAAAATAAAAAATAAAAATTTACTTGGAAAGAATGATTAAAATGGAGGTAAAAAAACATTTATATATTTAATGATTATGATAAAATTATATTTATATATCATTACTTATTATTATTATTATTATTTTATATAGATATATTTAGTAAATAATTGGCTTTATTGTGAAAGTACCATATTTACCAAAATTATATCACTTCTTTTATATCAAACCCAAAAAAGATCATTAAATTAATTTTAAGAGTTATATATTAAATCTGTGAGGAGTAATATTAAACTTGATAGCGAGGATATTTAATAAGGTTTTAAAAAAAAAATAAAAATAAAAAAAAAACAACCACAATTTTTATTTTAAAAAAAAATTTTATTTATTTTTGCACTAAAAAGTAATTTATTTCCAAATTTGATATCAAATTAAAAATCTAATTGAAATACAATGAATTTAAGATTTCCATTTTCATTTAAATAAAAAAACAAAAAAAAATAAAAATAAAAAATAAAAAATAAATAAAAAAAAAAAAAAAAATTTTTAAATTTTTTTTTAAAATTTTTTTGCTTTTTATTTTTTCTTTTTTATTTTTTTTTTTATTTTTTATTTTTTTTTTTAATATTCAACTACACAATATTTCAAATTTAATATAAAATGGCTCATCATGGTCAACATTTAAGCAAATTATTAGCATCATCATTTAAAGCAGCCCCACCAAATGGTATGCCAGAAGTTGTTATTTCAAAATTAGATGGTTTAGTTAATTGGGCTCGTACTGGTTCATTATGGCCAATGACTTTTGGTTTAGCTTGTTGTGCAGTAGAAATGATGCAAGGTTATGCTGCTCGTTACGATATGGATAGATTTGGTGTTATTCCAAGAGCTTCACCACGTCAATCAGATTGTATTATTGTTGCAGGTACTCTTACTAATAAAATGGCTCCAGCTCTTAGAAAAGTTTACGATCAAATGCCAAATCCACGTTATGTAGTTTCAATGGGTAGTTGTGCAAATGGTGGTGGTTATTACCATTACTCATACTCTGTTGTAAGAGGTTGCGATCGTATCATTCCAGTTGATGTTTATATGCCAGGTTGTCCACCAACTGCCGAAGCTTTCGTTTATGGTATTTTACAATTACAAAAGAAAATGAGAAGAGAACAAAATCTTTTATCATGGTGGAGAAAATAAATCAATTCTTTTATTCACTTTATAATTAATAGTAATAATAATCAATTTAAAATATATAAATCAAATTTAAATAACATAACAACAACAGCATAACAATAACAACAAAAACAGCATAACAACACAAAGGATATTATTTATTTTGGAAGATAATTTTTTCGATTAGTAATAATCCAATTAAAAAAAAAACGAAAAAAAGAAGAAAATTAAAAAAAAAAAGATATTTAAGTTTATAGAAGAAAAAGAAAGAAAAGGAAGGAATATAGGAAAAAAAAACATTGTATAAATTTAATAAATTTAAAAATCTTTATATATAAAAAAAAAAAAAAAAAAAAAAAAAAAAAAACCCCTTCCCCCACCCCTTTATAAGGTTTTAAACCCCCTTTTTTAGGTTAAACCTAAAAAAAAAGGTTTATTTTTATAAAGGAGTTTATTTTTTTTTTTTTTTAATTTATTAAGCAAATTTTTTTGGGGTAATTTTGGGAATTTTTTTTTTTTTTTAAATTTTTTTAAAATTTTTTTTCTTTTTTTTTAAAAATTTGGGGGTTTACCCCTATTAAAAAAAAAAAAAATTATTTCCCCCCCCCCCCCCCCCAGGAAAAAAAAAGATACCCGAATAATTGTTTTTGGAAAAGGAAAATTTGGAAAAAAAATATAGGGGGTGGGGGGGGGAAAAAAAAAAAGAGGTGGAAAAAAAAAGGGGGG